CGCACCCGCACCCGCTAGCGGGTATCCGTCGGCCGCAGCGGGTATCCGAGCGGGTATCCTCGGATACCCGCCCTCTAAAGGGCCGGCGACGGACCGGCTGGAAGGGTTTCCTTCCAGCCGGCGAGGTACTTGTACCTCGTCGACTGGAAGGGCTTCCTTCCAGCCGGCCATCTCCCCTCCCGGCCGCGGGTATCCTTTGGGATACCCGGATACCCGCCGGCAATTTGCGGAAAAGGGGCCATCCGCACCCGCTGGCGGGTATCCGTTGGCACAGGCGGGTATCCGCCAGCGGATAACGGGTATCCGCGACGGATACCCTTCGACCATCTCTAATTTGTTGAGCAACGCAAAAGTAAAAAGAAGAAGCTGGAGTTAACACACACGGACAACGATTGATACATCATCAATATAGCTTCTCTCTCATCGACTGTTTGGCATCGTAAATTCTCAGAGATTGTGTTTGTTTCACCTGGACCGCTTCAGTGGGTCAATACTATGCATGATGGATTGAAGAAGTGGGGATCAATTGTCGATCAGAAAGAAAAAAAAGCTAAAAACAAATCGTCAACAATTGCAAGAACGACAATGGATCCAAATTTGATTTGAGCTTCAATACAGGATTGGTACAATTGTGAGTGTACATGTACAGTTTCTATGAGCTAAACATTGAGTAATTGTTTGTTTTGGTTTGTTGATGTTGATGCAAGTAGGTGATGAAGCGGTTTCATTTATGTTGGCGTTTGGACGACGAGCCTTCTTGATGTCCGTCGTTCTTCAAGAAGTAACCGGCCGATGCAGAAAAGCTTCCGTCCCCGTGAGATTGATCAAAGATACGACGGCTGCGACGGACTTGCTTCTCGAGGGAATCCTTTCTCTGAGCCATTTAAAAAAACGAATGCATCAGTTTTGTGATACTGTAGCTATATGATGTTACAGAGAAATTACATACCACCGCCTTCCTAGGCTTCGCCTCTTTGGCGGGCTCCTCCGTTGGAGCCACCACAGGTTTTTCTTCAAAACTACCAGTATCCTCAGTCGGAGCCATCACATCGTGTCTGGTTTCGGTTTGATGAGGTGAACCGGGTGCCGAAACAGCTTCAGGAACCGGTGGGATCTCAAACTCTGGTGTGTGCGACAGTTTCTGATCCGGAATCATTTTTTTGTTTGAGTTGGTGGTGTTGGTGGTGTGTCCGATCGGCGATGATAGTTTTCGAGTGAGCCGCGGACTCGAGGTGAGGGCAGCAATGGCCGCTGAGAGTTGAAGTCGGCCCGACCATCAGCTTTCGTTGGGTTGCTTGCGAGAGTTGAATTTGGTTGGCTAGGGTAGCTGCTCACCATCAAACGACTCCAGTCAAGCCGACCCAGCCGACAAAAGCTGTGTCGGGAGGGTTGGCTGCTCCATCAAGGGCCTTGGGTTAGGGGTGTGTCGGCCAGACCCAGTGTTTCCGTCGGGCCCGCGGCTCGGGTAGATACAGGGGATGCATGTCGGCGCTGACCTGAGCCAACCTAAATTTGACTGCGGGGCCAAGCCAACGCGAGCACAGAAAAAAAATCGACCCGTGGTGTACAATACACTTGTAAATTGCAAATTGTCAAGCCCCTTTGGTAATTACAATACACTCCTGCTACCTGGCAGTACCTGCTGGGAAGCCTGGTTTTAGAGTAGTACCCAATAATAAAGTATACCCATTGGGCACCTGCTGAGGCAAGTCCAAGGAATCGGGTACCCTTCAGGTTCCAGCAATAAGCTTGCACATGGAACTGAAGTAACTTGATATGATACAAGCTTCCTGGGAGAGCACTGAAACTCAAGTGTGGTGTGTTTCAAGTTTTGTGCACTCAGCTGACCTGTAATCCATTGAAAATTACAGACTGGTTTGATTTGATTCCTAACTCAATTATGCACAGTCATATATACAGTTGTGGATGGCACAAACCAACCCGGTAATTGGAGGGTGTCCAAATATTTTTGCTGAAAAATCAGGTTTTTTTTGGAATTTACATGGTTTTGAAGCCCTTTTGAGGCCGAAGAGTGATAAAAGACTGGATTGGAGTATTCAATAAGCACTCTAAGTTGATGCTGATGGTGCTTGAAGGACCTGATCTGAGAGGTATAAGCCATGAATAAGAACTTAAACCCATAGTTATGGGTTTAAGTATGGCTTTTGGTATGCATGTCCGGATACATGTATGTCACAAAAATAAATAAAGGGGCTTGGTTAAACGACTCCCAAAAAGTGGAGAGCCAACTCCCAAGCCCCGGAATCCCCGAATCTTGGGAGTCGAACCCCCAAAACCTTCGACTGGTTTGGGAGTCGACTCCCAAAAAAAAATATTAAAAAAAAACCATCCCCCGGTCGGTTTAGGAGTTGATCCTCCAAAACCAAACAGGGTTTGGGGGTCGACGAAGCAAAAGACCCACCAAAGCGGCCGGGAGGAATCTTCCCGGCCGCTGGGGGTACACTCCCGAAGGCCGAGGGAAAACACCTCGGCCGCTAGTTTCCCTCGGCCCTCGGCCGCTGAGAGTACACTCTCGATGACCGAGGGTGTACATACCTCTCAGCCATTGAGGGTATACACCTCGATGGCCGAGAGGATTCCTCTCGGCCGTCGAGGGTAGAATCACACTCTCAACGGCCGGGGGAATGCACCTCGGCGCCACTGAGAGTACACTCCCGATGGCCAAGGGTGTACCTCTCAGCCATCGAGGGTATACACCTCGATGGCCGAGAGGATTCCTCTCGGCCGTCGAGGGTAGAATCACACTCTCAACGGCCGAGGGAAACTAGCAGCCGAGGTGTTTTCCCTCGGCCTTAGGGAGTGTACTCCCAGCGGCCGGGAAGATTCCTCCCGGCCGCTTTGGTGGGTCTTCTGCTTTGTCGACCCCCAAACCCTGGTCGGTTTTGGAGGATCGACTCCTAAACCGACCGGGGGATGGTTTTTTTTTAATATTTTTTTTGGGAGTCGACTCCCAAACCAGTCAAAGGTTTTGGGGGTTTGACTCCCAAAATTCGGGGATTCCGGGGCTTGGGAGTCGGCTCTCCAGTTTTGGGAGTCGTTTAACCAAGCCCCTAAATAAAAAAGAACCACTGCAGTAGAAGCTTAGCGGTTATAATGTTGAACTCTACACATCTGTAGGAGTTCAAAATTTTAATTAAAATAAGTATTGGGGTACATGCCCCCCCGGGCATAGACCCTGCGTATCAATTTTCAATTTTGTGGGCGGGGCGTGGTCGGTTTTTGCCATCCGCAACTGTAATTAAGAGGAGAAAGGGAGGACTTCCTGTTGGTTCTGCAGCCCCTACAAAACCTGATTTGCAGGCCCTTGAATCAGATCCCTTTGCAAAATCTGACTTCAGTAAGGCTAAATCAGATTCTGTAGGGTCTGCGTATGTTGACAGGAAGTCCTTTAGTCTCCAATTTTGTAGGGAACTCTAGCTGTTGAGACTCTAAATCAATCCTGGGGGCATCACAGATTTTGATGGGAGGTTGTCCAATTGAGGAATCCCTGTTGGTGCTCCCCTTGGGATCAGATTTCCATGCAAAATCTGACTTCAGTAGGGCTACAATCTGAGTCTGTAGGGCTTACAGATATTGATGGGACAATGATTCCAATCATAAGATGGTTGTTCAATTTTAGGGATTAGGAGAAATCATGGGTTAAGATTGGAAATGTTGGTGTGGGATTAATAAACTGGTGGATGAATAACTGCACACCAGTTGATTTTTTTTTATTTTAAAACATCTTCTTTTTGAAACATTATTTGTTTGATTTTCCCAAATGCTTCCTTTGAGTTTATTGAGATATTTTTTTTCTTGAGCCATTAATGAGATAGTTTCAATTCTCAAGCTGCTATTCTTGCTAGACTTCCCTTTTGTAATAGCTTGTTTGTTTTCTTTTGTTACAGCCTCACAAAACCCCTTTGACTGGGCAGATTGTTTTATAGTGGAAGCAGGTGAAAGAGGAAGTGGGTTAGTAGTGATCAGTTGGATATTCTAGACTCGGACGATGGGCCAAGAACTGATGAGCACACCCAGAAGTTACATAAGGAACGCTGACTGGTTTTATGTAAGTTACACAGCATAATGTCTTTTCCTTCGATATTGTTTCTTTTGTAGTTTAATCCATTAATAAGTTACAATAAGGTTGTTCAAGGGAAAGAGAAGTGGATTTGAGACTGGGTATGTACAGCAGTCAGTTGAGGGATTGGTTGCTTCTGAATTTCCAATGAAATAACCAAACTAAACTAAACTAAACTAAACTAAAAACTAAAACTAAAAACCAAAAACTAACTTACCATCGACCCACCTCAGCTCATCGAGCATCACTTTCCATCATCATCATCCACCTCGGTCGAACCAAAAAAAAAAAAAACCAACCAACCAACCAACTAACAACCAAACCCAAAAACCCAAAAACCCAAAAAGAGGAAACTAACAACAACAACGACCAAAAATGGAACAGCAACAAGAACAACAGCAACAGCCCATCCAGATCTCAGTAAGTAATTCACCTCCCAAAAACACAAATAACCTAACTAATACATACACTTCTGTCTCAAAACAGGCTGGCCAACTGCAATCTGAACTAGAATCTATTAGATCCCTACGTCGAATCTCACTCTCTCAATCCTCTAACGAATTAGATCCAGATCTACCCTCAAGCTTACAGATTGACTCAAACACCATGAACAACCCAACAACAACAACAACCAGCTCAACTCAACAAGAACAACACCAGCAGCAGCCCTCAACCAGCTCAAGCAATACCAACCACAACCCAGTCGAATCAGATGAACCCAATCCAAATCTATTTTGGTTACCCGCTAGGCTACACCCGGAGATTGCTCCACAAGAGTTCAAGGCGTTCATCGAAGAAGCAACCAAACCAGAGAACCTACTCAGACGGACCTCATCAGCACTAGGCTCGAGGAGAAACTCTGGTGACCATCTCCAGCCGAGCGGACTGTCGAGGAAGAAGAGCATGCTCAGTCAAATCTATGACCCAACCAATGACCCACTCCCTTCATCATCCCAACATCACCATCGTCCAGAGAAGGCTATCACCAGAGGATACTCCATGAGCAGTCCTCGTAACCTCGGTAGGGGAGCACAAGGACTCGAGAGCCTCACCATCAATGACCTCCAACTTCTCGAATCACTCGTCCTCAAGAAATCCTCTTCACCCTCCAACGACCCTTCTCTTGATTCCCAGTTCCATCATCTCAACCTCAACGATGATCGGATCAGGGCTGTTATCTCTCGTAGCATGACCATCGGTGGTTCGACCTCCTCACCCAGTGGTCAGTCTTTTTTTTTTCTTTTTTTTTCTTTATACATAAACTATGCACACACATATATATATATGTATACAATAAGCCAAGAAGAGCCAAACATGATGGATAATATCAACAGACTCATTCATACAGCGTAGTTCTTGACAACAAATCTCAATCTAACTCCTTCCTCATCTCCAGATCCCGAATTCAATTCAGAACAATTAGATCCTGAAGCAATAGATGATTCACCATTAATCTCACGAGCACCAGGCCACATCATCCGCAGAACAGCGCGGACGAAAGTTAGGAAGACCTCCTTGGCTGGGGATGGGAACGGACATCGATTCCCAGCCACTCGGCGGTCCCAAGCTAAGAGCCCGATGGTTAACAGTCACCACCCACGAACAGCTTCGACGACCTCTAATGACTCTGAAGAGACTGTCTCTAACGATCTACACTCGAACCGTAGTAGCAAGGAATTCGCTAACAAGTCGATCTCTCACTCATCCGGTCCCTCCGATGATCTCACCCTGACAATCGATCCACATCCTCTCACACTTGTCCCTACTACTGGTGCCAAACCATCAACCCCCTTGGATCTCCCGTCAGAAGATGATCAGAGTGTAGAGTCAGTCTATTGTCCCCTTCTTCCTGCGCAAACAATTGCATATAAAAAAAAAAGTACTGATCTTTCCTCTATTCAGATCCAACTCCCGACCGGATTCCTTGACTTCAAACAACAGTTTCTTTGATGCTTATGTCTACGAAGGTCCTACATCGGATGATCATCCGGCCCCAGGTGTTGATTCCAGTGGTATCGATTTTAGTAACCTCGCCGCCTCACCCTCGACACTTGACTTTACCGTCCCACATCCCACCAAATATGGTATCCAGGCAACCGATCATTCTCAACCCAACATGCCCATCCAAACATCCAACTCTTCATCGGATCCTCAGTTTGTATCCCCTCCTGGCTCTTCCAAACCCGATAGCTTGAAAGTTTTAACCGACCTGGCTGCTCCTGCACCTTATCGGACTACTCGAAGCTCTGATGATCTACCTTCAACATCTGCATCCCCAAGCCCTGCTATCTCCAGTAGCACGACTACTACGCTTTCAACTGGTAAACCTTTGATTTCTATCAAAATTCCTTGCCTACCCGCTCAAAGTTGATCGCCCTTTTTTTCTTCATTCTCTACTTCTTGCAGCCAAGTCTACTCCCTCTTCTAGCACGCTCTCCTCTGGCTCGCCATCAACACCCGTTGGCCCTCAACCATCTCGACCACCCCTGACGACCACCCAGACTAGTCCGAATCTCTCAAGCCCAGCACCAAGTGTAATCCCGGTACCTGTAGCCCCATCATCGGCGAGCTCCAAGGAAGGTAAGGAGAAGAAGCGTGCATGGGTCAAACTAGGTCTTTCATCGGCGGTCTCGACAAGCTCGAAGAGCAAGAAAGGGAAAGGCAAGGACAAACAGAAGGCCTCCGAGGCTGAGGGTGCGACCCCCGGGCCATCGAATAGTGTCAGCGCAGCCAGCTCGGGAGGAAGTAACAGTAACGGAACGACGACGGGCGGAGGTGCGGTGAAGAAAGAGAGTGGATTTCTGAGCGGACTTTTTGGAGGAAAATCACGGAAGAATGACTCTGAACAGTCGGACAAGCAAAGCTCGTCTACCGGCGGTGCAACAGCCCCGGTGGGGAGCTCGACTAAGACACCGATTCCTGGACCGGTAGGACTCGGGCCGGCGTCGGGTGACTCGCAGGCCCAGCAACAGCTCATCAATCCGACCGCCTCCGGCGGATACATCAAGGGCAGATTCATGAGCTTCTATCGCCTTCCTATCCACGTCGAACGTGCTGTCTATCGTCTCAGTCACATCAAACTCGCCAACCCTCGCAGACCGCTCTACGAACAGGTCTTGATCTCCAACCTGATGTTCTGGTATTTAGGTGTCATCAATAAATCTCAACCGGCTCCCCTCGTCAATCCAAACCATCTCCCTCAACCGGCTCCCAATTCTTCTCCCTCTCCTTCCTCCTCTTCTCCCCCCTCCTCCATGGCCAACCCATCACCATCTCAATCATCGATAAATAGTAAGAACAAGAAACAGGGCAACGGACGCAAGGCGAAAGCCAATATCAATAACAACAATCCCCATACCCCTAATCTTAATCAACAGAACCAACGCAATCCGGGGGCCAAGAGTTGGGGGAACCAGAAGAAGGTGGAGAATGAACGGAAGAACGGGAGACGGGATGGGGTGATCCTAGCAGGGAGTGGTGGCCGGAAGAAGGTTCGACCGGGAAGGTCGGACGGAAGGAGTTCGGAGAGCGGCTCTGAGCACGAGGAGCGGCCTTCGAAGACCCATCCTCCTCCCGCTCATCAGAATCGCTTCTCTTCCTCTTCCTCCTCCTCCTCGGATGAAGATGACGATGAAGATCATCTTTCTAGCTCCGACGAGCTCGTCGATGCTCGCCCAGTCAATCATCATGTTGACGCTGACGCAGACGCCGATGACGACGACGACGATGATGAAAAACCTCTCGGAAATCGAATCAGAGCTTTAAATAATCTTCCACGTCTTGTCAATAATTCTAATCCTCCTTCTTCTTCTCCTTCTCCTCCTGCAAATCTTGTTCTTCAGAATCCTTCTAATACTACTACTACTACTTCTAATATTGGCATTCATAAATAATCTTCATCATCATTCTCTTGTTCTTTTTTTCTTTCTTTCTTATTCTCCTGGAAAATAGAAACTTCTTCAAAAAAAATCCTTCTTCTTCTTCCTCATCCTTATCTATCATGTTCTTTTTTTTGTGGGTTTTTTTTGTAGTCGTTTTTTTTTTCTCTTGTTATCTTTTTATATCTTTATTTATTTTTTCTTATGCTTACAATCATGACCCAAGAAACATAGACTCTTTTTTTCTTTCTCTCTTTATGATTTTATATCCCCCCCCCCTTTTTTTGAAAAAAACCCTATTTTTTTATCTTTTCTGGTTCTTTCTTTCTTTTTTTTTGCATCTCTCTCTTTTCCTTTCCTTTTCTCTCTTTCACTTCCTTTTCTGTTGCTCACAAAGAATAAAAAACATAAACATAAAAAAAAAACTACATAAATGTATACACACATTTATATCTGCATCTTTTTTTTCTTTACTATCATTGTTTTTGTTTTTGTTGATGTATTTATAGGATGAAAAGTTTCTCTTTCTTTCCTTCTTATCTCTATATGATTTTTTTTCTATAGACAGAGGTGTATTCATTGACTTCATTGATCATTTGTCTCCACACAACATCATCCACTCTTTCTTCAACCAACAACCAATTGCAAAAAAAATACATATAAAAATTCAACTACAGTCTCATGTGGCAGCAACATAATTATGTGATTTTTTTTTTGCCTGACATCCTTTGTGACATTGGATCAGGTCTGGCAAAAATGGATCAGATGTGACAAGAATTGACCTCAAGTTGCTTGATTACATTGTGACTCAGATGGAAGCCCTGGTTGGCAAGTCCAACATGAGTGGCAGCAGTTCTGGAAGATCTGACCCCAATCAGCTTAAATCCAAGGTCCAAGGCCAGTGGGAGAACCCACCAGGGAGCCCTGCAAACACTTTCTAGTGGCAATTCATTTTGACTCTCAATGAAGATGATGTGGATGCAGATGAGACAAAAGCATACACCACAGGTCAAGTTTTGGGAAATGATGCCCCGTCAGCTTGACCCCACAGTCAAGCACTGGTGGGGCTTGACCACCTTTCAGTAAACCCGCCAAATTAGGCTGGCTGACGGCAGCTGGCAGCAGCTCTTAAATCACTGGCAATGCTGCTGTTAGCCTGGCCTCAGGACCAGGAGTGTTAAGCCATGGTTGTCTTGACACCCCATGCAATTACCTGTGATGTGATTGGACAAGGCCAGTCATCACAACTCTCCAACCTGAATTGAACACAAACAGCACTAACTCACATCAAGAATGCCACCAGTTGTTGAAAGCCACAGCCCTAGTATCATGTTTGCCGGTGATTCAGCCAATTTCCCCATCCAGATCCCTGATGATCCTGTCAACATGCCAACTGTCCAAGAGTGATTCATTGTGATGTCTTTCAGAGACACCTTGGCTCAAGCTATGGCTGAAATAGCCTTGGTAAGTGTTCATTGTAACAAAATGCTCATCACCTTTACCTGAACACCCTTTTTTCATGTATTTTTACAGACCTTGGCCAACAGACAAGTCTTGATAGGTTCTTATTGCATCTTCCACAATGAAGAAGCCCAAAGACCTGGCCGCTTTGTTGTTCCATTGGGGTAACACATTTCAATCAAACCCAATGATTGTGGGAACGGCCACTCTTGGAGGGAAAGAAAACCCTTCCAGAAAATGATCATCAATGTAAGTGAACATCACATCAAAATTAAACATGTGACATTTCACTGATCTCTAGTATCATTATTCCAAAGTGGACAGACGGCAAGATAGAAGCACTATTATCACCTTGTACCCCCTTTATCAATCATCCACCAAAAAAAAAGAGAAAACAAAAACCCAAATTATCTATGTAAACTGAGACTGTTTCTTTTCCATTTCTTCTCAGCACAATCACCAAGACAGCAAAGAGTCTTTCAAAAAAAAAAACCTATATAAATCTAGTAGAGTTTTAGATCAATCTTGGGTTGACTTGTCTTCCAGAGCTGTTTGGTGTAGCTCATTTATGTTTCTTTGATTATTTTGTTGTTGCACTTGTACTCCAATTTTCCACTCTGGCATGTAGAGTGTTAATCCAATCCGATGGCTGCAAAGCTATGAAATTCAAACCAGAGGTCTTCCTGTAAGAAACTTGAGCTGAAAGCAAGGCCGAGTTAATGACATAGTCATCATCATTGTTATGTTTCACTTCAGATCATTTGATGGTACTCCTCCTCCTCCTCATCTCAATCAAAACTGCTTTGGTTGGGGTGATCACACATTGGCCTCAGTCACAGTTGTGCTTGCAATTCCATCCAGACACTAAGCCGGCGAAATAATCTGGCTTACATTTGAGTTCACCAACCTGGTTTGCATAGTTTTTCTTATCTGTTGGATTCTGTAAAAAAAGTGCTTTTCATCTGTAATTTGAAAGACACATCAATGAAAAAAAAAAACTCAAACTTGCAGAGAATTGCTTGTGATTTTCCACTGTGATTTCAGACGTCTAACATGTTGCAATCCATCAGATTGATCATTAAACTAAAAAAGAAAAAAAACACATCAAGGAAATTTCAATATTGTAAAAAGAGGGAGCAAGTAGACAGATCCAGAAAAAAAAGGAGAAATACCAGAATAAAATAATGTTTTTTTTTTTTTGAGGAATTGCTTATAATTCAGGTTCAACTCAGAGATATTTGTGTGATTTCTTCAGTGGGAAATGATAATTTCAAGTCTTGAGGGAGCTCTGATTTATCAAGTTTTGCTACTGGGATTTTATGAATAGAAGGATAATGGACATTCTTGGAGGATGCAAAGTTATTAAACCCAAAGGTTTGCTGAGTTGAGGGATTCAAATATATTTGTGACTGGGGTGGAAGATTTTACATATGTATTTGTATTGATTGTTTATCAAAAATGAATCCACTAAAGTGGAGTTGGTGGAAAGAGATATAAAGTTGCTGAAAGTGATGGTAATATCTTGAGTGGGGCTTTGGCGGTTGGTGTGAATTGACACATATCTAAGAATACCATCATAAGTTTCAATTTTTTTTTCTGTGGCAATTTGCAAAAAGGCAAGCTGGGCCAAATCTGAGAATAGAATCTGGAAGATGACGTAGTATGTGGAAATTGTGGGTTTAACAACCCATGAGCCAGAATCTTAAATAATTCGATTTAAGAATTATATATGTCCGCCTAATCTTTAATCCTAAGTATTTTTAAATGAAATAGTGAGAGTGTAAATCAAACAGCTTGAAACGACTGTCATGAAAGTATGGATATCACCGTTGAGATTGAAAACAATCAGGCTGGTATGTGGACACACCAGATCATTGGGGGAACACCATGTCAAGACATGTTGTGTTTTGAAGAATGCTTGGACAGTTTGAGAATTTCCAAGTCTCTAGGCTGGCTTTTCATCCGGCAGTTTGTGATCATCAACTTTATTTCAGAAAAAAAAAGAAGAAGAAGAAAAGTAACCTGAACTCAAAATCATGGAATGCCATGATTTTAGAACAGCAAACTTTGAAATCGGTCCAAGCTTCCTTCAAAACACAATACATATTGCAGGAGAAACAAAAAAATTAATTAATTGACAATAAGTATGATTTAAAGAACATATCTCATGGAACCCCCAAGTGCTAAACTTCAGACAAATAAGAGATTGCATTAAAAAAACCACAGACGCAACACCTGAGAACCAAGTGTCATTTAGCAAAGATCAATAGAGCCGTCTATTGCTGCTTTCTTTCATACCACCTGTTATAGAAATACATCTTTATAGAATATACTGAGCAGTAAAAGTACATAGAACAACAAGTTCCTAAGAGAACAAATAGATTACTCAAAAAAAAAGTGATTATAGAAATTGAGCATAGAGACAAAGATAGAGTATACTTAGAAAATTCTAGGAAGAGTGGAAACTTATCCAGCGGGTGAGGGGCATGTTGATTTATGATTGGGGGCTGAGAATGTCTTATCTATAATCTTGCAATGGTTTTCAAAGTTATTTTCTCGCAGATCCTTCACTGGACAGCTCCCTCTTGATGATTGCGCTGGTGACCGCTGACGATGCCTCAGTCTGTGCACCGTTATTGAGTGGTGGGACCAGGTTACCGAGTGCGGAATTGCGTGTCCAATCTTGTGAGGGGTTTAGGTTGGATGGATCTGGCCGAACGGGTAAATCTGATGTGATTTTCTCAGCTTGGCCCTCTGCTGTTGTTCGCTTGATCCGTGATCCCAGACGGAGAAGGCTGGCCCGAACCGGGGGTGTTGGTCGATTGTTAGCTTCCGGATTGTGGTAAGCTGATAATGATGGAAGGACCTCAAGAGGCTGCCCTGGTTGTGAATCTGAGAGCTCCCGAATCTTGGCATGATCTCCAACAACACCGTGCATGGTTGACTCATCCAATATCCTTTGTTGGTTTGACTGGTTGAAATCTGTGGAGTCTTGATTCGGTGCAACAGGAAGTGGCTTATCAAGTTCTTTCAGCTCGAATCGTGGTGTTTCAAGGTCATTGCTGGGGGGAGATCTATGGAGGGCTTTGGTACGAATTGACCAACTGAGTTCACGGCCGGAGGCTTGGGCTAAAGTCCTTGTCATCGTTGGCACACTCGAGCGCAACTTCCTGGCAAGCACAAAGAGTGGGATCGAGAGGCCGTGGATGGTTACCGAAAACAAGACGAGGAGATAGATCAGCGATTGAGCTGTCAAGGCGAGGACATCAAGGCTCGTTTGGGGTGGGATCTGAGGCGTTGGGAGCTTTGAGATTGCTACACTGCTGACAAAAATTGCACCAACACCTAAGAAAAACATGCAGAAGCTACATGTCAGTAGGCTGGATCAAGGAGGGCACAAGATGATGATGAAGGTGACCAACCAATTGGTCCAAAATGGCCAGAAAAAATAGCTTCACGATGAGTTTTCAAGTCTGGCACAACTCTCTGCAGCATGATCACGATGGGCAACCTCCTGAGAAGCATGATCGAAATTCCAAGCACCACAAGTTTCCATGGGACTAAGCTTAAAGTTGGATCATTCCAGGAAGAAAATGGGATTGTCGCCCCAATATACAAGAAAGTAGTACCTATTTACATTTAAAATAAATGTGAGCTCAACACTGCAAGGCAGACTTTGTGCAGGAAGAGATGAAGCTCACAATTAATCAGCACATCGAGGATTGCTGCAAAGTTGGAAGCCTCTATGGAATCTGTATACCAGTCATCCCATGCAAAGGCTGTGCCACAAGCAAATGCTGCGAGGAGGTCGTCACAGCCGGCTAGGGCGGCAACACCGGTGGTCAAGAGCGCAAGGGCCACATGGATAGCAACCATTGATTCCTTGTCGATCAGTGATTGATTGTTGCAGAACTTTAGTATCTTTCGTGCTAAGATTCCAACAACAATCCCAATGAAGGTTCCTAGAATGACTTGATAGAGCACAACCAATAGAAGCTTTGATTTTTTTTGTTTGTTTGAAAAAAAACAGAAGCATTGCAATCAGTCTTCATGGACATGAATGTGCCAGAGAGAAGGGAAAAAGGTGGAGAAGATGAATTGTTTAACTGACCCATTTTCCGATGACAGATCCAATTGAGGTTTCCTCTCTGATAAGGAGGAAGATTGACAAATACAAGAAGGGGAAGGCAGCACCATCATTACAGCCTGATTCAGCCTGTAGGAGATATCTGAGATGAGCGGGCACATGTTTCTGAGCCGATTTACTCTTGCCAACGACGGAGGGGGCGAGGACGGGGTCGGTAGGTGTGACGGCGGCAGAGACGACGAGGGCTTGGACGAAAGTGAGTGCAGGGACGAGTGCATAGATCAAGGCGCCACTGATGAGCCAGCCAAAGAGCATTGCTGGGCCAATCAGCCAAGCCAAGCTCCGCCAGTGACGAAACATGTATGCCCTTGGCAGGTCGAGCCCGACGGCGAAGACACTCAGCGCAATCACGATCCGGGATAGCTCGAGTGTCAGCTGATTGAAACTGTGGCCATCATTCCACGAGCGCGGATCAAAGAGTCCAGTGACATATGGCCCGAGAAGGATACCAAAGAACACTGAGATGATTGACTCTGCAATGTCAAGTTTCTCCTTGATGAACGCCGAGAAGAAGCCAAAGCTGACGATGAAAGCAGGGATCAATACGAGAGCTAGGTTCAGGCTGTGGGCCTGTATTCAGAATGGAGGAAGAATTATTGGAGATCAGTTTCAATGACAATGAAGCAAAAAAATAATAATATATGACCAGACCTCTGGGAGGATCTTCAAAAGTTCGTCATGGGAGTGTTCCAGACTGATAGCGCCTGCAGACAAGCTATTATTTCGAAACTCGGCGTCAGCGATGTGTCTGGGAGACCATTGGTGAAGATTTTCCCGATTTTGATCCTGATTGACGCGAGAATGAGGTGTTTGTTGTTTTTGATGAGCAGATTGTTCTGTTTGAGATGATAGCTGGCGCTTGACTAGTCTGTTCAACACTCTATCGGAACTAAACCAACCGATCGGCAATTGATGGCTTGAAGTTGATGATGATGATGGTAATATGTTTGGCGATGGTTTTGATTGGGTTGATGGGGTGATGAGGGTGGTGTTGGCTGTTGTTGGTGAAGGCAGTGAGGGTTGGAGTTGGAGGAGGAGGCAGAAGGATGTGAAAGTGATGGAGCTCCAGCGTATGGAGGTCATCCTGAGGTTAGGCGGCGAGTGTTTCAGATCGAGTCAAGGTTGGGCGGATAGTTATATTGATGATGATATTTGTACTTCTGGCTGGGAGTCAGGGCGGTGAGAGGGTGATGAGGGAGTATCGATCGATGGTGATGAGCTGAAGAAGAGAGAGAGAGATAACGGTAGGTCGAATCGATTGATGGTCTCCGATATATTGCTGGACAGGTGGTGGGAGGCTGGAAGGGAATACATAAGAAGGACGGAAAGAAGGAGAGAGAGTCTTCTTTGGGGGGGAGTGCCAGTGGGAGTGGGGTGATCGAGTGGAATGAGAGCACCGAGCAATGAATGAGGGGCTTGACGGTTGGAAAGTGTGCTCGATTAAAAAAAAAAAAAAAAAAAGGGAAAATCAGCAGATCCGAACAAGCCCAATCAACGCCAACGACTCCGCAAGACAGATCAACTGGATCACACACCCACCCTGCATATGTTCACACTGTGTACATACTCAAATGTAGAACCCAAAGGAACCATGATAACCGCAACCAGGAAGAGTACATCGAGCCTCCGTTCAAGGGGATTGCTGCCAAACTCCGGCCATCGCAAGCCATCCGGTACAAGATGCTCTACAAAATCTGTTGATTGGCAAGTTCACGAATCACAATCCAGTTAAAAAAAACTGGATTCTTTCCTATTCTTTCATCATGACTTTGGAAAATTTGTTATGATTATAACCCACCCACCTTGGATAGTCATGACGACCAAGTTTCAGCCCAACAAAATTGGGGAAACGGTTTTCCAGGCATTGCAGGCCATCTACACCACGGGGCGGGTTTTTAGAAAACCTGTACATCCAATGGATGTTTTCTGAGCAAGAGCGTCCTTTGGACGCTATGAAAGCATCCAAGGGATGCTCCAGTGCCCCAAGCATCACTTGGATGCTTTGGAAACCATCCAAGTGATGCCTGGTGGTCAAGACCATCCTCTGGATGGTAAAAAATAACCATCCATTGGACACTGTCAATCAAGAGTGTCCAATGGACACTTTTGAAAGTGCCTAATTTTCACTTGACAGGTGGGGTGGTTGATGGTTGAAAAAACAGGCTAAAATGCAGTTGATTGTCAAAAATTCATTCCAAAATGCACATGACTTGGGGGGGTCAAAAGTCTAAATTAAGCCAGAAAATTAACTTTGCATAAAAATTTGAAGTTATCTGCCATTTAGGTGGCGAAGCCATAAATCTGATATAGTCGACTTGCACAGCCCGCAAGCGCGTGACGAAATTCAAATTTCGTCACGCTGACGTTTTGCATATTCATGTACAAGCCCGCGCGCCGGCCGGGTCGTCACCTGTCATGAATTTCGTCACCTCCGACAATCCACCCGCCTATTTCGTCAGCTGCATCAACTTGTCAAGTTGTCAGCTCATCTCGCCAAGCTGTTGTCAGTTTATCTCACCAACTGGTCAGCTGACTCATCCAAATTGTCAAGCATATGTACATGTAAATATTAAATATTAAAAAAATTGAAATACAAGTAGCCTGCGCAAGGCCTTTTGCATCCGCATCCGTGCATCCCTTGTCAAACAATCCTCCAGTCTGGGTTTTGATACCTAAATATGCCAGCACATGATCACCGGGTCTGTTCTGTTGATTGTCATGATCATACATACCAACAAGAAGTATTGTATCATTTCTAGGCTACTTCTACATAATACATGTGGTTCGGTTCTTGCATATAAATAGGATGCCCATCCCATACTGCTGGTTGTTTGTCAGCTTACATTGAAAACTTTAGTTGCATTCTGGTCCACAGCAGATACTTACAACCTTTGAACCGTAACAATGGCCTCTGCCACTGATATACAAAGCATAATATCTGCCGCCCTCCAGCAGCAATCTCAACAGTTAGAAGCTCAACTTGCGGCTCGGGATGAAGTTATCTCCAAGCTTATGGAGAAGGTAGAGCTTAAAGAAACAGAAGCTTCATCCGCCTCATCTCCGAAGCCGGATAAGGGGAAGTCGGTCGTGAGGAACACTCAACCGAAGAGTTCCCCAACCATCAAGCCCCGAGCAAGTACAAGCGGCAAAACCGGCTCGAAGTCCGCCACACCGACCAAGTCGAACCAGCTCACCCCTCGCCGGACCTCATCTGGTAGCCAACCCAAACGCGACATCACTCCCGGCAACGGTTCCCCAAAAGTCAACCCGATGCAAATGATTTCGCGGAACATGCCTGAGTCATTTGGCCTCACCAGAGTAAGTGGTCACTCTTGCCTATCTCTCGTCATGAATCCGGAATACTTATCCATTCTTTCTCCAGGATGCTTTGTATGTTCACATAAAGCTCATATGGAATCTTCTGGAGCAAAAGACGATCCCAGGCCCCCCTCACCCCGAAACCATCAAAGAGTTTACAGCCCGATTTTCGAATGCCGATGAGATTGAAAAAACGGCAAACGATCCGGCTGGTGAATCCCTCATCCCTGTGAAGGATGTTGTTACCTTCAAGGATCTCCAGCTTGGGAGAAAGAAGGTCGGCAAAGGGTTGGTAAACCTGGAGGAATTTTTTGTCAGCTATACGAAGGCCATTCTAGCTCGTCTTGGGATACGCAGGTGGGCGCCAGACCTCGAAGATTTGCCGGACTCACTTTACAACGAAGCTTGCCGCCAAGCTGCCCTCAAATCCTTCCGCCAGGCCGCTGTTGGTGGTGCCTACGCCTACATGAATATCAATCCAAAGTACGCCACGGATCTCGGGCTTCTGATTCCTGCGTACAATCACTATGTCCACTTCTTGCAAAAAAACCGGTACAATCGAGAGAAGAACCAGAGCGGCAAGTTCCGGATGGACGAAGAGCGTAAAGTGATTGCAAAGGCAAGAGAGCGAGTGAGTAACACCCGTGGTAATTTTTTCCTAGTCAGCTTTGGTTGCTGATGTCTTGGTCTGCGTAGCTTCGAGACAGTCAATTGAAATTCGCGCTCGCCCAGAATCTCCCTAAGCGATATCAGAAGGTCATATCCGATGTCAACTGCCATAGCGATGACGAATACTGTCCGAAAACGAGAGTTTATATCATTAAAACATTGAAGTTTCGGTCACCCAACGCCACCAAGTTCTTCCGCCGACTCGATGCCGCCATCCTGACATCTGATGAACTGGACGGTAAACGTGTGCAGCGTCGCAGACGAGTTGCTCCATCCACTCCGCACCCATCCCTTTTCACCAAGCCTCCAAAAGGCCAACCGTTAGATTTCTACCACGCCGAGTGGTTCAATGACTTGTTACCTCAACAACGTATGGAAATTGCTAACACCCGTGAAGTCGCGTTTTTGCCTGACGCCTCCCAATCGCTCATGGGGAAGAAGCTGGCTTCAGAAAAGCTATCTGACCGAAAGTTCACTCAGGAGTTCTTCGACCGACTCACAAAACCTTACGACCTCACCCATGAGATTGAAGAAAATGCAGATGAGGAAGAAACGTCCGATGAAGAGAACGATCCCTCTTTTGACCCGGATGAAATCGATTTGACCCACTCTGCAAACGAGGAAGAAGAAGAGGAGGACGAGACAGAAGGAGACCGTGACTTTGTTGATGACTCGATGGGTACTTCTGGTCACCTCGAAGAAGAGGAGGAAGACGCGGTCAGCAACGGCGACGAGGAAGAACTCGCACGTGAAGCCCGTTACAATGCAATGGTGCTTGACGAGGATGAGGAGCTCTAACCATTGATCCTCTCAGGTAATAGCTTTTCTCTTTATTTGTTTTGTTTTGGTTTCCTCAAGAAAGCCCAAAAAAAATTGAAAACACCCAAAAAATAAAAAAAAATTGAAAAATAAAAGCGCCAAAAAAATTGTACGGGTATCTGTTTTCCTTTTGTTTTTCTTCTTTTTCTTGCTCATGTAACTCTGTAATGTTGCCTGGATGGAGGATATGTACATTCCTTTTGTTTTTTGGAACGATCTTGTTTCTTTTTTTGAAAAGGAATTCAATAGTTAACCTCCTAAGCCCTTGCAATCGCGCATGTGACCAAATAAAAAAAAAACAGAGCAGCCCAAGTTAGTCAACGCCGCGGCCCCGAATATTGTTTTTCCTCGCTGGGCATTAATCAAACTCCACTTGGGGTGTAGTTCTTTGTGCAGTTCAAATGGCCCTCAAAAAAAAGACGGTCTTACGTTCACCATCATAATTCGTGGGACATTTAAATAAACAAAATGGCCCTCAAAAAAAAAGACGGTCTTAAGATCACCATCATAATTTGTGGGAAAGTTAAATAAACAAAGCATTGTGGATTTCAAATTTACCTACTTGCAAGTATCAATTTTTATATATCCTGTTGTACAACTAAAAACAGTCATGGAAGGGCACGCAGATTGACACGGAGTATCTATTATGTAGACAAGGGAAACAACAGGGGGGACAAATCATGTGGCATTTGTCTCAAAGCAACTAGAGGGAGATGACACCTAAATGTCCAAGCTGGCAGGTGTCTATAAGCACAGACTGCCACCAATTCACCCGGGTCCACGAGATTATAGCCAGACCCTTCTAGTACAATTTTGAGCTGTAAATCATTCAGGGTGTGTAGGAAGTTCTCACTAACATCCACCACATCCCCCGTGCATGCATCTCGAAGTGCCTTGACTGCCACCACAATCCTCCCATCGAATTCGGGTAAGCTGTAGATATGCGTGATCCACCCATGTTGAGTTGAACCATTCTTCCGAAAAGCTACCAACCGGTTCTGTTTTGTTTTGCTGACATACAGGCCGCTTTGAGTTTCGAGTGCGTCAAGTTCATTTACATATGGAGTGAGGACACGAGATCCATCGGGGTGAGGAATGTGTTGATAGTGTCGCAATTCGGGATTGTTCTCTTGGAGCTTTTGAAGCATGGCCGCATACACCTCAGGATGAACTTGGACCAATCTCGCGTGGTTGGATCTGGACTTGTGGTCTTTGGCGGGTTCGGAGTTCGAATCATTGTCATCAATTTTCAGCGACCATCTTGCAGCTTGGGCATTGAGCCTTTGCGTTTGACAGAATTCACGCAAGACAGTTCCTTCGATTTGACCTGATCATAAATGGACGAGTCAGTTTTTGTTCAACGTGATCTGTTTTCAGGTTGTGTTGACCCACCAATGATACCATTAGTCTTCATTTTTTGAAGTATACCGTTGACCCTTTCCCCAGAGAATTCAGACACATTCGAGAGAGGTCCCCACCACTTCATTTGCGCAGGCAGGTGGAGCGCATAATGGTGGTTTGGGACAATCTTGGGTGAATCAAAAACTAGCTTTGATGTTTCAGTATAGAGAAAATAAGCCTCCGCAAATTTGTCCGCATCGGCATCGGTAATTGATTTCAAGGCCACGATGTTAGTGCACATCACAATTGATGAAAAATTGAGCAGGCTATTTTGATTGTCGCCGGTCGCGCACTTTGCTGGATGGTCGAAAAAGAAAGTAATGAGGCTGAGTGGTAGGTAGGTTGAAAAAAGTGAATGCCATTCGCTTGCTTTGAGTTTTCCATGCTTCGGATCTCCCAAGTTTGGAGGGGCTTGAGTTACACCGCGAGGGATGACAATATTGATCAGAGATTTTCGAATATGGGCGAGTGCGTTGTCATGGAACTGAAGGCTTTTTTCGGAGCTGCTTGATTCATCATCCTCCCAATCATCGAGATGGTCGTCGTGAGTAACATGCTTGGGTGGGTCTGGGTCAAATGCCCAGCGCACACGCCAATGATGTTGTAAGACACCTTCGTACCAGTTGTGCATGATACCTAATGCCACATTTCGTACAGGATCCCAGTAAGGTAAGCGGTTGAGTTCCGACCAACGAGTGCCATTCAATTTTAGCCACTTTTTTTGTTCAGCAAGCGTGTCGCTATCCCTCCACCTAATCGCTTGTAATCGTGTTTCTCGGCGATTTCGTTTTCGACCAACCTGCATTTGTGACATGTTTTCTTTTCGACATTTGCACCATGAACAAAAGAGAGTAGCCGCATGAGAAGCGAACCCGGCAATCTTGTGTGTAGCAACTATATCGCCAACTAAGGCGCCGAGGTGGACTGATAGTCTTCGACCATTGGGAAATTGAGGAGTTTCCACAAAGGTGCCAGTGTTGATTAGAAGCAACTCATCAACAAGGGGGGCCAGAATATGGGAAATGGTGGTCATGTCGGGTTCTTTGGGAGCAGGAATCATACCGGCGATGAATATGTTATTGTGTTTATTTCGACTGTGTGGGGGAAGATCCAGACAAGTAAGGGCTATGACACCCATCGAAGCATGTCGTCCAGCAAGCTTATTACCAAATGGATTGAACCAATCAATGAACACCGAAAACGTAAGGCGAAGCTCGTTGCCCGATGGCACTCGTTCGTTCCTGAGTTGAAAACCTTGCCAAGCTTTGGACTGTTGAATATCAACAATTCGTTTTTCGGTGGATGATTGGACTTGCTGTTGCCAGGAAAAGATCTCATCTTCGATGCCAGGAATATTCAAGAACCACTTGAGCCAAGAATCGAACTTCTGAGTATGGTACATCAGGCGGGGAGTGAATGGCTTGAAAGTAGGCGAGGAAGGTGGCTTGGCATGTGAGACGGGTTGGTACCGAGGTAAGAGTTTATCTTGATTCGATTTGAAAAGACCTTCGCCACAAACTTGAGCTTTCTTGGATTTTTGATAAGAGCAGTTGGATGGTGCGTCTTCAGGTTCGTAGAGGCTAAAGCACTTAGGGCAACATATACTACTCTCGAGTTCGGGATCTAACCCAAGATGCTTCGTAATCGTTCGCCCATCTTTATAGCTTTTTAGATATCCGTTACGATCTTGAGGTAATTTTCGGAAAATCTTGATAATGAAGACAATCCAATCTCGTGCAATTCGACAGTGGTTTTGACTAACGCCACAGATCAAGCTGAGCCATGTAATAAAATAATATATGTATCCTATCAAACAGTGGTAGTGGATGCTGTTGTTAGCATTGGTAAGACCTTTGAAGAACAAGACAAAACTGAAAAACTCACGGATACATTCAGGCTCTATGATCATTTCTTCTGTTTCGGATTCTGAGTTGCTGATTTGTGAAGTCTCAGGAGGAGCAGAGTCGGATGGAAGTGCTGTGTTTAATTCATTTAGATCATCCAGAGGGGTAGTTGTTTGTGCCCAATGCCTTCGACGGGTGCTTGGGTGGACCCAACAGCCTTGAGTTGTTTCGCCATTGGGATTCGTGATGGTTTGTTGAATGCATGTGTCACAGGTGCATATTTGGAGACTCATGTTGAAGTGTTGTTTTGAGGGTAGTAGCTATGGCGGCGTGGACTGAGGGTTGAAAGCGGCAGCTGACGAAATAGGCGGGTGGATTGTCGGAGGTGACGAAATTCATGACAGGTGACGACCCGGCCGGCGCGCGGGCTTGTACATGAATATGCAAAACGTCAGCGTGACGAAATTTGAATTTCGTCACGCGCTTGCGGGCTGTGTTGGCAAGGACTGTGGTATTGCATCACAATGATGCAAGTAGGTTGTGGGTTCAAGCCCAGTATGGATGTGATTTTTTTGAGGTTTGCCCTGCCAGAAAACCACCCAATGGATGGTTTATTCCAAAACGTCCATTTCAAGGTTTTGAGAGTGCCATCCATAGGATGGTCCTTGCAGAGCCATGGAAAACTGGTCGGACAACCATCCAGCGCACCGACCAAAAGTTGTCCGGAACGACCCGTGGTGTACATAGAGAGCCTTTTCAGTTCAAAGAATAGGCACTCAGCTTGCTGGCTCTGTCTGCATCTCAAATTTTCATAAGATCCTTCAATTCCCACAACACCCATACACTTGCCAGCTGTCTAACCAAAAAAAAGGCCCCCCTCAGATAACCAGCATGATGTTGGTACATAGCACCCACCAGTCCACCTTCCCAAGAACTGCAATCCCTCAGGTATGACTACTGCCTCATGCCAGTATGATCAGTGTAACTTCGAAATCACCTTCTTTGTTTTGGATTCATCCTCAAAAACCTACCTATAAACCCCACTGGGAATGGGCACTATTTAAGCTTGCCATGATAAGAGGGAATAGAGACACTTGATCGAAAAAAGTGGGTCAGGAATATTTTGGCTAACCAAGTTTTTACAACCCCTTCATGAAACAAGTCCATCCATGGTGGATGAAGAAAAGGCTCCAGATAGATGCGTATTCAATCACCCAAGTCGAGCCTCTTTTCTCACCAAGCAGAAACAAAAAATCATCACTGTCAGGGAGGTAATTCAAATGAGTTCTTTCCAATACACGATTGCATCTATGTATTCTTCGTCCTCGTTTGATTGGCCATCGGCATTCTTGATAACGGATTTCAATCTGCCCGCTTTGGGGATCAAGCCTACTCTTTGGAACCCGAGTGAATCCCAAATGGCTATGGAGGCCAGATTATTCTTGTAAACAAGATTAAAAACTGAAGCCCTGTATCCTGTTCAAAATAAAGAGCGCAATAAAATTCAAAGCAATTGTATCTTCAATCTGCTGCTTTTGTAATCGCGCCTGCCAGAGGATCGGTTGATTGGGGATTCACATACCTAGTAAGGGAGCATAGTGTAAAAATGATCGGGCTAATGTTTTGCCGACCTTACGTCCCCTGTGGCGTGGATCGACCACGAAACCACCATTGCAACACTGTATAAAGCGTATTTGAATCCAAATCCCCGAGAGATAGGCAGAGCTTGGTTAGAATTTCCACAGTTGAAAAGACAGTCGAGAAGGGCAATATACAAAAGAGTGAGACTCTTTTTTTATTTCAATCTATACATACGCACATGGGCTGAGCGTCCTGGGTAGTTGGGTTTGATGTAGTATATGCCCGCGATAATCTCCTGCAGCGGTCTATCTGAAATCAAGTCCATCAGAGAGAGCGGATCGGTTGCCTCAATGCTGATACCTTCTTCCCTAGATCGGTTCACATCCACACCCGTGTTGTCGTCAGCAATAAAGCTGGCCAGCAAGATGGAGAATTATATGCTCACTGATTTGTGCGGAGACCATCCGGTGATTCATTCGGGGCAGGAAACGCGTCAAGAACCCCAATGAAGACGTCATGGGCTAAGCAGGAGGTATGTCCAGAAGGAATATGACCAAAAGAGATTGGATGCTTTGGATTAAACAAGGGTTCTGGAACCGTAATCGAAAACCATATGTAGGGTGAGAGGAAGCACTTACAGAGGAAATAATTCTTGAATCCATCCAATGCCAATTCTTCCTCTTGCGGATATGTTCTTCCCTCAGCAACGATAGAATCGAACAGACCACTTAAATGTTTCCATAACGCTTCGAACCGATCTGGGTTTTTGACGATCAAGCCATCAGGTGACAAAACATCTTGGATTGGAAAAACTGTCAACGAAGCCGATTGGTCGGGTAACCTATACGTTCGTGGTCGGAGTTGACTAGTTGTCTTGCTCGGATTCTTTCTAATCTGACCATAAGCACTCATACTATACTGTGGCCCGTGGGGGAGATCGCGTATGGAAATATGTTGGTAGGATGAAGTATTTATATCAATCGAGTCGATACTTCGGAGCTTGAGAGTCGACTGGGTCAGGCGCTAAACTCCATTCAAACTGAAACTTCAATCAACCTGACTGTATGCTTATCTGCTTCATCCCCACCCTGCCGGTCATCCAGCGACAGCCCCCAGGGATATTCTAGAAATGTACAAATGAGCGCCTGCAGCTCTTTGGTGGCTCATACCATTCCGTACCATTCCCGGGGACATCGGCAATCCCTTATCGGTGCATCAGCATTGTCTACAGTCTGCTTACAATGACCCAGACAAGCGCTGCTGAAATGCAGCTGCAAATGTTTCATTCATCAGTTCTATTGGGATCTAAAGTGTATATTTACATCAGATCGACTTCATATTTTTTATCCGGTATCCTTTATAATTGTGTCTTTCAGATTGTAAGTATGTAGGCCAAGTTGATCCGGATCATGTATTTTAACGCAAAATCCTCTATTTAGTAGAAAAATTGAATCAATCCATGTGATAAATCAGAAACTGAGTTTTACCAAAAAAATAGTACAATTTCATCTTTAATAACTCCAAGATCACAATCGTTTCAAAACCCGAAATGAAGGCAGGAAAATGGTTCAATTTCTGATGATCCGATAAAGCCCCTTCATTGAGACTCCGATTGTGCAAAGTATCATCAATGATCCACTATAGTATACCAGGGACTTGTATCCCGCTTTGGTGGATGAGGAACTTTGGAGAAGCGCTCCAGCAATCGGCCCCGTTAGAACATTGGCGATACCACGACTGGTTGCGAAATAAACTACCAGGCCTCCCGAATTCGGCTCTGATGGGGCGATGATCATGGCGAATCTCTGCCAAAGGCACGAAAATCCACCAGCACTGATTCCATCTGAACATAGAACAGAAAAATCATCACATTCCAGTCCAAACAGCTAGTTCAACAAACCATCTCAATGCGCAAAGGAATGAAAGAGCTTACAAACGATGGCAAATGCCGCCAACATAGCAAATCCATCGGAATGCCCCCATAAGACAAAGATGCTGACCGAGCTTGCGACAGAGGTTACTCCTATGATCCAGCTTAAATCGTAGTGATCACTCAAAGCTCCGGTGACTAGTTGGCCAATGATGCTTGAGCCTGCGAAAAGTCCAAGGACAATACCACCGGGACTGCCTGTTTTAAAAGATCATAGTTTCAGTAATTTGGAAAACATTTGTAGGAAAAAATGCGAATCGATTTACCAATCGAAGTGGCGTAGGTGGGCATGTATAGGGTCGGCACAAAGAAAGATCTACGATTCCAAGACCTCACAAACATCAATGACAGGATCTTTCTCAGTACCATTTGTAGAGGAGAAAGTCAAGATACTTACAAGCTTTGCAGCAACTTTTCTTCGTCGAGATATGGTGTTAGCTAGCTGAGATGTGGTTTTCGGAGGAGATGCAGAAACCAAACCGGATAAGAACACACGTTCAAACAGGTGAATGCCCAGAAGATTGGTCTCTTCAGATATTTCCTAGTTGGAGCGGGTGCCCCACGCCGTCTTACTGACAAGGGCAGGCGCCCACTGGATGAATATCAACGGATCAGCCCAAATCTCAAGCACAAATTTAGCTCTCAAACAAGCCTACCGAAAAAAAGGCAATATCGGAGCCATTCCAATAAGAAATGCCGCACCAAGACCGCGAAGAGTCATTGGGGTGCCATATTTCTTGAGTGACCAATCGAGCACCGGCGGAATAATCAAGCCAAAGACAGAGGTGCCTTGGAGTGATGGACGATAGTCCAGAGAAATTATTCCATGATCACATTGTAAGATGGCCAAGTGCTTGAAAACATTATCTCACCCGCAAACATGATCGACCCTGCGAGGCCACGCTTGACAACCCACCATTCAGAGAGGAAGAACAGGGCCGGGTAGCTAATTACCACATTACCTTGTTAGATGATCAAAATATATCCCTTTCCGTCCCAGTGAAATAGGTTGATGTCCAAGCGCTATATAACTTACTATAGAAGGGCTGAATGTGTTACTATCAGCCCGAAGTCTTCATAATACATAAGATAATTACTGATCATGATACTTACCGCCCCCAATCCCGTACATTATGCCTTGGCATAGAAGCAAGTGCCATTCCTGAAATAGATGGATGGTGGGGGTAACTGAGCAACCGGCGTACTCTGTTGATCCAAGAAAGGACTGACTTTGGTCGAGTAGGAAGCTGCCACAAAGGATCCACTGCACACCAGGGTGCCAACAGTGGGCAAATATAGCGCAGATCTCGGGAAGTTTTCCATCAATGAAAGCACAATTGATCCGATGCAGTATAATATCCCCGTGCACAGAGTCCCTTCATCCACACCATAATAAAACCATTAGTTTTTTTTTTTTTTTTGACATTCTTTTTTCTATATCAAAAAAATTCTTTCTGGACTCGTTATGGGATCGTCAAAAAGAGAAGAAAAAAAAAACACCGACCGATAATGGCAGCCATGGTGGAAGACATTTGAGAATAAGGAGGAAAGTCGAGGAAAACTCCAAATGACAAGGGGATTCCTAGAAAAGGAACAGACAGAAATAAATGAACGATGGATTCCAATTTGTACCGACATCTATGACGAAGAATGAATATCCTACACACCCCAGACATAACCTTCGACCAAAAACGAGAGAAAGATGAATCTCCAAGCCAAGAATCCGCCATCGACAGGTGCCAAGGTTCTTTCTCGATCTTTGCTGGCGGACTGGAAATCCAACTCGAGTCTTTGGTTGTTCTTGATCAGATCGGGCTCGTGGACGATGTTCTTAGGTCTGCTGGAGATGGTTGCTTGATGGTCATGATGAGGGGAATGGAATGTCGCCAGTTCGTGGGATGAAAGCTCGGCAGGATCCATTCTCATCAAAGCACAATTGCAATTGGGACTGTGATCTCTGCCTGCGAACCTCTGCAAGACTTTTTCCTCGATGGATCACTGGAATCCTGTTGGGACATTGGGGCAAAGAGCAGGCCGGATCCAGGGGCTAAAATAAATCCCCAACGCGCACTCCATCCTACGCTATACTTCTGGGGATGTCTGAGCCGGCCTCTCGAGAAAGGACTGAAACGGGGCACCGCGCAGCGAGTGATTTTTTGATCGCTGAAACAAATTTCATAATCTACAATGCCAGCACGGATATGGCGACCATTACAATCGCTATCAAATCTTGCCTTGCCCAACATTCTAGCGCACTACAGTTTCCCCGCAAATTCCATACAACTGGCAACATGAGGAGACGGGAACTAAGAGACTAAAGTCCATAAGCGCTAAAATGTAATTAACACATCCCAGCAACAGGGATGTATTTTCCCCCGCAATTGTCTAGCTAATATATGTAGTATGCAACCTGATAACCCTTTGTCAAGAAACCCCTAAGAAGGCTTCAGATAACAGCACCAGCCTCCGCTAGATTGCATACTTATCTTTCTCGGCCCGATGAGATATCTATACGATAGATAAGCTCATGTCTTTGGTAGTTGGTCGGTGATCGGTATGCTCCCCCGCTCGGCGAGGCCCGTGGGGTATCTCTGAGAGGCCTCTGTGTCAGGCGGCCTTATTCTGATCACCAATGACAGCTAAGGCGAGTTGGGAGACTGGGCCCATGGAGCTCCAATTCTCCATCGCCCTTCTGCAAGCGCGGCGTCTGTTAAGGCCGGCGGCCATGTTGCGGTACAATTCTAGACCCTTGGATAGCAACTGATGCTGCGACCAAAAAAAAAAAAATCACAAAGTTGTGATCTGAATGTGTCCCCCTTCCCCCCCCTCATGGCTCCAATCATAGCAACCCCAAGTTATGTAGCCAGCACAAGATATTCAACTATCGAGGCCGGTCTTGTTCCAAGGTTATTATCGTATCAGGGGTTAACAAACCTGTACGTTAAGCCGCAAGTCAACCGAACATGTACATTTTGAAAGCTTTTCAGGGGTTTGAAGATCTACAGAGAGACAGCGAGAGAGGGAGTCCCAAGCAGTCGAGCTTAACTTGATGGGCTTTCATGATCAAGTTTACCCATCCGTCGAGTCAAGGGGGGTGGGCGTTCGAAGGTGTGTTCAGGACTATGTACTCTCCCGGGTTTGTTGTGAAATGCTTCCTTCCAGTCTTTCTTCGTCCCTGATACATGCCAAGCTTAACAAAGCCTCTTTAGGGGCGTCCCGGCGGGACGCTCCTCCCTGCGGTCGGGCCGAGCTTCGCTCGCCGGCGTTCACTTGCCCGCCAAGACCCAGCCGGGGGGATCGGAGAAGCTAGGATACATGCAGACGTGATCAATGTCAGATCCACTGATTGGTTGATTCTGTTGATTCATCAGAGAAAAAATACCGACAATCATTCTGTTTGTCTATGTATATTGCACCAGCCAGGCGTCGGACTCCGCCAAATTGCTCATTTGATGAAGCTCACTTCGATCAGACAATTCCTTCAACCCCACTCGAAACCGGAACAGGTAGTTGAGTTTCAATAGGCTATGAGAATGTTGTATTAAGGAGCCTTATATATTGATAGAATCTTTATCGCAGGATGATCTTATGATGAGTGGGATCGATTTGTAATACACTATGTTTTAAATTGTTGAATTGGCAATGTGCAAGCTCGTACACTGAGAGCCAAAAGAAATCCCATCTTGGAATCCACTGCGACGTATGTTTGCATGATTTGAATTGGTGGTGAGGAATTATTCCTGGGACCACAGAGATCTGGAGTTGGACCAAACAACTTATTGGCGGGTCAAGTCTCCAATAGTGAAGAGTGAAGAGAGAGAAAAAAATAAATAGAGAAGAACGAGGTTATCAAACAAGAATGATAATTATAATCAACGAAAAATGGAAGTTGAGGTGCGACCAATGATGATGAATATGAGAACGAGACGGACGTGTTTTGTGACTGGTTAAGTAGTTTGAATGACAGAGAAATAGAGAGAGAGAGAGGGAAGAAAGAGCTAAAAAGACGTCATAGGTTATAAAAGTTAATCAAATGAAAAACGGGAGAGAGAAATGATGTGATGATGATGCAAGAGACTAAAAGAAGTGGACAAAATACCAACCAACCCTCAAAACAAAACATTCAGCCAGACAAGAGCGAGAGAGAGAGAGACAGAGAGATCAAAAGATTTGGCCTTCACTAGCGTAAAAGAAATTACTACTTAACGGGACAGGCGGGACGTTCAATTGACTAACCATGATCCGAGTTACAGAGACAGCGAAAAAGCCGGTTGGCCATCAATAACTTTACACCAACCCACCCCAAGCCACAAAGAAACAAAAAAAAGAGAGACTGACTTAGGAACATCAACCCGTTCGCCGGTCAAGTCCAACAACTTGATCATCGTCCCGATCTGGGTCAAGCTGTAGACCAACTCGGCAGTTTCCTGGGTGGTCATTGTACCCTCGACGGCCGACGAGAAGTGTTGGTGCTGCAAGTTTGGATTTGCATGAGCGTTTTTGATCAGACTATTGTTATGGTTCTGAGCAGCGGCGAGATTGGACGGGAGCTCATGAGCGTTATGGTTGTGATCTTCGATGGGTTGGTAGGGGGTTTGGTTGGTGAGAGATTTGATGAGGTTGAGGCCGTCGAACCATTCGCTATAGATATGCGAGTTAGAGGGGAAGAGACGGAGGAGAAGGTGGTCGCCATTCATGAGCGAGATATTTGCCTGATGGCTTTGGTATCCTTGCTGTTGTCCACTCTTCTTTGAATGACTGTCGTTGGCCAACATCACAAAACTGTCGCTCGTACTCGCCGAGGAGGCGCTGCTCATCCGGCGTGTTAAGGACGGCCGCCGATCAAAGTGGCTGTTCTCTTGACTGCCATCTCGCACTTGTTGTTGTTGTTGTTGTTGTTGATGCTGCTGCTGCTGCTTCAAGTTGTTGTTCGTCCCTGATCCACTCAGAACCGACGTGATCAATGACACATCAACTGATTCATCATAGAAAAGAAAAAAAAATAGCTGCGTCAATCGTTCTGTTTGTCTACCAGCTATGACAAGGACAAACTTTTCATCGAAAACTCACTCCGATCGGGTAATTCCTCAACTCCACTTGAAACCGGAACAGGCTGCGGAGTTTCGAAATAATGTAAATGTTTTTTATTAGGAGCCAAGCGATAGAACCTCCATCTGGGGACGATATTATGATTGGGATCAAGTAACCCGTTACTATTTTTCGAATTATTGAATTGAGAATGAGCTCGTAAGCTGGGGACCGAAAACCCTAACTTGGATCCACTGTTCCCATGGTTCGAGTTCGCCGGGAGGATTCGTTCCGGATAATGTGGGAACCAACATCCTGCTAGTAGAGTATTGATCCTCTGTGTTTTGACAAATTCGAATGCGTTTTGATACAGCTTTCCTCTCAGATTCCTGTTCCATTCCACACATCCCACTTCAGCTCAACGTGCTGTTTTTTTTTGTAGTAACCTGAGAAAACCCTACCTGACTGGAGTTTTATTCCACATACTATCTTCCATGGCTAACTCTTGCATCTGACGATCACGAACCTTCATGTATTCACCGTTCTCAAATTCTCTGACCAAATTCATCCAACTGGTTTTGACGGATCCTTTAGAGTCTTCGTGATTTCTCAGAGCGTTTCTCAGATGACTGCGGACCAAGACTCCAACCCTTTCGAAATCATGCGTCGTTGCGCCAGATTCATTCCACATTAACTTGAAGAAATCTAATGCCAAATGGTGTAACTTGGGGTAGTTGAGCATGAATGGCTTGAAGACTGTGATCAGTTGATCAGCTTGTGCATCTGCTACATTCCACTCGTAAAGGTCGATGAGGATCTATGAATATGATTGATTCAATGAGTCTCCGGAAGATTATTTGTTTTCTTTTACCAGAAATTGGACTGCTTACTTCTGTACACTTGTTTGATGCTTTTGCAAGCGGGCATCTTCGACCATCAGGCTTGAGCAATTGTTCTGCAATAAACTGATACGAAACAACAAAAGCGGATTCAGCGATATGTTAGAAATGGAACAATAGACAGAGATAACGTACTTTGTCGAATTCAACTGAGCGAGTATTCATGAATCTGTACATTAACTTGAGTCCCAAGACGCCGACTTTCTCGAAATCATCGAGTAGATTAGCCGAATCGAAGCCAAGAGTTTTCCATTTACGAGCCTCCAGTTCATCTTCTCCAGTCCGCTCTTCATCTCCCTCCTCCCTGGTGTCGTTGTGACGAGCATCGAGGTCACGAGCCCGACTGGCCATCTCCATGAGCTGTTCGACGTGTTCTGGGACTTCCGAGTTGACGGTCGTTCGGATCAGTCGCCGGTTCATGAGGACTAGATTTCTTTGGAAGGTGAGGATATCCGATTCGACCTCATCAAACGCTTCGTCTGCCCGCCCCTCACCAAGCCTCAAGACCGCCCTGCGTATTCCGGCGCGTTCCATACGCTCCATAAACCAACCCACGTAGTCCTGTCGGGCGTCTTCCCAGAGGGCTGCACGCATCAATGCGTTGACGAGTGCAAAACTGACTTGAGAGAGACTGAAGTCGGAGGTAGACCCCGATCCAATCCGACGGGCCAGTAAGCCAAACAGATCCTCCTTCTCCCCAGCCGCCTCGATCACCCCACAGATCGCACCAAAGGCTAGTCGGGGCGAGGCAGATGAATCGTGTGCGATAACTTTGAGGATCGCAGTGGTGGGTCTGAGGACGTTGATGGGTGCGTACTGATCACCAGATTTACCAAACGGTCGGCTAGGATGGGCTCCCATCGTCTCCTCTGTTCGGCAGTTGAATAGTCGATCATTACTTTCAAAGCAGACAGTGCATATGCCAAGGTGTTACCGGTTGAAGTCTTGCATAGTCGTAATAATTCACGAGATCCGCCTCTCTCTTGAAATTCACTTGAAAATTCAGGTTCCTGTTAAGTAAGAAACAGTAGATGGTTGATGAGTATATCTGATAGTACCAGTCAAGATTGAATCTAAAAGCGGACCCTTAGATAGTCCTTCAAACTGAAGAGTGGTAGTTTGATTGCTTTGAGATGGTCCTGATTATGTTGAGCTTGATTGGATTCGGTGATGTTCACGGAGGCGAGTTTCTCTGCGATATCTCTTGCTTCGATAGTGGGTGATTTGACCAGTTTTAACGAGCTCATTCCATTCTCGATCTTGCTGAAGACCTGGTCATAGATACAAGAGAAGAGAGTGAGTATGTTTGTGTTTCTTTTTTTTTTTTTTTTCCAAAAGTAGACTTACGTTATCAGGGGTGATGAGTTCGTTATTCGAGGCATCTCTTAGACAGAACATCTCAGCGGGGTCATCGAGAGCGAGTTGGGTGGATCTACAGAGCTGACGGATGACTTCGTCGAGTGGTACGTTCCGATCGATGCGAGCTTTGACGGAGCGAGAATTGGATGAGCCGGGGTGTTTGTAGGTGATGAGGATGGTAGGTAGGGTAGTGACCTCGGGTGCTGACTGAGTGAGTTGAGGGGTGATTCCGATTGGATTAGTATGGTCGAAGGAGGGGGAGTAATGCTGTGGTTGTTGTTGTTGATATTGCTGTGGTTGTTGTTGTTGATGATACATTTGAGTTTGTTGCTGTTGGTTTGGGTTGGTTGAGTTTGCAGATGGTAGTGAGGTGGCATGAGTGTTTGATGAGGATGGATGGCAGGCTGATGATGATGAGCTGGGTGAGATTGGGGTGTGGTTGTTGTACATCTTGTGTTCTGTTTTTTTGGCCTGCTTGTTGTTTTTTTGTTTTTTCTGCGGAATGGTCAACTGAGATTTCTTTGCAGAGTGGACTTCTCGGGAAGTTCGACTGTGAATGTGGCTGAGTCATCCTGATCTCTTGCCCATGTCAATCTCGATTCTCAGCTCCGGTCGTTTGAGTGGTGCGATGATGTCATCCACTCCCTCCCAGTCCCACCACTCAACTCGCTCACTGTGAATCAAATCTGTCAATTCACTTTCAAATTTCGTCTCCGGGCCTGTCTGTTTGTTTTGATGAGCCCGTCGGGCCGTCTGCTCACTTTCAAACTTTCATACTGGGACTTGGGGGGGTCCTCCAGACCATGGACTGTTCTGATTGTGATCTCTATCATGTTTGATTCTCACAAGATAGCTCGGCCGTCTGATCCACAAGTCCACAATCGAACATCACAAATACATAGATCGGGACTTGAGGAGAGGTGCTTACAAATGGGCGTTCAGCAAGGACAAAGTGAAAAAAGAACCCGCGGTGCCATTCTTCAACTTTTCCTTCTTATGCCTTCTCAGTGTAATTTGATTGACTCACAACTCAGATGAGTATTATTCATCTATTCTCCCTGGTATTTGTGAAAATTTGAGAAGACTACAACAAATCACGGTGTGTCTATGTGTGCAGTCAAAAAAAAAAACCAAGAAGAGAAATCGACCTATGATTGAACACATACGGAAATCTTGTGCAGATCATAGAGCTTACTGAATTACAACTGAAGACAAGAATGAGTGGAAAAAAGGAGTGAACGAAACACAACAACTTAAATACCATAAGATAAGGATCCGACAAATAAAGAAAGAGATGATGACAGTTGAATGATGATGAGAGGAAGTGAGGATGAGTGAACGGGACGAATGACAGACGGTTTTGGTGAGGAATGAGAGAGCTTTAGAAGGCTAGGACCATCAACAAGCCAGCGGAAAGAGCAATAGTAGTCAGGGCAGGGAAGAACTGAGATTCGGAGTTAACTGGCGATCTTCGAGCCGAAGCAGCCCCAGTCTTAGCCCCATCCTTGGAGCCCGAGTTGGAGTTCGAGTTGGAGTGTCCGTTCGGAGTGGCGGTGGCGGTCGCAGCGGGAGCACCCCCCGCCCAGTAATACGTCACACCCTGTGGGACTGGCGAGGGGACTGAGACACATTGCGAAGATGCTGGCGCGGCCACTGCTAGGGGCGTCGTCGGGTCGCCTTGGTGGAACGTCTTCGGCCCCGGTGGGGGATAGGCTCCTACCGGTAAGTCATAGTTCGCATTGCAGTTCGAGAAGCCCGGCGTCTCGTAATCTGAGGTATGTATCAAGCCATTGCACCACTCGTCAGTCGATCAAAATAAGTAAACAAAAAAGGTATTAACTTACCACTAATATTTTAAGTTAAAGGAGGACATATAGAACGGTTCGGTTAAACTTCATCGGACTCCAATAAAATCTTACTTTGAGAAGAGAAGAAGAAAAACAACTTACCCAGGCATGACCCACAGACACCCCATCAAGTCATAGGTGTTTTTACAATACTCATACGAGTCGTCGCCATGACAAGCTCTCAGACAAAAGACGGCGTTTCCCGGAATATCACAGCCTCCTACATCACATCACATAAATGGAAAAACAAACGAAGAGGGGTCAGAAATTCCGGTAAGAAAAAAGGAAGATCAATTGTGTGTGTGCTTGGGTCAGTGGTTCTTTGTAAAAAGGATGGCTCACCCATGAATTGCATGAAGTCATGTGCTCCATCAACTGCCGCTCCGACTGGATTACCAACACCTAAAAAAAAAAAAAAAAAAACCCAAAACATTGACTCCTGTGAGTTTTCATTCTTTGTTTTGTTTTTGACAGAAAGGGACGAGAAAAACAAGTTTCTGAAAGAGGAGAAGGCACCAACCCATGGCGCCATGGTTGTCATATTCTCCTCTGGTGATTGATCAGAGGATATTTCCAAGACGGAAGAAGAAAAATCGAAGATTAGAGATGATGGTTTGGAAGGGGGGAATGTAGAGGAGGTGTAGATAGTAGAGCATACCCGCAATCGTTGGGAGACAGGTTCATTTTCGAGGGGTCGTAAGTGCCGGAGATTTGGACGTATTTATCGGTGTGTCTGAAGTGGGAAGTTTTGATGAATCCGTCGGGCATCGCTACACAAAAATCATTATTATTATGATTCAAGAAAAGGAGTCAAAGTGAGTCAAGAGTGGTGTGATGTCCATGGATGCTGATCAAGATGACCTGCAAGGACCAAAACCAGATTAGAGGGGGTTTGGCAGACGAGAGAGGACGACGTACGACGGGTGTCGTTGACCGGATTCGTGCAATAGGCTACAGCGTTGGCTTCGGCATCTACTAAGTTCTGCTTGGTTGGGTCCGGGGGCATCAGGATACAGAAATCCGTCGCACTACCAGTAAGTAAATACCGAAGAGAGCGAAGGCCGTCAGACGATGTTTTTCGTAACAGATAAGACCAAAGGGAGAAAAAAGGACGATTGTTAGCGGACCTGTTGATACGAATCTGACGACCCATTCCATTGAGTGATGGCGGAGGAAGTCCGCCTGAGCCACTGGGGGGCTTCCAAGGGCCGACTTGTGCGGTCGTGATGGGCGCCGGTGGGGGGCCGGAGCCGCCGATTGGGGGGACGGGCGCTGGACTGGGCGCCGAGGGCGGGGCTTGCTGCTTGCTGAGGGCGACCAAGCAAGTGAAAAGGACGAGTAGCTGAGGTCGAAACATGCTGAAGAAAAGGTGGGTTCGAGGAGGTATGGTGTGGGGGTAGATTGAGATAACTGTTTGTTTGAGGATTCGTATGAGTCCAATAGTGATATGTTTATGTTTAGAGAGCACTCTTTGGACAGGGATGCAGAAGATGTAGTATAGAGCCTATACTGATGGTTATATTAATAAAGGAGTGGGAAGTAAGGATCGATGTGCTTGGTAGACGGTCGGATGGCTTGGGCTGATGGAGGACGCAATGGGCATAGGGGATGTGCTATTCCCCTATCGTTCAGCAGTGGCTCGTTTGCAGAGTGGAGGAGATGACTGAATGGAAAACACGGATTTGCAGACGGCCCAGGATTGCTTCAAGCAGCAGCTGCTGCAAACCAACACTCTTGATGGATGCACACAACGAAAGTTATTGTGAGTTTGACCAGCGAGAGAGTTGCCCGGCAAGTTTTGTCACCATTTCAACGAGCATGCGTTTTGACAGTTATTACTTCTTTTTTTGGCTTTTCTGGCAGGTGTTTAAATAATATGGGCGTGACTCGCAGGCGAGGGGAGACCAGAGACAGAGAAAGAAAAAAAGGGGGATCCCCGCTGCTGCTGAGAGAAGAGAATGGCCGAGGGCCGAGGATGTTTTACCTATTTCAAGCTAATCCATCACAAGGCTGAGGTAACACTTGTTGTTGCAGTTGATGGTCACCTGCGCGCGACTGGTTTAAAGAGGAAGGTTTTATGTATTAGCAGGACCGGCAGACTCCAGCATACAACAGCGGCGTCAGTCAAACAGCAGTCGGTCTTGCTCTGTTTTATTGTACGATCTCATGGAGCTGAGTTTTAGAGTTGGAGGATGAGCTCCGACGAAACAAGTCTAAATAAAGCTTCAGAGAGAGGCGGATTTCGTTTCTTCTCCATTTCACATCAGACGGGGCGATTCCAATCATTGGTATTTTTGTACTTGCTTATTCAAGCATCAATCCATGGAGACTTTCTTCCGACTTGTGCACATCCAATATCCATCATACAGATAGATTCGGTCAGATCTGCAGCGGAGTGCTTCAGCAAATTCCACATTGTGCTTGATACACAAGAGTCTAAAGATGCCCGAACTTATCTCAAGAGAACATCTCTTCAATCAGCGGTCCGGATGTTTTGATTACAAAATAGAGCTGATATAAGGGTGTGTTGTAAAGATGTTGGAGAGAAGTTGGTCGTCAACCAACGTAGACAGAAACTTCAAGATCTCGGCGGCTACATACGAATTTGTGCATACAACAACGGACACCTTTTTGTACAATCTTCTACCGCTGGTGAACATCCCCTCATCATATGATAGGGTTATTCGGACTATCTAAATTGTATGTACCGGGATGAACCGGGAAAGAAACTTGCGGGGTTTGCAGATAAACAAAATCTGTAGATGATTGTGTTTCAAGAAACTGTGACATTCAATCAAACCTTCTTTCCTCAGCCTGAGCAGTTTCCATCGATATTTACTGATGGCCCACCGATTCACAAATCCACACTAGAGACCGCGCCGTCCGCGCCGAGGGTTGAAGAGTTCAAATCCATCTTCTTGTCATCATATCTCGGCGATGCCCGGGTGCGGGTAGCATTAAGGCTTATTTACATGCAGACAAGTGGTCCAGCCTGGTCCACCGAGTTCTATGTACATTTGGGGTGGATGTTTCATGAATAGTCAAGACGAATCCTGTTTTATGGTCTCAACCTTGCTCCTGGGAATCCCATCTTCCTGACTGCGTACATAGTCGTACACTACATACCCTGAAGTTTATTCTCCCCAAACACTTTTTGGCCTCTTCTACATACTTAGACAGCTTCGCGGCTCATCCAGCTTCCAGAAACCTTTCGACATACTCTTAATCAAGTACATAGAGATGGAGCCTTCGCAAGACGCAGTGGTCGGTCTGATCGGGATGGGCGAGATGGGTCGGATGTATGCAGACCGACTGGCGGCTGCAGGAAATTGTCAGTTACGTAGACTCAACAAACGTCCCATTCGATTCCCTTTTTCTTTCCATACTTATTCATTTGTCTACATGCCCCCAAACTCGCTTCTACTAACACTTTCCCTCTGCTTTCAAACATTTCTTTAGACTGTTGGTATGTGATCGACCTGAGAAATTCGATCAGTTGCGAGACGATTACAAAGGTACTTCTTCTCTGTTTTTTTTTGTTGTCGGCTCTTCCTTCTTTGGCAATCCCGTTCGTTGATCGGTACTTCTTCTTCAATTCGTAGATCGGCCGAACGTGACTGTCGTCGCCAATGGCCACCTGGTCAGTCGGGCCTCCGATTTGATCATTTATTCGGTCGACTCAGAGCACATAGAAATGATTGTAGAACAATACGGACCATGTTGAGCATCCCATCACGTTTCTACTTTTTTTTCCTCAAATCCCATTAAGGTTATCCTCTTCTTTCTACTGATGCTCGTCATCGCGTTTCTTGTGTCTTTTTTTTTTCTGAAAACAGCTACAAAACTAGGAGCAATCGTCGCAGCCCAAACATCGGTGAAAGCGCCCGAACAGGCCGCGTTCGAAAAACATCTACCAAGTGATACGAGAGTCTGTTCGATTCACTCGCTCCATGGCCCTTCGATTCCTCCAGATGGTCAAGCACTAGTCAGTTAGCTTCCCCCCCTTTCCTTTTTCATCGTTTGATTGCCTGTTATTGTTATCATTTATTTATCAATTTTGAACGACGATCATCGGTCACCTCGATCTACTCGCTTGATCAGGTTTTGATTCCATTTCGATGTTCGGTTGCCCAGAAGCAATGGGTCAAAGACATCCTGGCACCTCTTCGAAGTCGATATGTTGAACTCAGCTACGAGGAACACGATGTGGTGATGGCTAACACTCAAGCATGCACTCATGCTGCTTTTCTCAGGTTTGTACTCTTTTCGTCAAGATTAATGATCCTACATTCGAGTGGTAACCAGCCTGCTGATTAGTGTGGTATTTTCTAGTATGGGAACCGCATGGCATGCGACTGGTCGTTTCCCCTGGGACTCAGGTCGGTATATCGGTGGGATCGAGGTTGCCAAGATCAATATAGTACGTCTCAGACACTCAACCCCACTGAACGCGAGACAAATCATTTGCTCTGTAGAGCGTTGAAGCTGATTTTGTGCTTTTGATGTGACAGACTCTTCGGATATACTCATCCAAATGGCATGTTTACGCTGGCTTGGCAATCATGAATCCGATAGCGAGAATCCAAATCGACCAGTTCGCCCGCTCCGTTACCGAACTGTTTGTCTTGATGGTCTCCGACGATGAGGAGGGACTTAGGAAGAGAGTTCATGCTGGTCGGGACCATGTCTTCGGACCTCCCAGCTCGCCCAGATCATCGACCCCTCCGATGTTCCTCTCGGAAGAGGTCTTTTCAAATTTTGCGATCGGCGAACCGGCTGCCGGTCCGTCGCCTCCAAACAGCCATCTCACCATCCTTGCCATCGTCGACTGTTGGCACCAACTCGGGTTAAACCCATTCCTCCACCTGGACATTGCTGCGACGCCGGTGTTCCGCTTGTGGTTTGGCTTGATTCACCATCTCTTCGATTCTCCTGAAAGACTGGATAAGGCCATACATGCAGCTGTACATAACCTCGACTATCGTGCGGATGATTGCGAGTTCGTACTCGCTGCTCGTGGTTGGAGTCAGTGCATCAGTTATGGTGATTTTAAACTCTACCAAGCTCGATTTCAACAAACTGCCGAATTCTTTAAACCTCGGATTGAAGAGGGTAAAGACAAAGGAAGCGCAATGATGAAACACATCTTGGAAGTGTGTAGCTCTGCCTAACGGCCATCCACTCTTACAATTCTGCTTGATTTTATCCTACTCTGCACAGCAACAAACTCATTGTCATTTCATTGGCTGCTTTCCTCAAGTTATAACCCCTCTTGTAAACCAATATCTAAACTTATACCCAAGCCCCCATTTCGTTTTGCTGCCAACTGATTGAGAAAGATTCTTTCTCAGTGATAGGCCGTCCTGTTTTGTTCACATGTGTGCAGTTGGTGGCTAATTGCCCGTTGATCAGACTGATAAGCAATCCAAGGTAAGCAAGCCGGATGGGTTCATTGTGGTGATCCAGCTGGTTGCCGTAGGTGATTGCTTGAGTTTTCCCTGTCTCGCTTGGGTGGAGTGCTTGAGACTGTCACGCACTCCATTAGCAGACCTCTTCCACCCCGCTGAACGGGCTTTCAGAGGATGCGGCGGTCTCGCTATCAGTATCACCGACTCCTGAGCCATGTCCGGCTCTGGCCGTGGGCTAACCATAAGCTGCATCATGGAACAGATTGTGATTGGGTGTAAGTGGTATCGAATTGGATCTGGTCGATCGACCATAATTTAGAGAACATTGGTCCCTTACAAATTTAAACGCGAATCGCGTTTAATGTTTCAGTCCCTTGATCAATAGAGATGGACACTTTTTGGTGTTGTATACCTCACCCATCAACTCTCTTGGAATCAATCATTCTTCCTATCTTCGCTAAACCATCAAGTCACGTATTCTTAGACCTCATCCTTCCCGATCGATTCGTGATTTCTGCTTTCCTATTAAACACTTACAATATCATTCGCGTAAAAAATGTTCACCCTTATTTTCTGATACTTGTCTGACCACCATCCCCGGTTTTTGGACTGCATTTAAAGTGATGTATTTATGTATCCTGTGACTTCATGTCGACTTGGGGGTTGGATTCCGGAAACATCGCGGATCGTGGATGATCTTGGAACCCTTCACATCTTCAGAGTAATTCAAGCTGACTCAAGGCATGTTTCAAGAAAATCGTATTCCTGAACATTCGAATGATTATAATTTATTCTTTGGAAAAAAAAGCTCAAGGATAAGGAATTTGGAGGAATGTCCATCTCGAGTTTGATAAGAGGTACACTCGGAGTGTGAATTGTGCTCCAGCTCTTCGTTTGAAAAACATGAGCTCCACCACTTCACCTTCCTGTTCCCCGTCCTGCGTTTATATTTTCTGATCAATCAATTTGTTCAGTTTTACAAGATATACCTCGTAAATGGTACCGTTGATTCAAAGTTTGAAACTAATTGTGGTAAGATATTCCAGGTTAATGTGGTTTTCAAGATGTTAAATTTGATTGTTCTGTTCTCACCAAAGTTCTTTCTAGCATCGATACCGGTTTGTGGGCTTCCGTTTGAGCATGGAGCCTCCTCCTCCAATAGTTTCCAAAAACTCCGTCAATCGTGCAAATCAATCAAACAAAAATGTACCAACTCGGTTCGGTCAGGTTTAAAAAGGTTGAGTCCTTTTGGTTCGAGTTCGACTGGACCTGTGAGTTATCCTTCAACTTTTTTAGAACGCAGCACGCAAGAAAGTGCCCAATTTTCTGACGGTGGTGTGTGATTTCTCCAGCAGGAAGCCAGGTTATGCTCTATCTGTAGTACTGCCATGTCGGATCGCCAGGATGTGTTCATGTGGCCCACTTGCGTTGAGGGCCACGCCGTCCATAGAGGCTGTGTAGATCCGCGATCTATTGCAGCATCTTCATGTCCCATTTGTCAAGCAGTGGCTCCCAGTATTCTTGTACGACAAGTAGAGCATCAAGAAGAACGCACGCCCGTGAGTGATCTCCATCATTTTAGATCCCAATACTAGATCTTAGAGGGGGAGGTGAATCTACAAAGCAGGAACCCGATCGTTGTTCGATATGTCTTGAAAATTGGGGTGATGAAGATGCTCGGATAACATGGCCAAGTTGCACCCACTTCTTCCATAAAAGCTGCTTGGAACGATGGCGACAATCCAGTGTTGCCTGTCCCCTTTGCCGAGAAGTCGATCAAACCTTACTGGAGAACCGGGCAGCTAGTGAAGCAACAGAACAACAGATAACGTATAACACAATCTTTGCGCCTCTTAGAGATGAGTTCCTGCGTCGATTGGCGGAGGACAGAGCCCCTGCAAATGTAAGTCGGTTTCTGGTAGTTTTGCTTCTCTGAAATTAATCTTATTTCAAGTGACAATTTTGAACATGTGTTTTGTTTGATAAAACTAGGCACGCGAAGCGGAAGAGGTTGCTCATCTGAGGAATTTCTTTCAAAGAGAAGATGCACGTTATCGAAATTGAGAAGAAGTATTCGCCTGCAAATGGCTCAAACTGAAATCCCCAGTGTCGTGGGTTAAATACTTGAATCAATTTGGTCGGCTTGACCGTGTTTTTCAGGAAGGCGCGTTTTGACGCGTTACTTGTCTTTCTGACCACCAAAGGAACTGAAGTTCTAAAACAAATATAATGCGATATTAAGAATCTTTGAGATATTGAAGAAATAGGATCTCATTCTAGCTCCATAGAATAAGATCTTATCCAACATTTAGCTCGAGATTTCTACTCAGCTCGGCGAGCTGCAATAAGCAGCCACTGATGAAGAATCTGGACCCATAAATAATGATTAATGGAAAGCCGGGCGATGAAGCCGTTCTGATGAGTGTCCTACGTGACGCTAACCTTCGGATGCCTGCTAGAAGTCCAGCATCAAGTTTAAACACAGTTTAACCCGAAGAAAGATGTAATGAGTGAGGAACAAGATTCTGATGTTGGAACTCAAATTCAAGAATAATTACAGGGAAAGGCGAAGTTTTTTTCATCAAGAAAATATATTTTTACAGCTGAATTTGAAAAGAAGAGGAGCGCAGTACTACATATTTTAAATACCTATATTGCGCAATGCTCTCTTCCGATGTTTCGGAGCGGAGGATGACTTTGAGTTATTGCCCTTTGGTTTGTTTGCATTGGTTGTTGGACTAGATTGCCTCTGGTTGCTCTCTTCTGATTTTGGTGTGGATTGGTTTCCGTTTTTAAAGCAGGCATCTCCCTTACCGGGCTGCCATCCTTTGGGTGGCTTGTAGGCACTTCCCGATGCAGGTTTGTACCCACCGTATGCGCCGCTGCTTGAGCCTGGGTCTTTGTTATTCTCGCCTGCAGGACATTTGGGCAAAGTTAGCCTATGTGATATTTACCACAATTTGCACCAAGTAAAGGTTTTTAAAAACCAGAATAAAAAAATCTTACATGGACGACCACATTTGGGATGCTTTTGAGATTGGTCTGTTCCTTTGAAGGAGTCAACTTGTGCTGGAGTCCACACATGAAGCTTATTCTTGTTGAAGCCAGGATAGTTGGAATCATGTCCAATCTGCTTAGATCGGGGATTCGCAGGTCCGTCGACGAATTTACCGCTCAAGCTGTCTTCGTAACCGTATCCTCCATTTTTAGGATTGGCTAGAACAACGCAAATTGTAAAAAGCAGGCGGGTTAACTTTGTTTTTCTTGATTTGCCTTTCAAACAGGGGGGAACCTACAGATAGGTTTGACTCCATCTGTGCAACATACGCGAATTCAGCGAGATTGTCCATTTTGTTTGGTCAGTTAATGCCACGAATTCAAGAAATTGAACAAAATATGAGACTGACTTCCTCGAAGTCCACCTATATTACTAAAGCCAGAAAGTGAGCAAGTTTCGAAGGAGAGTGAGTAAGAAGGGGGAGAAGGCGGGAACAGTCAATGATGGCTCTTGATGGAAAGCAGCAGAGACAGTACATACTGCCAGAAGAACGAATGTCCATCCGTGAAGCTGGGCACCATTTCAGCAGACGTGGGGTTTACGACGTAGGCGTGGCAAGTACCATAAGGCTGTTTTATCGACAGAGATTGTCTCAGTTGTTGGTTGCGTTCTTTTTAAACAAAACGGCGCGGTTCCACTTACACATCCATGGTTACCGTCCCAGACGTGATTGACTTCAAACCAAGCAAAGAGTTGGACTGTAGAAAATCGAGGACACAAATACTAAATATAAGCTGTAAGTGTGACGAGAGGAGGGAGGTTGTGTCACCAACCATTTGGATAATGAAGACGAGTATTGATCGAGCATTCAGAAACTTGGATGCCAGTAGTGGACACCGAAGCTGTACGATAAATGCAAAAAAAGGAACAGCTGGGTATTAGAAGTTTTGCATTACTTGATAAGAGGTCAGGGAAATCCAGGAATCCGCGTACGTTTGAATTTTTTCAGCCAAGCCGGTGATGGCCGGTGGTTGTGAAGATAGCCAGTTGAGGGATCCCAATTTGCAGAAACCAGCGCCGCCAGGAGGGAGAGAATGAAGAGAAACATGGGGGTAGTGATGGTGAAGCCCATGTTTTCCTTGCCAACAAACAGATGGACCGATTACTGACTAGATTTCCACTCGCCTGCAAACCAAGTGCAGACGAAAAGGAAAGGAGAATGATGATAATATACACTTGGAGAAAAAAGTTGACCTGCTTCTTCGACGGTGGATCTTGTGAGAACCACTCTGATAATATAATACAATATATACGATGTGAGAATTGATGTATCTAACACTGGTTATCGAGATCTGGTCAACTGATCCCGGTGGAGTTTGAAAGTGTTTGAGTTGGCTGCTGTCGTGACTGACAAGAGTCTGAGGAATAGAGGAAGGGCCGCCAGGTCGACTACTTAAATCATATACACAAATTGCAATGGGCTAACAAAAATGAAAAAAGTACGCGTGATGGGGCATGCTTGTATACCCTATCCTGACATCACAAGATCAAATGTATGACTGATGATGGTAGATACTACAAGATAGTGCCCTTAAAAGAGGAAGCAAAATGAAAGTTAGAGCTCGATAGGCATGGTGACGAGGGAAACCCAATGACCCCTGCACCGACAGAGTCAACTACGATAAGCGGGATCCTGGTGCGAGACAACTAACAAGAGAAAAAAAAAGACCAGGAAATCGAAGGGCCTCTTCCGCTGGAAATCATGGCATTTTGTGTGATGACGTCTTGTCGGATTGAGTTGTGCCGCGAGTCAACAGGGTAATCGGACGCTCGTGAAGCTCACCAGGAAGAGAAACTCGGCATCTGTTGATCATTCGGTCGGATGTTAACAGGTTACACTCAGCTCTGTTCTATTGACTGTTGCGCACGCACAACCCACACGGCCGTGAGCTTTGCATTAAGATGTTGGTGATCAGGGGAAATGAATCCACAAGGGGCGCTTAAGTCCCGAACAAGGCCAAGGCGCGAGAAACACCGAGCGGGCAATTGCCCAACTAGAGCACGAGTCGGGCATGTTTGATTTGATCAATTAGATATATATCGAGACGCTCAATCGTTTAGAACTTCAGGGACGATGGGTCGCTTGTTTAACCCCCATCACAAGTTCTTCCAACTGTTCCCTGAAGATGAATTACTCCATCAGTTATGGGGCGCAGAGCGTACTGTGCCTGTAAGAAGTAGAGTCGAAAGCCGTCACAAAGTTGCTTGCTCCATCCGATTATCAGCCAGTTATTCTCACAACGGACTCACACATGGAGTTTCGTTGCATGATAAGATCCTAAACCACAGTTAATCAAAAGTCAAGATTGGCCAGACTATAAAATCCATGCTTTCCCCATGGTATGCTTTAAAAACGGAGTTCAAGATCCAATCACTACAATTTCTCCAGGTTGCCGAAGAGGGCTCTTCCTCAGAACTCACACTGGTGTTTGCACCAGCTCGCCGTGGAGGGCTCCTCCTCTGTGGCAAGTGTATATCAGCTCGCGGAAGAGGAATATTCACTGGCGTACTAGCTAATGTTGACAATCCCCCAAGGAGGAAGCCCGTTGGACAAACCGCGGTGTGGCCATGCTACATAGCTTGCTGCGAAGAAATTGAGCTTGGTGGGCTACCATGATCTGGTGCAAGCAGCCATTGGTCACAAATCTAGACCCATAATCCATGATAACCTTCAGTCCAGGAAGCAGTTTCAATGAGTGACTGAGGTCAAGCCAACGTTTTTGTGGGGAGGGGGTGGATGTCTGCAGGAAGTCTAGTATCAATCGACAACATAATATGAACCCAACGGACATGCAATGACTGAGGAACAAGATTATGATGTTGGAACTTCCCCGACAAGAAACAGAGAGAAAAGGCAAAGGTTCTCCATCAAGAAGAAGCAATTTTTGACAACAACAAAAGTGATTAGACAGCTTCATCTGAAACAAAGAGAACATGAGGAGTATCAAGTTAGGTACATTTCTTGCGTAGTGACTTTTTACGATGCGTTGGATTAGAGGATGACTTGGTAGTTTTAGTGGAGCTTCCGTCCTTTTTGTTGCTGGGATCAGTTGTTGAACTATCTTGCTGTTGGTTCTTTGGCTTGGTAGTTGAATTATCGGCATTTTTGTGTTTTGGATCAGTAGTCGAATCCTCGTCTTTCGGCTTGTTGAGGTTACCAGAGCCTTTTCCTGGCTTCGATGGGTCTGGCTTTGGTAAGAGATCAGGTCCGTTTTTGAAACATGTATCTCCTTTATTGGGTTTCCATCCTTTGGGTGGTTTGTAGGTGCTTGCCGATGCAGGTTTGTATCCACCGTACGCACCAGGGGCCGAGCCTGGATCTTTATTTGGCCCGCCTGGATGACATAAAGAAAAGTTAAGGACACTTGCCGAGTGGGAATTTATAGCTACTAAAACTATTTTTGCTTACAAGGAGTACCGCATTTTGGATGCTTTTGAGATTGATCGGTTCCTTTGAAAGCATTCATTTCCGCTTGAGACCACAATTGAAGCTTTTTCTTGTTGAAGCCAGGGTACTTGCCATCATGGTCAAGCTGCTGAGATTGGGTGTTCGCAGGGCCGTCGATAAATTTGCCGGTCAAGCTCACCTCGTAACCGAATCCTCCATGTCTAGGATTGGCTAAACAAACCAAAATGGGGGCAAAGAACAGATTAACTTTGCATAATTTGATTTGACTTTCAAACTGAAGAAAACCTACAGATAGGCTTGACTCCATCTATAGAACATGTGCGAATCCAGAGAAGTGTCCGTTTTGTTTGGTCAGTTGGTACACCTTTTCAAGAGAATGAGTAAGATATGAGACTCACTTCCTGGCAGTCCTCCTGTCTTACTGGAGTCAGAGAGTGAATGAGTAGGAGGGAGAGAGGATAGGGAAAAGGGCAAGATGGTATTAATTAATAATGTCTCTTTAAGGAATTCGTCAAAGACAATGCTCACTGCCAGAAGAACGAATGGCCCTCCGTAAAACTGGGTACCATATCAGCAGCCGCGGGGTGCACGACATAGGCGTGACAAGTACCATAAGGCTGTTATGTCGACAGAGGATATCTCAGCTGCTGGTTGGGTTATATTAAACAACACTGCGGGGTTCCACTCACACAGCCATGATTACCGTCCCAGACGTGATTGACTTCAAACCAAGCAAAGACTTGGACTAACGGAAAGTGAAGATACAAGTACTAAGTATCAGTTGTAACGAGAGCAGGGGCATTGTGTGGCGAACCTTTTGGATAATGAAGGCGAGTATTGATCGAACATTCAGAGACTTGTACATGGGGAGAGGACTCCGAAGCTGTACCACCAGTGCAGCAAAGAAACAGTTATGTATCAGACACTGTTGATTTTGTGATGTTAGGTGGTGGGAATCTGCCTACGTTTGAATTTGTTCAGCCAAGCCGGCGATGGCCGGTAGTTATGAAGATAGCCTGTTGAGGGATCCCAATTGGCAGAAACCAGCCCAGCCAAGAAAAAGGAAATAAAGAAAGCCGTCAAGCAACTGAAGCCCATCGTTATATTGCCAACAATCGGGCGCAATTAATAGAACTGGTCTGCAGACCAAGTGCAGACGAAAAGGGTGGAATAGGATATAGTCTGCAAGTGCAGCCGAAAAAGAGGAGAAAAAGATATGCCTTGGGGGTTGGAGGAGGGTTCCGACCGCCTTCGTTCACAGACGGTTATTGAGAGAAATTCTGATCATATGAGAAACTGATTCCTGGTTGCTAAATTCTGTTCGACGAATCTATGTTGATACGAAGTAGGATAAGTGGCTGCACCAGACAGACTACTTAAACAAAAACATTCAGCTGCCTTGGGTCAACAAACAGTCAAAGCTGCTCGGAATCGGTCATGTTTATGCTGGTATGACCCTTCCTGACAAGGTAAGACTGATGAGGGCATGTATCTGCAGAAGAGTACCCTTACAGGAAAGAGAAAAACGCAAGTTGACGGCCGAAAGGCGTTGGGAAGATTGGGATTCAAGGAGCCCTAGAGCGACAGAAATGACTACCATGCAGCGGCCAGTTCCAGGTGCGAGAAAGCCAACGGGAGGGAGAAATCAGGAGGCCGTTGCCGTCCCTTTTGTTGGCAAATGAGGGCTTACCGTATCGGTCTTTTCCGGTCCTAATTGGGCGCGAGTCCATCCATTTCGTGAGTACGGCTTGTGATCAAGCTCAGTTCGAGGGGGAGAAATTCTTCATCCGTTGACAACTCGGTCGGATCTTGACTTGAATACTTCAAGGGTTGAAATTAGTACCTGAAGCATCAATCACGGCGGTTTACATGGTGATGGAGCATGCAGGTTACACTCGCTCTGTTCTAATATTGACCCTTGCGAACGCAGAACCCTTTGGGCCGGCCTTAAGATTGTTGTAATGAGATATTGCGCATGGGTGCTCACATCCTAATATCAGCAAGCTGCAAGAAGCATCGAGCCCAATGGACACCTGGTTTCAAGAGAGACCCGTGCCCCATTGAGGCGGCTCTGCGGTTTTTTGATTTGATGACGGAAATATGTAGCGAGCTGCCCAAGTCTTTGAAACTGCAGGGAAGGCTGCCGTCAAGTTCAACCAGCATCTTAACTCCAACCGTCGATCCAGCATATCCTCAACTATGCGCCAGAGGAACTCAATCCACAAAGAGAAGATATGAGGTCCCCAGCCAGCAATCGCTGTCGCCACCCAATCAATCAGCCATACATTCCTACATACCATCATAGACCATGGTCATGCTTGAACCATCGCTTTGCACCTGCTTCTTTATGTGACTCGGTTTGGAATATGTACTTTGAAAACTCAAATCAAAAAATTAAAATTCAAACAAAAACAAAAACAACTCCAACATTTTTACCTCACCTCATTACCTCAAGCATAAAAATGTGAGTTGAAAGGAGGTACATAGCGAAGATGAGGAATTCTCGATGAGTACATTTCCCAAGCGCGTCGCGGGCCTTGATCGTTGGGGCGAGTGGTGCTGCGATGTTGAAGATCCCACTTGGGACGTCCGTGTTTTTAAGGTGGTGCTCCGACATCCGATTGATCTGCGGATCGGATTGTAGCCTCACCCCCTCAGCCTTCAGTCAATGGCAACACCAACTTCACCACGCCGATCCTCAAAACCCAATCACATCACCATCAAGCCAACGATTTGGATACCCGTTCAGCATACAAGAATTCACTGGAAGTAGCCTGATGTCCAAGAAAACGTTCGTACAGTTTAAACTAAGTTCGTCGGATTATCCTTCTCTGAGAGCTGGTTGACGGAAATGATCTGTTTGGCGATCACAGAGCAGCCAGCCCATTATTAATCCGACACCGGTATCAAAACCCTTTTCCTCCGCCGCCCTTCCCGCCCAAGTTACTGCACATCTCGACAGACCCGGCGCGGTATGCAGGTTACCGATTCCTGCGGAACCTCGAGAAGGAGCGGGAGGTACCTGTTATCTCGGATGCTGATCTGGGGATTCCGATCGAGCTTGGCATCGAGGCTGATGGAACCTATGGGCTTGGGGCATACTGGGAGGGTGATCGAGAGTGTCAGTTGAAACAGGTGGTTTTGTGATACGTGAACTGAGATGAATTGACGCGAAAGAAAACCACTTTTTTTAGGCATCTGCCCTGATCCGAATGCCACCAGGCTGCCCCTCGACCCAGAAGACTTGGCTTTGTTAGCCGAACCCCCGCCGGCGCCTGGATCCTCAATCTCAATCACCAATGGCAATCCCCAGAATCACACCCTGACTGTCCAGGGCACCTCCCATCATTCTGCTAGTGCCTCCGGTTCACCCGTTCCAAGCTCAGTCCACATCCCCGAACGACGCAAGACAGAGGTTTCTTGGCTTCGGAGAACCGAATACTTCAATGATGTTCAACATAAATCTCGCGATAGCATGTTAGTCAACCAGCGCGAGGTCTTTTTTTGGTACTTTCGAAACGCCTGTCAGGGTAGACCTCCTGATAATTTTGATTCGCACGAAATCATATTTTAGTAACAACCAAAAGGGTCGAGCTCAAGTGCCCGCATTGCCGAAAACGAAGACCGAGCGACTGGCGGGGATTCATTCCACCTTCGAGGTGATCGCCAATAAACCAATTCAGAGTCTGAAGCACCCCACCAAACCCAATCTAAAAGCAGTGGAAGCCTTTGAACTTTTACCAAACGAGTCCACCTGGGCCAATACTTATGACTTCTTTCGGTTCCAAGAGAACCCGACCGACCGGACCGATCAGAGCTCATCAAAAGTGCGTATTTGCTATCCATGATAAGCTCTCTGCTTATCCAACCCATTCTATCCTTGACCTGAGATGATCGATCCATTTTGTTTCTATCTTACTCCTTCACATCAGTTAAATACATTGGACGAAAGGCTGGAGCATGCCATCTTGCGGCCGGTTGAAATCAAAGCCGGAGGTCCTAGGCTGGCCTACTTTTTGCCAGAGAGTTCAGAGGGGGTGGCAAATTACAAGCGGATCAAGGAGGAGAGGAAGATGATCGACGAAGCAGATCAGACTGAAGAAGAGAAGATGGACGATCCAGAAGCCGGGGCAGAAGCTGTGCGTTTTACAGATAATAAATTCATGCATAAATCAGATGCTGATCCGACCTCTTCAATTAATTCTGCCTAACAATAAGGTTAATGAGTTGCGCTTCGTTCGGGACTACGAGATCAGTCAAGAGCGTCCGATCAATCAATATCTCCTGATCTTTGACGATGGCAAAGCCTCAGGCCGTCGAAAAGCGGCCTATTTCAACCCAGTTGGTCATTTCAGGACGCTGCGAAAACGGAGACCAAAGGTAAGGGGCACGCGGAAGAGCTTCTTTGATAGATACTCGCTTGCTCACTCTGTGTTCCCCTTCCGTAGCCACAAGAACCTGTTCATGAAGACGGCGATGGAAAACCACTATGGGACGGCATCAGTGTCACTATCCAGAACGACCCCGAGGTGATCGACTCAATCAAGGCCGTCCGCAAGGAGCTGCTGGCACCAGTCTTGGAGCCTCCGAGTGGACCCTAAGTCTACCTACCTCTCACACCCCACCTCCACCCGAGCTGCGGTAGTAGCTTGGGTGGAGGTGGGGCGTGAGTACCGCAGCTCACATCATCTCTCTGCTTACATTAGCACACGGCCATACATAGATATTCATGTACACATCATGTAGCTAATCCATACCATGTTCTCCATACTCTCCGCCAGCCATTTATGAGCTCTGCGAAAGAATTGGAATGCGTACTAGGGTCTCCCAGGCTTTCTCTGACTTGCCACCCCATTCTTGGCAGTCACATATCTCATAATGCTTTCTTTCATCCCTTCAGGAGCTTGGGGATTAGTCATTGCTCATTGAATGAGAATGGGCTTTTTTTGTTGTTGAAGTGACTTAGATCAATATATTCATGGGAATTTTGTCCTGCACCACCTGGCCTCCTGATGAGTGCTTCTTTTAAAAAGGACAAAGCAAAACACTCACTCATCTAGAATGACTGAAGCCTTTGCATCAATCTGGCCCCAGCTCACCCAATTGTATCCCATTTGTCACGTACACCATGATGATTCTCCTCATTTGTTCTCTTGTTGCGGGAGCTTTTGTGGTGCTTCAACCTTGTTGAGCTTCTTCTCTTGATTTCCTCTTGCTCTGTGTTTTTACTTATTTTGGTTTTGTTTGCAGTTGTTGGGATTTTTCTCTCTCTCTATACTCATTGTCAAAGAAGAATCAAAACCCATTCATGATGGTGCCAAATTGATCAGCTGGTTTAACAAAGAAACCTTGCAGGCTATTGCTACATCAGACACAGGCCTTTTGAAAGGGGGTATAGAATTTTACAAGTCTCTATTTGTTTCAAAGAAGTCTTTGCCGTAGGTTTTCAGGAATCCTTGTATGCACAGTCTGGCTTTCTTCTTCTCTTCCGATGAGGCAGTGGCTGACTTTTCATCCACCACCTCACCTGGCCAGCCGGAACAACCAAAAACCACTCCCCCGTCTCCCAGCCCCAGCGCACTTCCTACTCTGACCGTGTTCGATGGAGTGTCGAATGCCCTCCTGCTCAGCTCGATCGGATTCCTGTTGGGTACATATAGATGGCTTTCTGTGTTGTTTTCCGATCGAGTTAAAAGCCTCAAGGTCTTGTGACTAATGCCGATCTCTAATACATCAAACACCTAGGAGCTCTATTTATGGCCCTAACGACGGACTATGCCCTGCTCTACACCCATGCACCGACGACGGCCGAGGCCTATCTGGCAGCGGAACAAGCATACTTGACGCTATGGACTAGTCCACTCGCCGTCAAGGCGATCTTCCACCTACTTCTCCTCTTACCGATCTTCACACTTTCAGTCAAGGTCTCCCGATATACGGAGGCGGCGATCTACTTCGACGGGCTCTGTTTGGGAATGATGCTCTTAGTCCTGGGGCTCTACACCGGCTCGACGGTCCCGAACCTACGCAAGCTGGCCTTCGAACCCTCGACCCAAGCGCTCGCAGACCTGGTCAAGAACTCCCTCAATCTCAAAATCCCCACCGACTTCGATCCGTTGTCGCCAACAAGCGTCATCAACCGACTCCTCGTCCTGCTCAGTCACCCGGCCAGTATCCTCCTGAAACCCCAGAAGGCCCTCGAGAGCGAGCAGGAGTTCAAGAAAGCGCTCGAGCTCAATCCGGTCGATGAGAAGAGTCGCCACGAGCTGCTCGCCGTCACCGCTGCGGGTCACTCGATCACCATCTTCTTGCTCATCGGGATCAGAAAGGTACTGGTCCCCCGGGCAGTCATAATCCACCGCCACGTCCTTCCAATCCAGAAGGCCAAATATTTCGAGAGGCGGAAATCGTTGTGATCAACATGGGAGGCTTCAAAACCCCCGAGAAAAACGTGCAACATCGCAAGCTTGCCATTTCTCAACGAAGTCTCATATTCCGTGACCATACATTGATCCAAGAAATTACCAGTACACCCCAATTGTATGATCCTCGAAGTACTATCGAACAGACCATACGAGTCTTCCATGGCACTCGACATTCATCGTTGTTATCGTTCCAACAGAAAGGAATCTTCCCGCCTTATCGTCTTAACGAGTTTTCTAGATCCCCTACATTTTACACTACAAACGATGCCCAACAAGCCTTTGAGCATCCACTCCATACTCACCCGGCATACCCACCTGGTAGCCCCGTGGCAGTTTTCCAATTCGATATCCCAACTGCTGTAATTCACGGGCACTTCTCACCCACAAACGGCGAACCCCCCTTCCGTGTGAAGCGATTTTCATTAGTTGAAGATCTGGACGACTGGAGAACTTTCTGTCGTCAAAACATCGACAAGAATCTCGGTGGTTATAATCATAACTACGACATCGTCATCGGCCCGATATGTGTGCCGTCCTCAAAACCTTTTCAACCTATCCAACTCCACTCAACTCAGGTTCAATCCACCCAGGTCGCATTCTGCAGTCAAAGGTCTGGCAGCTGGCTCAACAAGCATGTTACAAAGATCTACATTGAAGAACGATGTGAAGATTGAAAATATATGTACTGTAGTACATACAACAAACACGGAGTGAGTGACTGTTAGCAAGCGAGGGGGAAGATAGCTTCAATATTCCCCATCGCCATGCCCCCCCCCCCCTTCGATGAACTTCTTGTTGTTTTCTAGATTCCTTGTTTGTATTCTTTTGATCTGACTTTTACTCACAAATTTATCCTTTTGACTCGTCGTCTGATCAACTTGGTGTGTGTAATGTTTGTATCTGTGAAAAGTGTGCATTTTGAAGTGTTTCATATCGGAAATGTTTGTTCAATGTTCAGTTAAAGATGGTTTCATTTACTGCTGCTTGATTTCTGAAAATCCAGCTACAGTTCTTGCAAATCAGGGTCATCCAAATATTGTGTCCAATTTCGTCAGTTTTGTTATTACAGCGGTAAGAAACCGCCAATTATCCTTCGAAGCACTTAGTGTTCAACCACGTCTATAGTATGACTGTGAGTACTTATATCTTGAAAGCTTAATCGAAGGATGTAAGTCCTTTTGTTCGGTTCATTAGCGGATTCGTAGGTGATTTGCGGTGGTTATTTGGATCTTGAAGACTGTATACTAACTTTTTACAAGAAACAAATTCACCAGTGGTTGCTCAGTCACAGTGGTTCGATTGAGGGAAAACTGGTGCGAATTTTCATGATTATTCGGTAGGGGTAGAATTGAAAAGAGGAAAGAGACGAGAGAGAGGGAAAAGCTAAACAAGAACATAGAGAAGAAAATCAGACGATGAAACACTAAAATCAGGACGAAGAACACAGGAGTGTGAGAATTAGGGTGGAAAATTGTCTGGAAGTTTTTTGGTGGATATTAAAAAGGAAAGAAGAATTGGAATGACTGAAGAAAAAGTGAAAGCTAAACAAGAACAGGAGGTGAGAGAGAGAACACTGGATTAGGGCAAAAACACATAACAAGCTGGGTCAGATGAAAACAATAGGAGAAATGTGATGGCACGAGGAATTCTTGAGATCCTGTGGGGCAATAGAGATAACTCTTTGATTATTCAAGAAGGTAGTACAAGAGAAAAAACACCGGTGAAACTGGGGCTGCAGAAAGTGGCACTGGCAGGCAAGGATCAAGGGGTTTGGGCTTTCGCCGGAGCGGCTTTTCGTCCATAACTGGGCATTGGAAGAGGAAGGTTTTTATCGAGTTTGGCCAAAGGTTGTCTCGGGGTAGGTTTCTGTGGACGGAGAGTCGAGCGCTTATCGGACTCGTCATTCCACACTGCGATTTCAGCAGACATAGCCGGTTGGAGTTTGAACTCTGAGGTATCCTTGGTCTCAGCATGACAGCCTAGGTCCGAGGTGCTAGTGGATAAGACTGATTGTAACAACTGAGACGAGATTGGCTGGTTGGATGGGATGAGTCCTCGACGTTTGAGGCACCGATGGGAAGGCGATGCGCTCAACTTGACAGCACGTAGGGATGGATTGGGCGAGCTGACCCAAGGAATTTTGGCCGAATTGATCGTTTTGGGCGACTCAGTTGTCTCGGTCGAGTTGATCACTGGCAGACAGAATTCCGGCTCAACAGTGTCCAAGTAGGCAGCCGAGAACTCCGGCGTCGTTTTCCCAACGTGATTGACGACTAGTTCTGGCGTGAATGGTCCAGCTGAGGACAGACAGAGTAAGCTGGATAAGTAGACAGAATCTGAGGATGACCGCCGTCTGGTCGTCCTGGTAGTAGTAGTAGTAGTAGTGGTTGACAGAAGCGATTGGCACGATTCCGCCAATAAGGAAGTCAAGTGGATACTGATGGGTGAATCCAATAGGCCTTGTTGTAAGAGCATTTGATCCAGAACTGGTAGTTTACTGTGATCGGCAGAAGGTTTTTGGCGAGGAGTCGGCCTTTTTGATAGCTTCTTGTCAGACCGCTGAGATGAATGCAAGCCAAACTGAATTAATACTTCTGGTTGCATCTCTATAGTAAAAGAAGAAACAGTCAACTAACCTTGAGAAGGACGGGGGCAGTTGACTTCATGTCCCAAAAGTCATCGGAAACTTTGGGTTCAGTGAAATCCGAGGACAGCTCATTGGGAAGCTGCAATACGGGGAGTGGTACCGGCGGGACAGCCTATTAATGGAAGGAATTAGATGAGCCAACAAAGTAAAAAAACAAAAAAAGCATTTGCACGAATTAAGAGGATTTGCTCACGTCGGACTTGATCATAGACGCCAGCCCCAAGGAAGATTTGCTGGGGCGGAGACGACCAAAGGCCGAGCGAACACGGGTTCGGATATTGGTGCTTGAGTCGGCGTGAACCATAGTGACTGAGGAGATAGTCGAGTCTTGGAACAAGAATAGGAGATGACAGGGAAGATTAGGCCTGGAAAGTATGAAAGAACTGGGCTTCAAGAAAACAAGGGCAGGAATGGGTAGAGGTCAGATAGGGTATGATTGAGAGCTAATCCAATGATGATGAGTGGCTTTTTAGGGAAAGGAGAGATGGGTAGGAAAGGCTTTGGGAGTGATATCAGATGAGTGTAAGGGAAATAGTAGTAGTAGTAGTAGCTCCTAAAGATTGCTTTGGACGAGAAGACGAGGGAGCTTGATTGACATGCCAAAACTGGGAGGAATGGGGGCAGTATATAAGGTGATCAGTCGAGCTGACTAGAAAATTGAAAAAGCAGCTGAGTGACAGCTGAGGGTGACTTGTTAATGGGCCACCAGTTCGTATGGCAGGAGGACTGGAGAGACGAGAAGGCTGGCTGGCCTCACTTGGTCAGTCTAATGCATTTTGCCCTTGATCCCCATATCATTAGAAGGCTCGTGAGGGGCAGGACGGCTCGCCATTCCAGGTTCAACTGGGAGGGACAGGACATGTTCCTGGTTGGTTTTCTAATCCCGGTTGAGGATGAGGAGGCCTTTGAGGGATTGGGCTGTAGACTGATAGAAATCGGCCCGTTTCACTCCACGGGTCGTCGATATACCAATATATCTTCTTTGGCCAGACCAGAGAAGCTAGAGGCAGATAGATGGCTAGTATTCTTCGGGTGCACCCAACTCGGCTACAGATTACTCCGGGTGCGCATGACTCGAACAGCCCTCTTTCTTGGGGAATTGCAGCAGCATATGATTTTGGCTTAAAGAAATATTACATTTTTTTTTTTTTTGTTTTCATCATGCACCTACTCAGCCAGGAAAGTGCCGGGGTTCGGATGCCTGCACATGTCAGCGACTCGGTTAGCCCCATCATTTTCCCAGCTTCCTCCAGCTTGCAATATTGACTCGGAAACATAAATTGCTAGATTACACTGATTTGTGTAACTGTTGAAAGTTCGATGGAAGCCGTCCCCCAAGATCGAAGCAAGAGTCGATGATCCTGGGTGACCATCGTTAAACAGCTTGGGCCTCGGAATTGCAGACCGCAAGCGCCGGGATCGGCTGCCCTAGAAATACCGGCGTGTTCTAGCTTGTTTGCCGTGACCACAGAGCCCATCAAGTGGTGATATGGCTGAGAAGATTGCCGGATCGTCTCTTGAAGATTGCTCTGAAAAGTAAATAACACTTTCTATAGAACACTAATAACATCCAAGGCATGAGCCACGTGCTGAATGGGGTGCCGGGCGCCCCGGCCCGAGTCGTTAACTTGTTGCACCACTCAAATCAGGTTAACTCGTTGCACCACTAAAAATGAGATTATTGGGATCTGTGCATGCAAATCGATGTCATGCATATTATGTGGAAGTTCAGCCTCAAGTAAGAGTTCTAAGTGTGCTCCATTTGACATGCACTTTGTTGGTTTGTTGCTTTGCTCTTGTCAATTTGTCACCTTGGTTAAAAAATCACTCCCTATGGGGCCTAGAGTAATTTTGTGTTGCACAGTGCACACCATTCTTAGTCTTACTACAGTAGAGTGATATCTCTCATCATCTTGACCTCTTACACCTTCAGGCTTGACAATGTTGAGTTGGATCATCTTTGTGGCATTACAGGAGCATCAGTTAATGGTTGCTGAGCTACTGTTGATAATGCATTCAATACAACTCTTCAGCTACTACCTTGCACCCAAGTAAAAAAAAGTGTGATATCAAACTGATTGGATGATGCCAATTGATGCATGATTCCTGTGAGGAGAGCTCTCCTCCAAATCTCCTCATGTCTGGAGCTCTAAATACACCAATACACTCTATCAAGTCTAGAGACAAATCAAAATGTTGACTCTACAAATTCTTTCAAATTTTCACAGTTTTCAAACACTCCCAAGCAGGATGAGGTTGAAATATCAAGGATGAAAGTTTTATGAAAGTTTGGCAAAGAAAAAAAAATGGAATAATATTACCAGTGCACATTGACAGCTCCAAAATTGACATGTGTCTTCAGTGTATGGACAACACCTTAACAAGCTTACAAGTGCTACCTTTTTTCATTCTGATCCTGAATGTCGTGTACTGGAGGACTTCCCGTTGGTTTAGAACAGGGGCTATTTTCTCTTTTCTATTTTTTTAGCAAATAGAAAATGCAATTGCTTTTGCTGTGCTCCTAAATTTGTGGCCCTCCTGCATTTTTGTTAGCTCACATCCATATCCACCCAACCACCACCAACTGGCATATATTCTTCACCTACAAGGACGACGATGGTCTCTGATCCCCAAATTCAGGCCAGTCAAGGCAATCAAAACCCTCCAAATCCGAACCAAACTGCTGATGTAGATACTCAAACTCAAACAAACAAGAGCGGATCAAGTCGACCGAACAAGGGCGGATTGAAGAAGAATAAAAAAAACAATGATAAATTGACTACGGGCAAAAAAACTGGGGGTCAGCCGCCAGGTTCTCTGGGATACAATGTCGCAGAGTGTATGTTGTTAGTTGAGGCCGTCAAAAGCGTTCTCCCGTTAGGAAATCAAGACTGGCGTTCGGTAGCGGATCAATACAACACCAAAGTTCTTCTTCTTAACCGACCCAAACGAGAGGCCGACAACTTGAAGCAAAAGTTCAAGGGCCTTGCTCAATCCCAAAAGCCCACTGGCAACGCAACCTGCCCAGAACATATTTGCGAGGCAAAACGTGTTGATGCTCTTATTCATGAGAAGGCTAACGAGTGTGCCTTGGGGAGCCTCTCCAGTGGAGATGAAAGGTATTTGATATGTATGTTGCTCCGTTTGGTTCAAGATGACATCGGCTTATTCCCTTTTATGCTGGGTTTGATCAGGAACGGTGTAGGCACTGATGTTCTTTCAAGCGATGACGACGATGTTGGTAGGCGCTGATGTTCTTTCAAGCAATGACGACGATGTTGACGTGAATGAAACCACTGGCAAGCTTGAGTCCAGTCAACAGGAAAGCACTGGTACACTGTTGTCTGGATGGAGCCAAACTCAATCGGCAAACCAGGATTTGGGTGACTCTCCAAACCCAAGTCAAACCCATTCAATGCGCCGCCAAACATATCAAAGCCCTCTTGTTCATTGGACCCACTCTCAGGCAAGCTCAGCTCGACCGTCCCCCATGACGAGTGTCAATCGAAGATCCAGAGGCCAACCTGGCGATCAGTTGGAGAGCAGGCTGAATAGCTTCCTCGATATGGATGCCCGGAAGGAGCAGGATCGCAAGCAATCCCTTGCGTCTTTCTATTCAGCCCAACTCATGAAGGCAAACGCAACCATCCGAGATTTGCAATCTGAGCTAGCTTGAGTGCGCGGTGGGATTCAATCGGATGTCATTCGGCTACAGGATGAAAAGCACCAACTGGAACTCGAGAATACATCTTTGAAATCAAAGATTGAGGTTTTACAGCTCCGGGCCGATATGCAACCAAATGCTGCCTGGGGTCAAATGCATCATCCGCATATGTTCAATCATGGATTTGCAATGCAATCACTTCCAGTCTTTGCCACTCATCATCAGCAGCAGCCACCGACTGGTATTAACCCGCAACTCGCGAATACGTCCGGTTTGAACAATCCGCCTGGTGTGAACCAGCCACAACCGACCGGTTTTAACCTTCAGCACGCGACTCCGACCAGCTTAAATCAGCAACAACCTTCCAGCTTAACTCCAAACCAAGTTGGTTTTCATCCTCAGCAGCAACCCCAAGGTCAACATCACTTCAGCGGCATTAGTGATGCCTTGGAGGCTGATCCCAGTTTCCCTCATCCTTGATTGAGTGTATTGCTCAAGTGCTCCATCGGATCACTTACTGCTCCATTGGTTCTCTTACTGCTCCATTGGTTCTCTTACTTTTTCATGTCAACTACTGTGCCTGTGACCCAAAAGAGCTTGTATTTAACATTGCAAGAGGATTTTGTTCTCCTATGAAAAAAAGAGCTATCAAATAAAACAAGAACGACTGCATGAAAGAAACAAGAACAACTGCATTACATCATGCATTATGAAAATCAAAAAAAAATGAACAATATAAAATCTGCTATGAAATAAACAAGAAAGCAATATTTGAATCAAACGATGTGATGAGGACATCAAAAAAAATCGTGTGATGAACAATAAAAAGAAGAAAGAACAAGGACAAGAATGCTAGATTAAAAAGAAGAAAGAACGAGGACAAGAATGCTAGAGCCATCCTTGATAGTAACGACTGATGTGGCATTGTTTCTCAATGTCCTTGAATAGTAAGTTATGGAATCTTTGAGAGAGCACTTGGTGTTCATCCCACACAGCATCATAGACTGTTGCTTCGAAGATCCAGAGGCCAACCTGGCGATCAGTTGGAGAGCAGGCTGAATAGCTTCCTCGATATGGATGCCCGGAAGGAGCAGGATCGCAAGCAATCCCTTGCGTCTTTCTATTCAGCCCAACTCATGAAGGCAAACGCAACCATCCGAGATTTGCAATCTGAGCTAGCTTGAGTGCGCGGTGGGATTCAATCGGATGTCATTCGGCTACAGGATGAAAAGCACCAACTGGAACTCGAGAATACATCTTTGAAATCAAAGATTGAGGTTTTACAGCTCCGGGCCGATATGCAACCAAATGCTGCCTGGGGTCAAATGCATCATCCGCATATGTTCAATCATGGATTTGCAATGCAATCACTTCCAGTCTTTGCCACTCATCATCAGCAGCAGCCACCGACTGGTATTAACCCGCAACTCGCGAATACGTCCGGTTTGAACAATCCGCCTGGTGTGAACCAGCCACAACCAACCGGTTTTAACCTTCAGCACGCGACTCCGACCAGCTTAAATCAGCAACAACCTTCCAGCTTAACTCCAAACCAAGTTGGTTTTCATCCTCAGCAGCAACCCCAAGGTCAACATCACTTCAGCGGCATTAGTGATGCCTTGGAGGCTGATCCCAGTTTCCCTCATCCTTGATTGAGTGTATTGCTCAAGTGCTCCATCGGATCACTTACTGCTCCATTGGTTCTCTTACTGCTCCATTGGTTCTCTTACTTTTTCATGTCAACTACTGTGCCTGTGACCCAAAAGAGCTTGTATTTAACATTGCAAGAGGATTTTGTTCTCCTATGAAAAAAAGAGCTATCAAATAAAACAAGAACGACTGCATGAAAGAAACAAGAACAACTGCATTACATCATGCATTATGAAAATCAAAAAAAAAATGAACAATATAAAATCTGCTATGAAATAAACAAGAAAGCAATATTTGAATCAAACGATGTGATGAGGACATCAAAAAAAATCGTGTGATGAACAATAAAAAGAAGAAAGAACAAGGACAAGAATGCTAGATTAAAAAGAAGAAAGAACGAGGACAAGAATGCTAGAGCCATCCTTGATAGTAACGACTGATGTGGCATTGTTTCTCAATGTCCTTGAATAGTAAGTTATGGAATCTTTGAGAGAGCACTTGGTGTTCATCCCACACAGCATCATAGACTGTTGCTGTCTGGTTAATGTGATCCATGCGGCAGCGGATCTGGTGTAAAAAGCAGACAGCTTGAAGGATTCACAATTGTTGAGAGTGATCTGCCGCAGGCATCGGTAGCTTCAAGCCGGCAAATGAGCCTTGCAAGGAGCGCATACCCCACTCCGCTGCCTGTTGAGCCGATACTATCTCTTTGTTGAGTAACTTCATGCGAGAGAAGGATCTGGGGGTTTCTGGTAGCCAATCTCCTCACTTGACCGGTGCCAATATTTGTCTCTGAAGCCGTTGACTCTTGCCCGGAAAGGCTGTGTCACTTATAATTCTATATCCGTCGGGGGTGTGATTGAGGAGTCGCTCGTAGAGAGGAACTGCTATTGCAGAATCATGCCATGAACCTGGTGCGTTCAATATGGCATACATGATCTTTCCATCAGGATCAAAAGCAATAATGCAGCTACAGTAATGGGAGCAAGTCCACCCATTGTAGTACGCATTTTGAAGACTTTAGATCACAATCAGTATCACTATTTTTCCTGTTTTATTTATTTATCATTTTTTTAAAAAAAAACTACTTACTCATCATCCTCAGCCACACAAATGGGCAAGTTCAGACCATCCAAGAAACCAAAGCAATTTTTGAGAAGTGGGAATCTCTTTTTGATTGTCTCTGCATAAGGCTGAATTCTTTCTTCCGTGGAGGGCCAGATAATGCAAGCTTGAGGAGTACTTGAAGAAGGCAATCAAGTCCCCAATCCAGATAGCGAGAACACACTGCCGGGGTGATTCCAAATATTTGCTGAAGGGTGTATGCTGCCATGGTCGAGCATAACCAGTGTAAAACTAATCCAAGACAACCGGCTGCATCAAGAGACCGACGGCCAACTTGTGGCTCTCCGTTGGGGTTGACATCGTTTTGGGGAAGTGTGACAGAGTTCCACAACAGCTCGAACCTAGATAAGATATCTTTGAAAGTCTTTACATCCACCCCCATCTTTGTCACGTAAACTCAATCATTCCGTGCTTTCATCATTGTCGTCCAAGCAGAGTTTGTAGAGGTAGGTAGATCTGATTGAGTGAGGTAAGTCCGGAGTTGTCGAAATTTCCCTGGAGCACCTTGAAGATCCATGCTATACATGACCGTGATTAAGTCCTCTTCTTCACGTCGTCTTTTGCTGGCATGCAGTTGTAGATTGCTTTGATATGTTCTCCTCCTGCGCTGGTCCCGTCGGTGGTGGTCCTCTGTGGCTTCTGCATTGGACTCAGGGGTATCCATGTGGTCCTGTGGTGGGGATGTCTGGTGATGTACGGTAGAGAGGAGCTGGTTTTCTAAATTATAGAAGAACCTTGGCGGAAGAACAAATTTTAGAAAAATTGACAAATTTTCTATTTTCATTTTCTATTTGCTAAGAAAATAGAAAATAGCCCCCGTTCTAAACCAACGGGAAGTCCTCCACTGATTATGATAGCTTCCATCATGGTCTATATATACACTTGATCAATTGAAAAACCATTGGGACACCAATCAATCAGTCCAGATTGGGAAGACATCCCTTAATCAAACCACCAAAAATCAACACACAGATAGAATTACAGTTATCAGCTTGTGAAATCCACATAATATCTTGGATCAACCTCCTTCAATTGAATGAAAATACCTCAGTTCTTCCCAGGACCATCTAATTTATTAATATATTTTACTCAATCCCAACACATCTCACATTTCAACACCCTCTAATTATTAATTGAATTTACACAATACTAAGACATCTCAAATCTTACTGTGATATGGTGCAAAGTTGATACTCACACCATTCATAAATCATTATAAGCTTATTTCAAATACCAATAATTTTTTTTCAAAGTTTTTGTTTGTATTTCTTTTCCTGTAGGTTGGCTTCTTTCTGTTTTGGATAAGTGAGTAGTGGGTTCTTTTCAACACATGCTAAAATCAATATTTGATTCATAAACAGGATGGTAATTTCTTGAAGTGAATCACAACCTGGGTGGTAGAATGAAAAATCAAAAGAAATATGATGAATCAAAAGAGAAATGATCCATCAAATAAGGAAACTTAATTTTCATTCACTATCTGTCTTGAAACCACATAAGACTCCCAGGCTTGTCCGGTTCATTTTAAGATCACTTTTCCAACCTAATTCCTCAAAGATTAAGAAAAATATTACTTAAAAGGCTTGTATAAACTTACCAATTTCAAACAACGTACCTTCTGAATAAGTATTGTGAAAAAAGTCCCAAGAATATTTTTAGTCCTATCAATTGGATCTTCCTAACCTTCACAAATTAAACAAGTGATGATTGGTTATCATATCAAACATGATTGTTTTTTGTGAGTTTCAAAAATTCCAAGACATATGGCCTGAATTTGAATAGTTTCATTTAGTCTCTTGGTTTTTCATTCTCCTTCAATTCACAAGTCAGCAACTCAACTTGTCCTCTCAAAATCAAGCACTTTTATTGAACCAAAAAAGTTTTATTGACCCAAATTCTGACATTGGCTTACCCTAGTCAGGCAATAGACACAATTTAAACCATCATAGAATATTTTCCATTCTACTGCTCCACTCTCTTACCTCCCACACCCAACAAGCATTTCCCCCCCTGGTGGGTTTTTCTTCCTACTACTCCTCTACAATCAGTGCTCATCCATGTTCATTTAAATCTGAATGAAACCGAAATAGAACTCAAAACAAGAAAACTAGCAGCCAATGACGCAAAAGAAACAGCCCTTTTTGTCAAAAAACACCCTCGTGTGGATCCTTGTAGCTATAAAGCTATCTGGGTTAAGCTACTGACTATGTAGTATCCAACAATTTGTTGGGCTCCTCGTATTGATCAAGCCACACATCATGATTTTAGATGTTATTCAGCTCATCTCTGATAGCTTTCTTCCATCCAGTGGATTCCGGGCCTGACACTGCTTTCCGAAAGGATTTTGGATCACCAGCAAAGCAAGAGAATTTGGTAAAATGAGTGTATTTCACAGGTTTGACCTGAAGGGTTTGATTGCGCAAGATTTGTCCAGCAGGAGCTTCTGCAGCCAGGATGAGAGTCTCAACAATCTCGATGTCGTCTTTGGAGGATGTGGAATCAAAGGATTGAAAATTGTTGTCCCGACTATCCAAGTCTTCAACCTCTTCTTCCTTAACACTGGGTTCCTTTTCCTCCTTGGCCTCTTCATTGGTGACTGGAGCGGGCTGTTCCTCCTTCTCTTGTCGAAGCTCCTCGATTAGGTCAGTCAGGTCTGTTTTTTCGGAGATTGAAGCATCAAAATCCAGAAACTGTACATTCTTTGTATCGATGATCTTTCCGTTTGTGACAGCAGGACCTTGTACGACTTGAGATCAACATTGAATCCGAGAAGTTTCCCAAAGTCACCCCTTGGTTCCAGCTTTGTTTTAGTTATCTGGGACACAATGACAAGAGGATTTCCCAGCGGTTTGAAGAAGTCTACAGGCACGGTCTTCATCTTGAACAGTTCATATGGGGATTTCTTGCTCCGATGAGTAGGAATTTGATTGAGAGTGAGAGTGCATGTGCTGAGGATTTTGTTCCACAGAGTTGGATGGAGTCTAGGGTCGAGAAGAATAGTTCGGAGCAATTCTAATATGGTCCTGTTGAATCTCTCCGCCAACCCGTTCTGTTGCGGGGTGTAAGCATCCGAAAAGCTTTGCTTGATCATGTGATCTATGCAATACTTCTCCAACTCCGAGTCGGTGAATTTGGTACCTCAGTCAGAATGTAGAGTTGAAGGATAGTAGCCAAGTCTCTTTGCCTCCACATCTATAGCATGAGTGAGAGCCTTGAAGGTGTCGGCCTTGGAGATCAACGGGACTGCAGCTACAAACCTTGTATTTGAGTCCACAATGGTCAGGATATATTTGTGTTTTTTATGAGACATGAGGGCAATAGGTCCAATGAGATCCAAGTGAAGCTCTTCCAAGGGCTTGATGCAAATGATTATTGGTGCTTGAAGGATGCTTTTGTGACTTTTACGACAGGGCAAGTTTTGCACACGCTGGGAGCCAATTAATAGGAATTCCCAATTTCTGCCTGATCCTTTGGTAGCTTACATGACCCAGCGACTTGTGGAGGAGTTCCGCTGAGTTCAGGTGCGAGTATTAAATGGGAGGCAGCAGCTCAAGCACGGGAAGATTATGTTGATAACGACCTTTGAGAAAAATCTCGCTATTCTTGAGAATGGTGAAGTGATTTATGAAGAAATTGATATTGCATTGTTCTAAGAGGAGTTGGTGCAGTGAAAGAACATTGACAGTTATTTTGGGAACAAGGAGAACATTATGAAGTACAATGGGTTTTTCTTTGAAAAGCAGTTCTACAGTTCCATTTCCTTCAATCTTTAGAGTGCTCATTCCACAACTGGTGTTAATCATCCCGACTTTGTTTTTGTCTAGATGAGTGAAGAGATTCCGATCAGATAACATGTGAGAGGTTGAACCCAAGTCCAGAATGAAAACAGAGGGGTGATTAAGCAAAAAATTGGAGAAGGAGCTAACTTGAGACACTCCCTTCTTCTTCATAAAGGCTTTGTGTTTTTCGGGGTAGACCTTACAACAGTCATTTGCGGGATGGGTCTTAGAGAACGGATTGTGTTGTCCAGGGATGCATCGGGTGTCCTCCTTGGTGAACATGGTGGCAGTGACTGACTCAATCTTGTTCTCCGATGACACTTTCAATTCATTGAGGTGAATCTCGAGGTGATCCAGGAGCGACTCTGGCTTGATTTCCTCTCCATTTCTAGAGTGTGTGATGCTCTGTTTGAGGTTGTCAAGGCTGTTGGGCAGTCGTCTAAGGAGATCGTACGTGATGATGTCTTTGGGAAGAACGATTCTGACATCTTCCATCTTAGTGATGGAGCTTCTTACTTCAGTAATAAACTTCTCAATGTTGCTTATGTCAAACGAGATGTTGGCAAAGGTGTTATATACTTGATCTCAGTTTGATGGTTCGGATGAGATGAACCGTTTTAGGATAGCCTTCCAGAGGAGCTGTGCATCAACCTTGTTGGTTGCATTGACAACGTTGCTGTGGATGGCTGGGGAGACTTTGGCGATGATGATAGCACAGAGCATGGTGTTATTGTTGTCCTCAAGTGGAGGTTTGCCTGCAATCATTTGATCTTTGACTCCTCCGAGTTTGAAAAGAGCAGAGATTCGGGTTTGCCAGCTGGAGAAGTTTTCCTCTGTTAGGATGGGAATCGTCAGCGCTGGTCTCTTATGTGACCAGGCGTTGATGGGGTAATGGATCTTACTATAGCCTGTAAAGGCCAGTAGAAATGAAACCTCACCTCGACAGCTAGGAAGCGGAGGGGTTGGCTCCCTGGGTTAGAGGGGACAACAGTGGAATGAGCATCACCGCGCCTGAGCTCAGAGTGGTACAATGACTCTCTTCTAGAATACAGTAGTGACTTAACTGCAGTCTAGGATAGGAGAATAATGATCAAGATAAAAGGTAAAGAGAAAGGGGAGAGTGTACTGCTAAAACCCCACTCACTAATGTTAAGTAAGGTAAACGGGTTTGTATGGCAATAATCTCTGGGGGAAGGAATCCCAGAGGGAAAGCCTTCCATTTAAGTATTGCAAGGCAGGGTTCAGGCTGCCTGTTGGACCAGACAGGTCCACAGATGATCATTTCTGTATCTAAATCATAAATGATCAAAATATGTATTTAAATTATGATCACACCAAAAGTGGAGGAAATGACATCATGATCTCTCTCTCTGGGTGAATCAATACAAAGAGAGATAAATAATTAAATCCTCATTGGTGATCATCTCTCTCATTACAGCAGATAATCAAGAGAGAGATGACTAAGCTTTTAATACATATGTACAATATTTATTTATTACATAAGTATAGAATAAGATACCAAGGACACTGGGACTCAGGTACATCCATCAAGATATACACCATTCTTTGGAGTGGTCATTGAACCACTACACTAAACCAACTCATGGAAATATGAGCCAATGCAGACATTTGGACATGTCCTACATGTCTTGTGGCTGACAGGAATGGCCTCGATGGTCATTTTCAGGATGGTGGGGTTGACTGCATCCATGGTTGCACTGTCGACTTTCTGGTTTCTTGTTTCGGGTTGATTTTAAGAGGTTCCTTTTGACTGTTAATCGTGAAGAAAAATGGATTGATTGCTTGGAAACAGAAACCAGACTAAGAGAAGAAAAAAGTTAGAAGCCAAAGAAAACAATGAGAACGAGATGAAGAGAGATAAAAGAAGCATACCGTTGATGTGAATGACAAAGTTGAGTGAGGACCTTTTTAAGAAGAAGGAGGAAGAAGGAAGTAGAAGACACAGAGTTTTTTAAAGAGAACAGAAAACAAAAAATACAGAGTTAGTTCTTTTGACAACAACCACAGAGAAAGAAGTGAAAAGGAAAAGAAGAACAAGAAACAAAAATAGAGGCAGAGAAAAGAAACAAACAGCACGATTGAATATGTTTGAATTCGACTCACGCAATAAAGCAAGGATAGGAGAAGGAGACTTGTTCTAGGGATGAGGAGAAAGGAAAGAAAGGATGAGGACAGAGAGAGTCAGAACAGGGAGAGACCATGTGATGATTGAGGAGTTCCGTTTTACATTACAAGCAGAGATTCCAAGAGTTGTGAGGTTTGATGATTATTGTTTGTTGGGTAGTCTTGAAGAATTTGATCTGTAGATGTTTCTTGGTCGGATGAGGAAGAGGAATTGAGTTGGAGCGGTGGATTGTTCTTTTGTGAGGAGCAATTCAACCCTAAGTGATTGATGAAAAACAGGAATTATGATTGAAACTAGAACCAGAACTGACAAGTCAAATAACAAGAATCAATAAGAGACACAGGAATAAACAGAATGACATAGAAAAGGAAGAGAGAAAATTTACCACAAGAAGACTTGTCTTTTGATGTAGACAGAACAGATAGACTGAAGTAAAGTAGATCAAACAAGGACAGATAGTAAACACTATTTGAAACAAGAAAAAAATAATAGCAGAAAGGTTAATGTTTTGGTCGATGAGATTCAGAGAGATTCAGAAGTTATTTTCTCACCAAATTGGCAGAAGCCAATTGAATATTTCGAGAGAAGTTGTCGGCGGAATGAGGATGAGAGATGGTTGAGGGAAAGTCGAGAGGATGTGAAGTCGTCGTCGATGAGATTGGACGATCAGGGAAAAGAGAGATAGAAGATAGAGAGCAAGAGAAGAGAAGAAACGGAGTTGGATGAGAATGATGAAGGGAATTGTTGGAAGGAGATGGTTGAAGTTGATGACGGAGTTGGAGGTGAGAGTCGAGCAGTGTTGACTTGGTTTTTGAGTGGAATATGTGTGAGGAGTTGATGACGAGGTGATGGCGGAGACTGCTTGGGGGAAGGAGGAACAATTTTGAGGAGCGAGGCGACCTTTTTATCCTAGACGGAGGTCGGTTTGACTTGTGGTTGAGGTATGTAGACGGTTAGGCTTGTGGTTGATGATATGGTCGAGTAGGTCTGTTTCCATGGTGTTGAGTCAGCCGAGTTTGAGGTGTCTTGAGGAGGCGGGCGCAAGTTTGAGGCGTTGTTTTGATGAGGTGTTTGACAACAGGTATTGAGAGGAGATGGATAAAAGAAGAGGCGAGAGCGAGAGAGAGTAGAGGAAGGAGGGAGCGGAGTGAGCGGAGTGAGCGGAGTGCGCGAGTGCGCGGAGTATTTAAAGAAGAAAAAAAGAAAAGAGAAAAGGATACGAAAAGAGAAAAGGAGAATTCCAACGAGAATTCCAACAGTGATTGATCTGCTGATTCCGCAGTCTCACAGAGTGCGCGGAGCAGGACAAAAGCTCAACAGAAAGGATCCCAGGGCTCTCTGTTACTGCTCCACCAGTGACCTTATAGTGAAGTCCATCCCATAAGCAAACTTTGAGTGAGTGTGTTTGATGAACAAGTGTATGGCCATAAGTCATTGAGTCTACAATACACACCAAAGACGCCTTTTGAAGGAGCAGAAAGAAGGCCCTTGAATTGCTGGAGAGAGAGACTCCAGGAACCATGTGAAGAAATAGGCTGTATTTCATTCAAGCCAGTGGTAGTAGAGTAGAGAGCTCTCTTTGTGTCTACATAGTCAAGATGGGAAGCAAGAAAAGAAAAGAAAAGACAAAAGGAAAACTTACCTAGCACTAGTAGAGGAGAGCTCTACCAGGCTAGGAAGGGAGGTGGTAGTCTTAAGTATGTACTGGCAAAGGTTGGTGTTGATGGGTCCATGTGGTCTTAAGAGGTGGGATATAAACACTAAGGAAAATCTCCCCCGTTTCTGTACCTCTCCATTCCTCTCTTGCATGCGCACTTGTGTGGGAATGTTGACAGTGAAGGGTGAAGGCCAAGAAGAAACTATTCTGGACAACAAAAGGAAACAGTGAATTTACACACAACTCTACAAAACAATCAAACAATGAAGCCAACAAAAAAAGAAAGGGAAACTTTTTTTGGGGGTGTTACAAGCCCAACAGGGTGTTGGTAGAAGCAGAACATACAAATATTTCACATGGGTTTGTTTAAGCCAAGATGTTCTTCTTTTTTTCTTGTTTTGTTTTTGTCAATCATAGATCTAGGGATTGAGTGGTTTTTCTGATACGGCCAATTGAGATGAACGCTGAAGCAAAGAATCGTATGAAAAGAGTTGTAACGTGTTTTTGTCAACTGAAAAAAAAAAAAAAAAAGAGTGAGGCCAGTGGATGTCCCTCCATGGACTTTAGCATGACCATGCCCTTGTGAGCAAAAAGCAGATTAAAAGGTCTTCATTTTGATGGCTCCGGTGCCGCCTGGAATGAGTGAGATGACTCAGCAAGAAATTCATCGTTTTTTTTTATCTTGGAGTTCATCAGTTGACTCACCCCAACCCATCCCAACAAAGGCCAGCCAACTCCATCTTCGCGGGTTGGAAATCAAGAAGGTGGCCAACCAGATAGATAGTTCCGAGTATCTAATAAGTATGTAGGACCGACATTGGTGCCAAGGGGAAGGCAAGGAGGCTAAGATCAGCTGACCAGAACTTCGCTCGCGCGAAATAGTGACTTTCCTACTGACGTGTAGAAAGTTAAAGAGCCCTTAAGCTTGACAACGCGATCGACCCAAGCATGCATCTCGGCAGCTATTGCGAGATTGGGATACAAGTCAAAAATTGAAATCCAACAAACGTTCTCATATTGGACTCACTAGTAGGGGCAGTCTTGCTATCCAACATGAACATCATCATCATTCTGGCCAAAATACCTGCAAAAATGTGTCGGGGGAGATAGAAAACATGGGTAAAGGAATAACATCTTTTAGTTTTTGTTCCCTCACTCCCTTCTGATGAATGATCGAAGGAAGAATTACCGATGTGGTTGTGGCCGACGGTGCCCAACCCTTCGTAGTAGCCGGCATTAGTCATCAGACAACTCCAATCGTTGGCGGAGAAGTGTTGCAGGAACAGGTTGGGCGGGGCAAACTGGGTGGGAGTCTTGTCACCCCGGAAGAGCTTGCGAGTGGGCAAGAAGCCCAGATAGGGTCGCTTGTAACCGGTGGCCTGGAGCACATAGGACCATCATCGTCAGACGCTCCCCTGGATTCTCCACCCATCGTCGGGTTTATCTTACCTCGACAATTACATCCGCCGAAACTACCTCGGATTCATCCAAGCCAAACCGATGGACTTCAACTCCTTGAGGGGAGATTCGATGGATCTGAATCAAAGGTGTCACATTACGGATGGCAAGGTTAATATACTGGCATGAGTATTTGCTTCGACACTTGAGCATAAATATAAATCACCTTGGCCCTGACGTAATCGGCGCGATTCTCGCGCACGAGTTTCAAGAATTCGCCATTGACGATCGGTGTTTTGCTGTACAAGCGGTCAGCCGGTTTGCCGTTATAGGCAGCGGGACTCATCCACTTCAAATCGGCTCCGTAATGGTACGCTCGGATGGCGCTTTCAGCAATTTGATCGATGAAGCAGGGGATCCCGAACGGATTCATGGCGAGCAGGGTTCCGATGATGACATTTCGAGGAATAAACCACTGAAATAGTTCACCATTTCCATGCACATTAGTCAAAAGAAGTCATGGGTACATGGAAGAGGATAGGAGGGAGAAGAGCTGTCTCGTTGTCCCAGTTTTTAAGAAAAGTTGCCATTAGTGGCCACAGAGCAAAACAGTTCTCACTTTGTCAGTTCGCGTAACCAAAACCGCAGGAGTGGCGCAGCCAGACTGAACGGCCAACTCGAGGGCTTCGACGGCGCTAGCACCACCTCCAATAACCACGACCCGTTTGCCGGGCCAATCGATCTGATCCAATTCACTCGAATGAATCATTTTCCCTTGAAACTCTTCGCGGCCTTGGAAGTTGACTCGCTCGGGCGGGCCACATGTGCCAACGGCCACCACAATCCCATCAAAGACACCCTCGGCCCCATTGTTAATCGTCCATTTCGAAGGCTGATCTTCTGAGGCTTGCTGGCGAGTGACTTGTTGGACCGTGAACTGTTGCGTATGAGCGTAGGAATGAGCGCGGATTATGAGGAAGGCGTACGAGGAGTGCGTTGAAAATTACTGACATTAAATCGAGTCCGCGAGTTCAATCGGTAGCTATTCCAGATTCTTTGAAGTTCGGATAGGATTTCACCCTATGAGGAGGGAGGAGTCGTAAGTATTAGAGGGTGAAGCAGCAATATTTAGGAAGAGGTGAGGTGATCATGTCAAGAAGTGCAGATATTAATGTAGCGCCTGCCGATGAAGACGGAGGAAAAAGACGTAAGCTGCCGGCGATCGTTGATCGTTGAGGCGTGAAGCGATCGCCATGAGTATATAATTCTCTGTGTCGTTCAAGTTGCCAAGTCGCCACTGGATTCAGATAATGGTGGGATCTGGATCTTATAGATATATATGGATTGCAAGAAAGTTTGTGCTGGGACGGCCCAAGGAGAAGGAGGGTTTGCGACAAGGGACTGACAGAAGGAAGCTCCGGAGGAAGGCAGATTCAAAAGAAAAAAAAAAACTCAACTTTTCTGACTGGGAATTGGTTTGACCATTTGACCGAAGGATGAAATCTATACATCAAGGAGTCCAGTTGAAGGGATGAAGTGCTAGAGAGATGGGTGGGTCAATCAGTGAGCTGCTCTGCATCTTGCGGAAGGTAAGCTCTGGATAAACTGGCGCCTGTCCAGTGGTAGGATAATGACATAAGAGAGGCGATCGAGCCCAACTCCAAGGAAGAGGTTTGGTTTAATGAGATGAGCTAGATTCTGCTCTGGGCCCCAAGAGACTTTGACAGAGTGTCCAGTGAAATACTTCTTGGGACAGTGTTTTGTTCGAGCTGACTGAAGGCTGGGCAGACTTGAGCAAGCCAGGTGGTGGATGGGACTAACCTGTTGACTCTGGACCAGATCCCGCCGATCGTCTCGGATTGTTCAAAGATGACGACCTCAAAGCCGTGAGCAAGGAAGTGGGCGGCAGTCGAGATCCCAGTGATTCCGGCGCCGACGATGGCGATCCTGCCGAGCGGGTTGGACGAAGGCTCGAGGGTGATGGCATCGGTACTAGGTGCGAAGAGGTAGATGATCACGTTCTGGATGAGCCCGTATAAGACGACCCAGATGCTCGACAGCAGGTTGAGGAGCGGGCCAAGGAAAGCACCCTTGAGGGCCGACGCGCCCGAGGAGGAGGAGGAGGAGGAGGAGGAGGAGGATGGTGGCTGGTCTGAATTTGAAGTGTCGGGTATCGACGACAGGGTTGATCGGGGCGAGGATAAGGAGAACAAGGATGTTGAGGAGGAGCGGGCGGTGGTTTGCTCAGAGAGCAGGGATGATGGGCTGGATGGGGCTAATTATCAAAGCATGGGTCAGAATGATTATCATATTCCAGACGGCCCAGCGGATCAATCCAACATATAAATCTTGGGGGCAGTGCAAGAGAATGGAGAGAGGAGGGAAGAGGATGGAAGAGAAGGAATGGGAAGGTGATATTGCTTACATCGATCGGGTGGCAGGAATCCGATGAGAGCCGAGCTGGTGGTGGGAGTGGTGCTCGCCACGTTGGGGATTTGATGGACCATGATGATACTGGGGATGGGTTCTTCTAAATAAGTAAATTCAAAAACGATTGAGCACCAGAACACGAGTGCTTGCTGCTATCGGGCGAGAGAGATTGGGTTCAAGGAAGGGGCAGTAGTCCTACCCGGTGAGCTGCTCCCCTTGGAAGAAGGGAGGAGGGAGACTATTATGAAGAGGTGTGGAGTGTGACTAGTCAGTGGACTATGACGAAGGAAAAAATTGCTAGGATTGCTGGAAGAGAGGTGGGCACAAGGAACCAATCAAAGAAGATAGAACAAGAGAGACATCAACAAATAAATAAAAAAAACCTCAAGCAAAGAACTCTAGGAGCCAGTGGTGGATTCAAGACTCTAGACTGTGATAGTCTCGAGCAGTGGGGTTACTGGCCAGAGAAAGTATTGGTCTTGGCTTCTGGCTATGGAGCTGATTAGGATCTTGATCATCAAGCGAGCCAGGCATGGAGATAAACCATCTGGGAATACTTTTTGGAATATATCGGTTCCCTCAATCTTCTTCCTCCGGGCCGGCTGAATTCACTGCCACGGAAATCCACGCCAGCCGAGTATCATGGGCAGTGCAAAGAAAAAAGAAACAGGAAATAAAACAGAGAAATGCTAACTCTCCAGAGACGTACATATCGAGAGATCACGATCCGACAAATCACAACAGGATACATGGCTGAAATCGATCTCAAGAGTCAGTGTCTCCATCCAAGTTTTCTTGGGGAGGGCTATTTACTACTTTGAGATTGAAGTGGGGTGTTTTTTTTTTTGCATTACTTTGAGTCGATCGGAAAGACTGATCGAGACGACAGGATCACGATTTTCTCAGACTGGCTAAAAACTATGCAGGGCTCAAGCGAGCGAGCGCAGTGGATTGATTAACAATGCTTCAGAGGGCAGAAGAGAGCTCATCGGTCGTCAATCGGACATCAGGACATCATCAGATATCAGGATTAATAGACAGGAGAGTAGCTGAATGATCAAGAGGCAGCCAGGACATGGATGAGGAAGAAGAAGAAGAAGAAATCAGGCCTGAAGTGAGAGGGCTTTCTGAGGCAGGATGGGATCCAAGCTGACGTATATCTAGTAATCCAGGAGAAACTGAGGGAAGATCCGTCGTACGATGAACTGCTCACCTATTCAAGGAGATGGGACTGGATTCAACTTGCAAGAGCACTATGTAGAGAGGTCAAGGTCGAACCCCAGCCAATCGAGATAAAGAAAGGAAACCAATCCAATGGGAGAACACTGGTACGTATTACTATTATGTATGTATGCAGGAGGAGGACGGGAGGCGGGGTTGATCTGAGAAGATAGAAGATTGCAAGCTGTCAAATTCTTCAAGCTAAGCTCAAAGGACACACACACACACGCGCGCGACTACTGCCCGTCGGTTTGTAGGGCCGGAGGGGATATTACTGGAGGGGAGGGGTGAAGAGGGATAAATCTGATATGGAGAGGGGAGATGTCGAGTCTTCCTCATGAGCAGCTGAGATCTCGATCTTAAATAGTCTGACTCTTCCAAAAATCCAAAAATAAAAAACTACAACTGGGCGTACATCATGTGTGGTGTAATCCATCAAACCAACTCAGATTTCTAAAACCCATGCACCAAACGAAACGTGAAAGCATATCATATTAAAAAAAAAAAAAAAAAAAAAAAAAAATGATTATAATACACTATAAAAACAATCGATTGATCGAACATGCACATAGAATATTAACATCCAACAGCCAACACTCAAGGAACGCTGAGAATCAGGAAGGACAATGGCATGATGATAATGATGATAATACATCATCACCGGCCATACGCTCAGAAGGAATGATGTCTGTAACTGAGTTGGAATAGTGTTAGGATAAATAGACTCCAAGTTCTTCTTCTTCTTACATATAGAGTCTTGATGATGATAATCCTGAACACGTATCAGCTTCCAGAACAGACCAGCCGATGCTTGTCGAAGCTGATATGAGAGGGGGAGAGGCTTAGAGTTTGCTGCGAATGATTGGCTCTCCTCTTATAAGGCTCTTGGACAAAGTGCTTTCTGAAGCCTTCCTGCCTGATGAGCTTATTTGATGCACTTTAAATAGACAGGCTGTTCAAGGAGAAGAGAGACCGGTGGAGCCGAGTGGGTGAATCCATCATCCAACTTGTAACGAAAATTAAACACTTCAATCACCAAACCACAGTTTTTTTTTATGTAGATGATCGAATTGGTTTCAGATTCCGCTATATTTTGTGTATGGTGTAGATCATCTCATCCTTGGTGTTTTCCCTGCTGGTTCTGGATCGCTGGGGCTTGTGGAGTTGGAACTTGGAGCCCAGACAACACCTGCTCCTATTTCCAACGTTTCTTGTCATCAGGCGAGGGTAAGGAACAAGAAAAACAGAACCTTTAAAGACTTCAGGGGGGGGGGATGAGTAATTATCTTTGTGCTTTGGGACTTACAACCGAATTCCAGACGTTTATAAGCTGATCAATCCACTAAAGTAACACTGCTGTTGGATTTATGTAAGAGGAGATTAAAGGGTAGACTAGCAGCTTGCGAGCGGGCAGCAACAGCAGCACTTCGAACAGGCCGACAGATTATATCAAGAGTGCATGAAACGTCGGCCGGGCGTCGTTTGCTCCCAAGTTCAAGAAAAGGAGGTCCATGCCATGGTGGATAAAATAAGCTTGCAAACCTTGAGCCCGGAAGGACTCAAACGGATCGGGGTTTTTCTGTTTTTTTGACATTGAAATTGTAATTGCAACTTGTTTGGAGGCCAAAGGCATGTCATATCACGGCTATGTATCGCAGACCAAGCTCCACCGGCTGATTGTTGTTTTTTTGTTTCTGGTGTCTGGAAGCTGTCGCCGCGTCCTGCTCAAGTTCCTCGACTTTGCTGCCCGAGTCCCACATGCCCCCCCCCCCCGATGGGTGACATCGGAAATAGGAACCTGGATCAATCCCGGCCGCAACCCTACCAGTCTCCAGACGAGACACACCAGCCAAAACTGCAAGAGAGAGCTTCATCTTGTTGACAGTTGTTGCATCTTGCAAAGTCCAGACGATGATCTGCACCTGCATACAAATCTGTATTTACAACCTTCGAGGCCACCAGCAAGCTCACTCGTCCTTGCCCCAACGAGTACATAAATACAACTGTCCTCCAAGACTACATAGTGATCATCAAGAAAACAGAGAAATTCATCCTCTTCATCCACATTTGACTATTAACATACATCTCCTGGCTGCTCTCTATACCCAAAAGATCCTTGCAAGCTGTACTCATTCTTGTTGCTTCTCGGCCGGCTGCTTATTATATTGATCGGGCCTGATAATTAGAGTCTGATGTGAATGATCAATAAACACACCCTTGAGCTTCTTCTTTTTTGTTTTTTGTTTTAGGCTCGATCTTGTTTGTCAATATTGTAAACACAAAAAGTCTCTCAATTTCATCCTTGAGGGATAAACACATGAATGCTTAACTAAACACATTTATACAGTCATCACCTGCACTCTTGTAGGCCCCTTCTCCAATCCGCGCGTCTATAATAAACTCAGTTTTCCATATGGACGATGTAAACAGGGTCCAGGATCCTCACCAAGAACGCCGAGAAGAAAAAAACAAAGAGGGGGGGGGAAGCTTGAGTGTAACAAATAAGAGCACAGCTGCCCTAGACAAGCTAAATGATAACAAGTGATCCGCAGACAAGCAAAGGATCCGGCAAGCTTAACTCTTAATTTCTTTGCTTTTATTTGTTTCTTTTTTTAAAAATAAATCTTTATTGCTTTTTACGACAAAATAATGTTGAAAGTAAATGACACAAAAACTTTGCCATGAGGAAAGAAACCCTCATGCCGAATACAACTTCTTAAATACCTAACACCAAAGGTAACTGATTTTCTGACTACAAGTGCTTTTAGATTTAAATACATACTACTTACAGATTACATTTCTTATTTATTCTTAAATCTCTGAAAACCTCTTCTTTGAAGGGAAAATAGAACATCAGTCTTGTTCTTACTTACTTTGAATTTACCTTTCTCGCTATTTTACTAATCTACTTGATTAGATTTCGAAATATAATCTTTCAACTAAAATTGTTTTCATAAAAACTTTTTGAGTTTAGCTGTGGGCTGTGCCTGGTCGTCACAAATATGCCCTGCCTATTATAGCCTTTATTTTTTGATTTGTATATTGCCACTAAGTTATTCCTGAACGTCTCCAGGTAGCCTTGTAGATAACTTGGAATATTTTTGTCAGCTACCCAAGTGTCTTCCCCAGGAGTAGAGCTGCGCCAACGTAGCAAATACTCGTACTTACCTTTACCTACCTGCCGTGCGTCGAGGATCATGGCTAATTTAGACCAGTCCACCACCCTACCTTCCTTGTAATATAATTCCCTAATACCCTGAACCATCCCGCGACCCTCAACTTCCCTAGGATTCTTGTACCTAACCACTAGCGAGATGTTAAAAACTGGATGAATCTTTGGGTAATCCTTTGCGATGTCTAACCGAACCGCATTTTTCCCCACCATCTCAATAACTCTGAAAGGTCCTAAAAATCTATAATCCAATTTTGAATTTATTCGTCTTGTTGAAATGAATTTTCTTAACAGTAGAACCTGATCCCCTTCTTTGTAATGTGAGCACTCCCTTCTTCGCAAATCGTAGTATTGTGCCTGTCTTTGTTGAGCCTGAGTTAAACATTCAACCGCCCGTTGTGGAACTACTCAACCAGGGAGATAGAGCTTGGAGGGGATATAGACAACTACACTAGTACTAATGTAAGTTGAGACTACAGGTGCTGATGAGGCTGCCCTCCTGTACAATGCTAATGGGAAGAGTGTAACACTAAGAAAAAGAAGAAGAAAGGTGTGGCTGATTTCTACTTTATCTTAGACTACTATTACTGATGAGCTTGTGTATGTAGTACCTACAGAGGTGTGAGGAGGAGGAGAAATGAGGTGTGATGGGATAATTCTGGCAAAGGGTAACACTGGCAAGGAGGAATGGCACTGGCAAAGGGGATAACCTGGCAAATGAGGATTTATAACTGGCAAGGGGGGATGTATAACTGGCAAATATAACTGGCAATGATATCTGGTAAAGATATAAGGGTGATACTAGTATTTCTGATTTCTAAGACTATGGTTAGAGGGTACATATGAAAACTGGCATAAGGGGGAAAATACATGAGGAAAGAAGAAAGAGTATATATGTGTACAACATGTACATACAACAGCAAAGCACTATGGCTGGGGAAATCCTGGCTATGGGTAATGTAAGTCTTGAACAGTAATGAGTGATGAGAAATAATGTAGCTAAGAGACAGATGTTCTGTGTATACAAGTGTTAATCAGGTATGGAAAGTCAAAGCAGTGTGAAAGGAATTATGTACATGATGTGATGTAGTTAAGGTTTTCCTGATTGATGTATGTAATTATGGTTATGCTGAATATGTAGTGTAGTATGTAGTAATGGTGATGTACCATGATGAATGAGTGATTCTACATAGATACTGTAACTAGATGATGTGTAATGTATATGTACTGTATGTACAAAGTAATGTACTGTTCTGTAACTATGAATATACTGAAGAGCTGATAACTAGAGAATTATAAGAGCTACTGAAAAGCTGTAAGAGGTGACTAGGGGTGAAATGATGTGTAGAATCTGAATATGAAATAATACTGGGAAGAATATATGTAGAAATGATGTGAAAAATGAGGATACATGGAAAGGTATGGACATACCACACCGTTCCTGAATAAACTGTAAATCCTCAGTGAATTCGTCTACTGGATTAATACCCAAGCTATCTGTTAGCACACTAAATTTTGGATGATAACCATAAGTAAAGAAGAAAGGAGAAACTCCCAACAAAGCTGAATCAGAATTGTTAATCGCAAACTCCGCCATATCTAAAATCTTGTCCCAATTATCCTGCTAAAAGGAACAAAAATGTCTGAGATAGTCCTCAAGGACCTGATTCATCTGTTCGGTTTGGCCGTCTGTCTGTGGATGATAAGCGCTAAAATATCCTGACTTAATCCGCAAAGAGTTCATCAAACTATTCCAGAATCTGCTTACAAAAATTGGACCCCTTTCCGAAATAATCCTTTGAGGAAGTCCATGCAGCCGCACTATATTGGTCCTAAACAGATTTGCTACTTGCGCAGCCGAATAAGTTTCCTTACATGGAACAAAATGAGTCATCTTACTTAATAAATCAATGACCACCATGATGGAATCAAAACCTCCCGAATCCGGTAATTTGACTATAAAATCGATTCCGATCTTGCTCCAAGGTCTATCCGGAATCTTTAGAGAATTCAACTGTCCTTCGGGCTGTTGACAACGAGCCTTAACCCTCTGACAGGAATCACACGACTTTACGAAGTGGATTACCTCCTTCCGCAATCCTGGCCAAGAAAATGAACGGGTTATTAATGCCAAAGTTCTGGCAATACCTGGATGACCCGCCGAAGGAGTATCATGTGATAATTGGCTTATCCGAGTTTTCATTGCCTGCGGAACAAAGATTCTGTCTTGATACCAATAGATATCCTGAAAAAAAATTAAATCTTCTTTATCTTCTTCGTTCAGGGTAGCATAAGATCGTTTCAAATAATCAATTAATTCTTCAGACGGCTTTTGAAAAAATAAATCATGCTTAGCGGTACCCTTTTCAGCGTCCAACGGTACCATATCATTGATTGATTCAGGTACCAGTCGCTTGGTAATTGTTTCGGTAGGCAAATTCCCTAACTGGCCCAAGGTATAATCCGGTTGCCGACTGGGTCCATCTGCTGGGTTGTGTTTCCCCGAAATATGATGTATCTCGAAATTGAACTCATCTAGAAAGGAAGCCCATCTCGCTTGCTTGGGAGAAAGTTGCTTAGCAGATCTGAAGTATCTTAAGTTTGAATGATCAGAAAAAACCTTTACCGGTTCCTCAGTGCCCATCAACCAAGCTCGCCATTCCTCAAAAGCCTTAACTACTGCCAATAGCTCCAAATCAAAAATAGGCCATCCCCGTTCCCAATCAGAAAGCTTCCTAGAATAAAAGCTTACAGGGTGTAATTTGCCATCCAACCCTGGTTGACTCAAAACTGCCGCTATTGCATACCCCGAGCTATCTACATGTACTGTTCTTGGGAGTTTGAATTCAAAGTGTCAAAGAAGAGGGGCTCTTGCAAAACACCCTTTCAAAGCAGAAAAAGATATTTTTAGATCTTTCTTACCTAAATTATCTGAATTCCAAGCACCCTTCTTAGTCAAATCTGTTAGTGGTGCAGTGAGATCTGAAAACTTTGGGATAAATCTTCTGTAAAAATTTGAGAATCCCAGGAATCGCTGAAGCTCTTTAAGCATCTCTGGATAAGGCCAATCCAAGATGGTCAAGAGATTCTTTGGATCCATCTTGATTCCTTCACGCAAAATATTAAATCCTAAAAATCGAACCTCGGACCTAAAAAACTCGCACTTTGCCAATGATGCCTTTAGGGAATGTTCCTTCAGCTTATTTAAAACCTTCTTGAGATCTTCGACATGTTGTTCTCTTGTCTTAGAATAAATAAGAATGTCATCAATATAGACAAAACAACAAACGTCTAAGTACTCACGAAGTACATGTTGAATAAATCTCTGAAAGGTGGCTGGTGCATTGGCCAAACCGAAAGGCATGACTAAGTATTCAAACAATCCCCATGGCATTCGAAAAGCAGTTTTCCATTCATGGCCCTGTTTGATTCGGAGTAAATTGAATGCCGACTTAAGATCTATTTTTGAAAGAAGTTTGCAACCTGCTAGATTATTCAATAAGTGTGACACTAAAGGAAGAGGGTAAGAATCTCGAATAGTCATTGAATTTAATAAACGGTAGTCTATACACGGTCTATCAGCCTTCCCAGGTACCTTGACAAAAAAAATAGGTGCCCCCGCTGGGGATGAAGACTCTCGGATAAAGCCCTTTTTTAAATTCTCATTGACATACTCTCTTAGCTGCTTATTTTCTTGTTCACTTAAATTGTACATACCTGTGAAGGGGGGAGTACTTTGGGGCTTTAGATTTATTTGACAATCATAGCCCTCCCGATGAGGTGGTAATGAACTCAAGGCTTCAGAAATAAACACAGATTCAAATTCTTTTAATTCAAAAGGAAATTGATCAGTATCAACAGAAGAGATAGACGCTACAGGCTTGGGGAAAAATAGACTCATTGGAGAACCCCCTAAAAACATGTGGTTTCTTGATAACCATGGGGCCCCCAGTATGATATCGGCAGAAGCTAGGTTGGTAACAAAAAGTTTAACTTGAAAAGAGAGAGATTGATCAGAGAAAGGTAGTTGGATCCGACCGATCCAACATTCTTTTATTTTGCCCGATCGAGCAGGCACTTCATCAGATCCTTGACAAAGAAGAGAGTTTTTCAGCCCCGTTAACAAAAAGGAATTCCTGCGAATGAAATCCAAGTTAACAAAGGAAGCCGAGGCTCCCGAATCAAACAGAACCAAAGCCCTTGCGGACCTCTTTTCCTGAAATACTCTGGCAGCTAAAATAGGTTGAGGAGAAGAGAATGGAATAACAAAGAAATTTAAATACAAAGACTTACAAGGCTCCCTATCTACCTCCATATGGGAAGCCGCCTCATCCCAACATAAGTCACCCAGACTAAGAGGTTGAATATCATCCAAGTTAAGATCGCCCAAAGACTTAGTCTTGTCTTCCACCGCCACCTCGGCCAAAGCGTCCTCCACGTCCTTTCCTCCTTCAGCAATCCATGTCTTATACAACTCGATCTTGTCGTCAACTTCTGGTTGCGCCTTAGTTGAAGTACATCCCTTATTGATTGCATGTTTTTTATCGAAGCGACCATGGCAGCGCTGACAGATGTGTTTCTTTCGACAAATTGCTCGGAATCTGGGGAAATTAAAACAGTTTTCAGCGGACATGATGTCCAGATCCATCAGGACGACACCATCCGGCACTCGAACGGGGGGAGCGGAAACAGCTCGAGGAGGAGGTTGGGAATGCTGACGCTTTTGGAACGAAGGAAGCGATCCCGAATCGATTGACGCAATTTTATCTTGAGCTTTGGCTGCCAAAACCGCGAGAGCTTGCTTGCCTTTTAAAGTCGTGGTTGATTTCCAATCACCTCGCATGACTGCAATCTTCAGAATCTTAGGATTAAGAGCTTGTTTGTAGAAATCGCATTGAGATTCTTCTGTAAGATCAACCGAAAAACATAGCGAGTTGAATAAAGCATTGAATTCCTCGATGGTTCGATTTTGCTGTTGAAAAGCATTTAATTTCTTCTTGGCATCTTCATTGTCGTGCTTGTTATCAAAGACTTCCTCTAAATGACTAAGGAAGGCCGACGCTGAAAGAAGATGAGATAACACGTAAGGATCTTGAACCGACACGGATTCAGTCGGAAGGCCTTGTTCCCAAGCATTCTCGAAAAGAAGCGCCATCCACCAATTATATGACGGACACGGATCGCCGAGATTACCATTGGGGTGGCGGAAATGAAGAACAATCCAATTGATCTTCGACTTCTCCGATCGGAAGCAATCGGCCTTCTCAAAAAGTTTTCCCGAATGAAGTAAACGAACTGCTTAGTCTCCTTCGGATTTCCGGTGAATTGAGCATAGGACAACTCTGCCACTTCTCGAGAGGAATTGAGCCCGGAGCGAGAGAGATCCATGATTTGAGCCGCATTCTGTTGAATCACCGTGTTACAACCATCAATAACCAAACGAATTTGTTCAATAGAAGATTGAAGCCTCAACACATGATCTTGAAAATAAAGCTTGACGTCATTAAGATTGGAATACAATTTCTTCATCGACTGGATATCCTTGACGTCCTCGGCGAGATGTTTGAAGGTTCTCTTTATTGATTGAAGTTCGGACTGCAGATTCAAAAGTTGAGACTCGCTATTTGCTGATCCAATCTTGATGGAAGACAATTGATCCGCGAGCTGAGCCACTTTAGCCTCGATGGGGTTCTTCAAATCCTCGGTCGGAACTATGGTAGGTTAAACTGGGAGTGGGGGAAGAGACATTTTCCTTAAAAAGTGGAAACTAAATCGGCTAACTAGAGTAATAATTATTGCTAGGAAAAAAAAGGAGTAAAAAAAAACTCCTAAAAACAATTGTGAAATAATTGTAACGAATAAGAGCACAGCTGCCCTAGACAAGCTAAATGATAACAAGTGATCCGCAGACAAGCAAAGGATCCGGCAAGCTTAACTCTTAATTTCTTTGCTTTTATTTGTTTCTTTTTTTAAAAATAAATCTTTATTGCTTTTTACGACGAAATAATGTTGAAAGTAAATGACACAAAAATTTCGCCATGAGGAAAGAAACCCTCATGCCAAATACAACTTCTTAAATACCTAACACCAAAGGTAACTGATTTTCTGACTACAAGTGCTTTTAGATTTAAATACATACTACTTACAGATTACATTTCTTATTTATTCTTAAATCTCTGAAAACCTCTTCTTTGAAGGGAAAATAGAACATCAGTCTTGTTTGTACTTACTTTGAATTTACCTTTCTCGCTATTTTACTAATCTACTTGATTAGATTTCGAAATATAATCTTTCAACTAAAATCGTTTTCATAAAAACTTTTTGAGTTTAGCTGTGGGCTGTGCCTGGTCGTCACATTGAGGGTGAGAGAAGAGATGTGGTTGATGAGTGGCATGATAGAAGCCATATGTAGACAGACTCACCGCCGAGCAGGAGATCGTTCGGTCAGTGTGCCAAGTGGTTGAGTCTGGCTCGCCAGCCTAGTCGATTGGCTGAGTTTGAGGCTCATGTTGGACTGACTTAACACAAGCCCCTCGATCGGAGGGCCTGGTAAAGCCAGGCTGGCGCAAAGCGCCCCTCGCGAAGCGAGCCTCCGAAGGAGGGACTTGCAGGTCATGTGTCGCATTTGGCCTGGGGGCTTGGGCCATTTTCAGTGGGAGCAATTTCCCCCCTGCAATTCCACTGTCTTCCTCAGACACGGGGTTTCTGCCTTCAGGACTAGAATCAAGAGAAAATTTTTCCGCTTCTTTCCATGGTCAACACACGTTGACTGCTTGGCGCATCCCCCCCTCATTTGGGCCTGAAGTTTAGTATTGAGGTTGGTTTGACCTCCGTCCAATTCTGTATTTCTGAAACAAATTCCATCAAACACCGAACCATCTCTTGTATGAAACTGTATGATGAAACATAGGACATACACATTAAGATGAGGAAAAGTTAAAGATTCTGTAGGATAATCCGTAAGGACCTGGCCAGTCATTTAAAAATGGCCTGGGATGATCACTTCCATGCCTCGATCAGTTGATCATCCCATTTTTCCCATTGCCTAGTTGTCAACCACTTGATTCCGGGCACTACTGAGACCTCATACCATGGATTCCAAAGCAATCACCGTCTGTGAATTGCTCCAATCGTTACCTTGCAAGATGACACCAAAGTCGTTCTTGCTGCACTTCTTACAATCTGATAACTCTGATTTAGCCTACCGGCGGCGCTATTGGGCAGAGTCGGCCGTTGACTCAACACTCGTCTTGGTCGAGGCAATTGCGGAGGAATTGAAGAGTTCGGCTACTGGACGGAATGTGTGGGCCAAATTTATTGAACAAGAGGTAAGCTCAGGATGACTGTCTCCGCTGAATGTAAATATTGATCGTCAGATCGTTCTTAGGCCATCAAGTTATTAGCAAGTCAACAACCTCCCAAAGGGAATCATCCTGTTGGGGCCTTTCAGAGTTCAACAACGGTCACAAGGGAGTACCTCGGCCCAGATGAGAAGGAGAAGCGCGAGGGGCTGCTTACTTCGACTCATATGCCGTTCTTGTACAACATCCTGGTGGGATCTCTTCATCATCAGCGCGGGCGGTGCAACTCGCCCGAGAGCGACGACGAGCTCGAGGATGAGTACCTGACGGAAGCTGATGAGGGTGACATGCCAATTGACCTTGATGTGGTTGCATACACCCGACGTTTGACTGGGGAGGCCAGGGTGACCTTTAGGTATCATCGCGTAAGCTGGTCTGATACTTGTTGGGCTACCCTGAGGGTTGATGCTGATGCACAAGCATTGTAACAACCACAGATTGTCACGACAGTCTGTTCGATGATGTGTTTTGCCTCTAACCGACGGGCCAATGGCCTCCAGTTGGTCAATGGGGTTCGTTTCTTGGCTTGTGGCATGTCGGAGCGAGTCCATGATTACATGAATTTCATTGGACTGGCTTCATCCCGATGGACGGCACTTGCGGCTTTGGGAACGTTGGCTAAAGAGGCTCAGTCTAACTTAAAATTGGCTATGGCGGGGACCGACGACAACCCTGTTGGTCCCTCAATTTGTATCGATAATATTGACATGGTCGAGAAGGTCCATGCTTTGTCTGTTGGGAATCGGACTCATACGTTCCGTGGGACGTGGGGCTACATCCACTTACCCGACCCTAAGCTGCTCAAAAGACTCAAACACGATGATTTATCGCTACCCGCTTACTACGAGGCGATGCGCCTGGCTCAAGATGTTCCAATTGAGCCGGAGTACTTCCTTCCCACCACTGAATCAAACATAGTTGAGGAGGCCGTATGGAAGTCGCAAATTGCGTCAGTGATGGTAAAGTATATTGCAGTGCCGTCCGATAAATCCTCTTCTGTGCCTACCGATCCACCAGTTGTCGATCAGATTAGCCACGAGAAACCGGTGATTCACACGTTGAAACTGATGGATGCCTCAGACAACTGTGCCGAGGGAGTTGGCCAGGTATTCCAGTCGATCATCAGCCAAACCGGGATACCTGCGGAGAAGTTTTACGGACGTCTTCAGCCTATGGATGGGGACCTGGGGACCGTGCAGAATTTCAACTGCCTACGCTCGCAGCGGTTCCCCAATCCTTTTGCCGTAGAGAAGATGAATAATTGTGTCTTTCAGCTGGGTGCGGCACATACGTTGTGGAATGTTGCATCCACAATCTTTACACATCATTTTGGTGATGCGAAAAAGTCTTCTAACTGTGGCGCATGGCAATTCCTTGAGGCATTGGGCTTCCCATCGGAGAAGGCAATCCAGAAGAAGGATTTCACGCTTATGATCAACCAGATGGAGCGGGTCCTTGAGGGGATATTATTCTATTGCTTACGGTAAGTAATCCGAGGTCTCCAATCCCACATGAGTTCACCCCTGACTGATGCCGAACATGATCTACATGGACGCAATTATCCAGTGTCATCATGAAGACCAATCGCCAGCCTATACCTCAAGAGGTGGGCACTATCCCAACGGATGCCTGGAACAAAATAGTCGACTCCTGCTATTCAAGGTTCTGTTCGTCCCAAGCCCGACGCGATGCAGCTACTAGGGATTGCCCAAAATTGCACAATACCCTGGTTATGCTTCATGACTTCTCAAGTGTAGTTGAAGCAAGCCGATCAATGAAAGCTGGGGATATAGGAAGGCTGCTCATTGTATGGAAAAAATGGTGCCTGATGTCTCAATCACTATCTGGGATGACGAACTACTCGTCTTACTTGCCGCGGATGGTGCTTCTCCTGACAGTAATCTTGCCGGTGTCCATGCAGAAGTTTATGCAGCACAACTTATTGTTCTCCCCATCGGGCCGGAAAAATCACTTTGTGGCTAAGGATTATCATTTAGAAACATTCAATGCATGGTTGAAATTCTTCTATAATAACACTGGTAATGGAACTCAGATTGAGCGGCTCAAGGAAGTGTATAGTCTAAATATTGAGACTGTAAGTCATTCCTCAAAGAAGTGATCTCTTAAACACATTAGCCCCGCGTATTCAATTGACAATTATTGCACCTCCAGCTGAAGGATTTACTGGATTCCCTCAAACAAGACTGTGGGGCCAAGAAGGTGTACCAATCTCACAAGAATCAACTCACCCTTCGATCTATGGAAATGTTTAATCTGATGTCCAACAACCGAGACATATTGGACGAATACGGTCGTGACGCCAATGAGCCAATTGTCATTATAGCTAACACATACATAATGGGGATACAAAAGATGCGCAAAACAATCCGGACAACAGACCCCACCCTTAGACGATTCCGAAGACACATGATGCCTGACCAACCCAGTCCAGCAGCCGGAGCCCAAGCAATCCAGGACGACCACGAGGAGGAGGAGGCGGATGATAACGCATCCGATGACCTATAAGTCTGCAAGTCCCGGGTCAATGTTGGCACGGCCGTCGTCTGCAAGTCCCGGGTCGATGTTGGCCTGGCCGTCGTCTGGCTGATGGTTTGCCCAAGCATCTGCCATGATCCGTGCTACTTGTTCTTTCCGCAGCTTTTTGCGCAATTCCTCCTGTGCCTTCATTTCTGCAGAGATTTTCCGCTCCGTTGCCTTATGTTCCCTCTTCTCGGCCTGTAATTCCTTTCTACTCTTTAACTTCACCACATGCGAGCCTGCTTGATTTGCTGAGATGACACCCGAATCGTTGTCATGTTGACCGATCAATTGAATTGGCCCCTGGCTATTGAGCCTCAATTGATAACCACTCGTGCCGCCATTCTTCTTTGAATGTTTGATGGCCGATGGTTGGTGGCCAACCGCATCTTCTAGAACAAACTCAAGGATTAGTCTGAGTAAGGCGTCCAACTGGCCTGCAAAACACTCGCCACCAATGACCGCCCGAACATTGTCACGAGTGTGTATGTTGTCTAAGTTAAACGCGAGAGCCTCTGCCTCATCGTTATCAAAAAGGTCAGCACCAACCAAGGTGCCACCCGGGGCCACGACCGTATCGTACATATCGTGCATTGCTGTGATGAGTTCGCATTTGAGCACATTGAGAGCACAGGTCTCCTCAGGGGAAAACTTGCGCTTGCGGGTTGCGATCCGCTTTTTAGGGTACTTTGCAGTGATGTCAGGTACCGAGATAGGGGTAAACCTGTCCAAAAGAATGTCGTCGAAATTTTCCCGATTTGCGAGGGGGAGATTGTTGATAAGGGTGAGTGATGCGCCGGGTTCGCAATTAGAACATCGGCAGGCATGAAAGCCCTCGTCCTTCTCTCGCTGCTGCTCCTTGAGATATTCAGGATCATCAAGCCAAAGGGGAATATAACCGAGCCTGAAGGGACAACTTATAATCAATACATGAATAAATAATCACCACACCACCGCAGTGTGATCAAATCAAACTCACTTGTTGTCCAAGGCAAAGGCTATGCGAAGGCAAACAGGGGTGATTGCCAATGCATCGATCCTGTCCTCATCGGTCTGGACAGCGCCCCTGGTGAACTGATCGGCTGAATTCTTCCCGGTGCGACGAGTCTTCTCCATAAACAACACCCCCAAGCCGTTCCGCCCGTCCCGTCCACATCTCCCTATCATCTGAGCAATCTGAGCCGGATCCCCACGTCCCATGTGCGCCACCATCCGGACTCGCTTCCAGTTCTGCCCCAACCCTAGGGCCATCGTCGCCGAGATAATCGGAAACTCCTCCTTCGCAAACTGTTCAACACAGCGCACCTTATCCAAATCACCTGTACATGAATGATAACGTCGCACACACGTGTTGTGGGGATCCCACGAACCCCCAGGGGTAACACGAGCTCGATCAATCACCTCACCCCTGTAGACTGTGAATCGACTATTCAATAGTCCACAAAACGCCTCCGTGTGGACTACGGGATAGCCATTTGGCTTACCTCGTTTCTCCTCGCTGTTTCTCTTTACATTGCACGGTTTACATATGTAAACTGGATTTTTTTTTTGCAAGTTCGACCAGCCGTGCTGCGCGGCTGCGTCAGCTCTGCCCCTCTGCTGTTGGGCATCAAACCCCCTCTTTTTTTGGGAGGCCGAACAGAACTGGAGGTCGCGCACTTATCCCATCCGGAACTGGGAAACGGGACGGAGACCGCTGTATCGCTTCACACCCCTTCGGCATATCCATAACACTGACAACTGCTTCTCTCTCTTCAATCGTTCAATCCTCGATTCCACTCCTCATCTACCTCACATCTCTTGAACAGCATGGCCAACCAGACTCGTAGAAGACGAACCAGCAGGACCAACACAGACCATCACACCATAAATACTGGGAGCTCTAGACGAAGCCGGACCATGAGACACAACATGTACGACCATGAAGCTGAACGTCGCCGTTATTCCGAATCTGTTCGGCTTGCTGAAAGACTCGGCCATCCAGTTGCAGGGCGGCGACCAACAACCCAGTCCCAACCAAGGCACATGGAAGAATCCTCACCGCGCTTGGAACCATTTTTTGGAGGCTTCGTTAGTCAAGATCAGGATGAGCACGACCTCGACAACCATGAGCGTAGCATACCAATTGCTGCCCATGCAGAATACTTCCGCCTTCGCCGCTACGCCGAGAAACGTCATCGTATCAGTTGTCAATGGGGCCTGATCGATGACCAAGCTCTGGCCACCTACCTCTTGTGCCAGCAAAAAACACTCAACTGGACCCAGCCTGCGGTGGACTTTGCATCGCCGCTTGATTTCTGTACATGTGCATCTATCAACATTCATCATCGACGAGTTGACTTGGTTGACTTACTCCGTGAGCATGCAATCTCTGTTCTGTTTTCCCATCCGAAGGATAATGTTTTTAATCTCCGAAAATTCACCCCAGATCGGCGACCAAGTCAGCTCATTGCCTTTTGCAAATGTACACCCGATCCAATCCGACTCATGCACCACGGTTACTTTGCCTGCTCTGTGGAAAAACCTCGATCTGCCTTCTCAATTCGGCTTGTTCAATATCACCATCTACTGTGGCAAGCATCTGCGGTATCTACATCCGCGTTTATCCAGTCCATTTCAACCTTCCTTGATAACCGTAGTGACAGTCCATTACTCAACCGAGGATCAAACTGGAAGCGGCGCCAACTTCGAGTACCTTTCACCAATTGCATTGATCTGTATCGCCGCATATTGAATAGTCAGAGAAAGCTTCTTGAAGACGGCCTGCAACTTACTAAAGCCGACAAGTGGGCAAGTAAATGCCCACGTTGCTTTGGCCCAAGCCAAACCGAAATCAAACAGGATACAGAAGAGCCTGATGTCATTGTCGCAATGGACGGTAACTTTCAGCAACGACATTATGCATACGCCAGTAAAGATGAGCCTCGTGAAGATCAGTATCCTCATAGTTTCCTCCCTCCCTCGAAGATCAGCTCAGATGTACTAGCCATTGAAGAGACAGAGGCATCAGCAGTTGGAATTAATGTAAGTTTAGGTTCAAACATGATATTATGAAAGACTCTTATTGATAGTTGAATATGGCACCTGTCAGCCACCCTGCTCAGATCAACACAAGGCAGCCAATGATACCCGCGATGAGTCAACCTGGGATAAATGCGACGACAATGGATTGTTTGCAAGTACTTGTCGACATGATGTTCCGCTCATGCATTTGAATGTGCACAAGAGTGGTGAGAAGTAAGTCCAACTCCTGATTTGTCCAGATCCCAAGTTACCAATTATTAATCAAAATATGATTAGGCTATACTACCCCATATCTCTGCTTCGAAATATATTACTTGACTTTCCTAGTCTAAAGCTTGGAGTGTTATACGACATTGGGTGTCATCTTGAAGCTCACATAAGAAAGGTAAGCGTCACTTGATGTTGATATTGGCATAAACCAATGCAATAAGCTAATATGATCAAACTTTTGACAGCGAGGCCTTTTGAGTGACCGAATTGGTGATCTCCAGTTTGGAACCTCAGTATTTCACGCCTATGTGCATGAATGGTCATGCCAAGTGAAATACAACCCTCGTCTCAATAAATGGTGGGGTTTGACTGATGGAGAAGGTCTTGAGCGATACTGGTCTTTCTTGTCGCCCCTTGTGTCTACCCTTCGTGTCTCAACACGCTTACATCGACTAATCGCTATTCAAACTAGATCAGATTACTTTTCTGATCACCTGCTTGATTCATCTGCCAACTGGCTACTAGATAAGCTGAAAAATGCTGAAGAAACAATCAAGGAAGCCAGTGCAGCACTTAGACAAATACACAGTATACCAAATCCCTACTTGCCTGGTAGCTGTTACACTAATAACTTTTTTGAAGCACAATGGGCTCTTGAGCAAGAGTACCACCTAAACTTCAATCAGGCGCGTGAATCCCAAAAACAAGAATTAGGTCGGCTTCTGTGCTTGCAAGATGAGCTTGATGAGGCATGGTAGGTCCACAATTACATGAATCTAATGATTTAAACATTGTGGCACCAAAGACTAACATATATGCACTCTAGGGAGAGTGTTGTCCCAACACCGGCTCAGGCAGTAGCTCGTGCAAGAACTTGCAGTGATATTGCTGCTCAGATCCGCCGACAACGATCAAAGATCCAGTCTGATATGATAATTGATAATCTGACAAGTTAAGTCCATTTAATGTTTGATGATGATGTTGTCTTATGGCTTTTACAACTTTAATACCATTGTCATTAATTCCTTGATTTTAATTGATAATAGGGGCACAATGTGATCTACTCTGGAAAGTCTGGTACTCTAAGATTGAGATACGACAGCGGTTCCTGGCATTAGTGGAGGAAAAGCAGCCTTTATTTCAAGCATGTCGTGCTGGGGAAAGTACTACATTGGGTGGGTCCTTTCATTTGGGACTTACTTTGCCAGAATGACAATTTCCTCATCCATCTATTGATATTTGTAGGGACACGTGATAACCAAAGACTAGTTGCAGCAGTGCGCAAGAGAGCTGATCAACTCGAGCATTCACTTGAAAATTACAACAGGCGAACTGAGGCTTTCATTGCAGCCTGTCCAACCCACCATCCGCCACCCACCATTCAATATTCTGAGCTTCTTCGTCTACAACCTGATGATCCATTTTGGAATGACGGCTTCTTTACAAATGGCAATGAGCCCTGGGCGATTGATATTCACACTCAGCGTGGTATTCGACAACTTGCAAGTTACAAGCGGGGAATTGAGGAAAAGAGACGGCTTGGTTGGGAAGTACGACGCACAATGCACTGGGTGGTTGGCCGACATGAACTAGTTTGGTCGTTACTCACTGGATTATGTCAGCTATCGGTAGCTGCTACACCAGGCGACCTACCTGTGCAGTTGAAACCTCTGTTAGAACATACAAGCTTGAGTTCAAATATTTCAATGGCTCCAAAAATCCTCTCAGGAAAAGTCTTATTGCACTCACATCTGATACGCATTGCAAGATTGCAGGTAGAATGGAATGAAAACATAGCTGAAGTCTTCAACAAAACAGCACCTCAATCAGACGACAATCAACTCAAACAAAAATGGAACCTCCAACTCCAAAACATCAAGTCTACACTGCGGTTTGGATTTCTTTCTGGTATACCAGGTGATCTTCATGAAGGCCTGTTACAAATTTTTGCAAGAACTGAAGATGAAGAGGAGGAAGAGGAGGAAGAGGAGGAAGATGAGGAAGACGAGGAAGACGAGGAAGACGAGGAAGACGAGGAAGACGAGGAAGACGAGGAAGACGAGGAAGACGAGGAAGACGAGGAAGACGAGGAAGACGAGGAAGACGAGGAAGATGAGGAAGACGAGGAAGACGAGGAAGATGATGACGAGGAAGACGAGGAAGACGAGGAAGATGATGATGAGGAAGATGAATATTTAGCAGATATAAATGCTGTGGCACAAATCCAAATGGCAGAAGACATGCTTGCTAACCTTTCAAATAACTCAAATTAGCCTGTTTCCTGTACTTTTCCTGGTTTCTTCAAGTCATCATTGCTCTGTTCTCTGTTAATTGTCTTATTGGTTGCTTCCTACTGCTGGTCTATTTTCAAAGCCTCTTTTTGCTATGAATGTTTAGTATGTTTTGATATCGATGTGTCCTCATTTCCATATGATATTCTATGAATGTTCTGAATTGAAGGAGGCAGACAAATTTTCAATATGGAAAACACATGTAAAGATCCTCAAATAAATGAAGGTCATTTTCAATATGATAGCTATCGTAAATATTTCATGTTCATTCAGACAACAGACCAGCTGGTTTCATTTTTTACATTTAGATTGTTCATGATATACATACCAATTTGTGGACATGGAATTCCAAGCTTGGCAATATTGTGTGTGTACAGTAGTGCATCTATGAGGTTTTGCTTTTTGGCCCAAATGAATATGCTCAGACAATTAGCCTGTAGTTGTTTTTCTATATGGTATCACTGAGTGTTAGTAGTCAAACTAGGTCATTCCAAGTGATGCAAGCTATTGAAATGGTAAATAACTGCTGATTTGATTACCAAGACCCAGAGTTGCACACATGTTCAATGGACTGTGTGTTTGGTGTACACATCTTATTTTTTTAATGATGCTTGGGTATAAAACATCATGCTATGAACTTGATGTTCAAAGTCTGGTATTTTTCACTCCTCTACTGAAGAAATGTCAGTGCAGAAATCTGTCAATCATCTAGTAAAATCTCAAATGTAAACTGGTCAACCCATCAGTTTAGAATCATTGTTATGTTTTCAGTCTAAGCAAACTAATACCCAATGTATATATGTGAGTTATCAAATACACAATTAAAAAGTGTATTCATCACTTTTGGTTGTCCTCAGTTGACTACTGGCACACTATATATGCACTCATAACCTACATAAGTGCCAATTATCTCTGAGGAATATAAGGGAAAATCCCTGTCAACATGCAAGAACCAATTTTGAACACTGACAGAACCAATTTTGAACAGCAGAAAAATAGTGAATGAACTTTTCTACCCCCATCAATTGCTCAAGGAAAACCATTTCTGCTTTTAAGTGTACATGCATTTCTCTGAGTGTTGTGACTGAACAAGTTAGTCTTTAAATTCAAAAAACACATGTTGGTGTTTACATTCAGTTCATTCACTGTTAAGTTGACTTGTCACAATCTTGATATGAGTCAAGAAGATTATTTGTGACATTCAAATCAGCTGATTGAACCTCCAACAGTCAGAGATACACTGGAGCACTTCCAACCTTTGGTGATGAAATAAGGCAATCTAAACCTTGTAACTTTCAATGTGCATCTGTATCTCTAAGTTTTGGTGATGGAATAAGGCAATTCAAAGTTGAGCAATAATTTTTCCCATAGAACATCATATGAAACTCTTGACTGATTTGAACACCAACAATTAGAAGTGCCCATGTGTGTCCACTGGGGTGGGTATCTCTGAGTGCTTGAGGTCAAATTAGCTGATTTAATATCCACCTTTTGGACCCAATGATACATTTGGCTCATGTAAACAGGGAGTCAAGGCCACTTTACAGTGAACTTATTTAAGTACCAACTTGAACCAACATGAATATCTTTGTGTTTTGGTGTTTAATTCATCCAAGCCTCTTTTTTCCTAAAAGCCTATTCATTGACCAAAATAACTCAGGCATACATGGGTGTTTGGATTAAGTGGTTCTCTCAAAGGGCCAACCAAGGAATAATTAAGATTGGTAGCTTTGTTCTGGCCATGTGACCCAAACCAGCCAGTCAGAAGAAGACTTGATTTATTTGGGTGGGGGGTAGCAGCACCATTGATACCTTCAGATTATGTGCTAAATAGTAATGTTCTGTAGCCCATTTACAGGATAGACCTGCAAATCTTTGTATGTGAGGGTGTGGGGCCAAGTGGTTTTAAGCATCCTGTAGTTAACAAGGTCATCTTGAGCAGTCGCTTCTTTCTCAATCAAGCTTACAATCTTTGACTGAAGCCTGTAAACAATCTATCGATTTGTTTACATGTCATTTCATTAGATTGTCCTTAGGTCTTAATCTTATTCAAGATCGATCATGCTTATTAACTAGTATTGCTTCACCTTACAATGGCGAGTAGTCTTGAATTTCATTAACAATCAGATCAAGTCGATCTAATCAAGACAAAACGTTATGAAAGTCGATCTAATCAAGATCGGACTCCTGCTAAATTCTTATCATAATATCATGTTTGCTTTGTTCTTGCTTATCGCTTGTCATCGACTTGACCATCTTGAAATTATATCTTGAATCAATTAAGTTGTGGATAGATTTTACACAACTCAAGCAATTATGTTTGGTTTGCTAAATCTCACTTTCTATGGCATTCGATCATTCAGAAGTCATATGGTAAATCGGAGGTTGGGTTTGAAGAGTGTCCTCAGTTTTAAGTCGCTGACACTGTCTGAAAAACGAATACGATCTCAGTTTGGATAAGCGAAGTTGTCTGAATCTCCTGGATGGCATTCCATCAGAGCGGAAAGCAAAAGCATGGGACTGTATATTGCGAATAGAAATCAAGGAGAACAGATCAGGTTGAATTCAGAACAAGCCGAGTGGATCAGTGTGTATTTATAATAAGCCGGGCATAATAAGGAAAAACATCGCGTGTGCAGATCATGATTTGGAAGGGACGGCAAGCAACATCACCCAAGATATTGAATTGATTGAAATAGACAAGAACAGATCAATAGGGAAGAAAAAGAGGTATAGACCCTCAGCTTTCATCACCGGAGTCGTCATAGTCGTCCAGGTCGGTTTCGCCTGGTGCATCTTCATCAGGAATTCGAGAGGATCTGGTGGATTCTTGGTCGTTGATCGGCATAGATTGAGGAGTGACTTGATCACGTGATTGCAAGGATCGTGCACTGCTGCTTTCCTGATTATCGATTTCAACAACATCGATGAAGTGGTCATCCAAGTCAAGGTGAAGACGGCGGATATCAGCGGGAGATAGTCCTCGACTGGGAGAAGTAATGTACTCGATAGGAGTTCTGAGATCTGGATGGACGACTAGACGGTAATTCATTTTTTTAAGTCTCTTCGTGTTGTCTTTCCAGGGCCATTTTTTGATAATACCCTGTGTTTTTTTGGCTGAGAAGCCAAGTAAATGCACTACAGTCAACCCCAAAATGACAGATAAGAAGTAGTAAATTCTTGAGACAAACCAATCAGTCGGGCCATGCGAACCGGCACAGTTATTGGCCGGGAGGGATCTTTCTCAAGGCCCTCAGCAAGCTCAGCAATGTACTCCGCTCCGTGTCCGGTATTGTAAGATTGAAATCGGGCGGCATAGTTGTACATCCCATCCATGTCGTCAGAGTGCTTGACAAAGGGGATTGCTCCGTGAGTTTTCTTGACAAACTGGAATGAGTGGGGCCCCAAGTGGTTGGAGACAGCAATCATAATCATGTCGCAGTTGGCGCTGATAGCCATTGTTTTAGCCTAAATCATTAGAAGGTAAGGTCAATGATGCCAGAATGTCAGTTCAATCTACCCACATGTTACAAGGGGGTAAGCGAAGCAATCATCAACACACCTTTTCAAGCCAATCTTCTAAGAATGACTCTACACGGTCTGACACCAGGCTGAGTGAGACAGCGGCACGTTTGCCCACCCCACCTCCTTGCTTATCGTTTGGACGGGTGTTTTCGCTAATTGCTTCTTCATCGTTATCGAGGGCAAGCTCAGCTGGAGTCAGCTCATTTGACCCTCTCTCGTTTTGAGAGGTACCATCCGCATCGGTCTGCCCATTAGATCCTTTTGCCTGTGCGGCCTTGCGCAGAGCAGATACGCGACTCATAGCATCACTTTGACCTACACCTTTACCAGCTGTTGAGCTCAACAGTATCATCAGCTGACAGAATTTTAATAATTTAAGAATGATTACTTACCACCTTGGAACACCTCACGAGCTTCGGGGGTTTTCATGTATTTGTTCCACCCAGTCAGCTCTCTGAGTGGGATCCGACGGCCGCTGTAAAAGTCATGTAATTGGTTAGTCGGTGTTAGAACTTCTGAGATTGTTGCAACTAACTTACATAAAATTGTCAACCATTGACACAGATACTGCTCGCTCGATGGCCTTGATTGCCAAAGTCTTGCGCTGTTCTTGATAGAACTCTGCAAAGAATTCGTGATCGTCTTGCGACATAGCACCTTTAGATCTTTCCTGAGCTTCAGCTATGAGAGTGCCTATCGATTCCTTCATGAGCTCCTCGTAAGGTCGTGGGGCAGGCAAATCTGCCAAGCCATCTTCGGCTCGAGTTCGAAGTTTCTTAGTTTGCTTGCGAGGAACAGGTTCGTTGAATATATCAAGCGGAGGAGGAAGGTCGGATGTGTTTGCTCTGTCACGTGGAAGCAAGTTGGCAGGAGCGGATTGGTTGGACTGAAGAGGCTGGGTTTGAGAGAGTTCGTCAGCAGCGGCCTCTAAGTGGTCTACCATGTTTTGGTTCAAGCTTGCTGCTGATTGCTGATGATGGCCATCCACTTCGGGCAAATTGGTAGCGGGTCTGATTGTTGAAGGATGATGAAGACTATTTGCTTCGGTAGAACTGGTGGCGGGTCTGGTTGTTGATGGATGATGAGAACTATCCACTTCAGTAGAATTGGTAGCGGGTGTGGTGCTTGCTTTTTGCTTTTTGCGCTTAGATTTGGGTGGCTGAGTGGTAACAGTAACATTGTCTGCTGGCTTATTCTTGCGCTTTCTTTTAGCTGGCTTGCTGACTGGTGGACGGTTGAGAGGCTGAGGGTGGGCTGGCCGGTCTCCTATGGGATCAATCATGGGGCAGGACAGTGTATTGAAGTAAGATGGTGAAAAGAAAGGCAGGTGAGTCTGTTATGAGTGCGGTGAATTTAATAATAAAGCGTAATAAATGAATTGAGCTGGTTGAAAGTGTAGCACCAGATTGAGGAGTGGAAGGGCAGGGGCACCCATCCCGGTATAGGATGCCTGGGGGGCAGAGCTGACGCAGCCGCGCAGCACGGCTGGTCGAACTTGCAAAAAAAAAAATCCAGTTTACATATGTAAACCGTGCAATGTAAAGAGAAACAGCGAGGAGAAACGAGGTAAGCCAAATGGCTATCCCGTAGTCCACACGGAGGCGTTTTGTGGACTATTGAATAGTCGATTCACAGTCTACAGGGGTGAATCACCTCCATCACCGTCAGCGTCCGATTGCGCGAGCCACTGTAGACTAAGGATGGCACGAGGTCGGAGTTGGATACGTCACTTGCCGATGGGAACAGCTTGATTAAGTCCAGCGAAGAAGCAAGTGATTTTTCCATTGGGATCCGAATTATTCGAATCTCCGGCCGAGTCAGTTCTCCATGTATCATATCGACATGATCATCGTCGAGCTTCAAGCTTGCTTTGATTGCTTTGATTGCCACAGGCCGACAGGTGGCAGATAGCAAGAGAATCGTTTTGTTGTTCCGAAAGAGTAGATGCCCTCCGAGATTCCCGTAGCACGGTCGAAATATCCCAATGTCCTGGTACCGAATAAGGATTGCTGCCGCCTTCTTCCCCTGCCCGCTTGCAACCAGGCCCCAAATGTACACCATGTGGGCCTCATCAATAACAACCAACGCCAGTCGATTCTGGAATTTGCTGCTGAAATAGACGGCGTCCCAAATCTTGTTGTTGAGAAAAGTCTCCGGGCTCATGTACACAAAATTGTAAACCCCATTTGCAATGTCGATAGCCGTCTTTTGATTAAAGTTTAATTTCGTCAGATTGATAGCAGTAAATCCCGCCTGCTCCTTCTCGTAGACCTGATTGTCGCCCAGAGAGTCCAACGGGTTCAAAACCAGCACGACCGCCTTTTTAACATGAGGAATCAATTTGAAATAAATTTCGGCGATTCGAGATTTGCCATACCCGGTCCCGGCAAGGAGGAAAGTGTTGCGACCCTGGACTAGATTGGCGACGGTGTTGATCTGTAACAACTTGGCGGGTTGGCCATAAAAATCAAGCGAGACTCTTCCAATGTGAGCCTTCAAATCATCATCGTTCTTCTCATATACCTTCTTGTAGACGTTGACCCCGGTAGCAGACCATACCCGACGAGGGGTTCGGATAGTTCGATTGATAGATAGCTGATTTAGCATGATAGCCTTGTACGCCTGAGATGTCAATGAGATATTTCTGTCGAGTAGATCCAAATGAGTCGGTGAAATTGGCAAGCCGGTAAGGTCAATAGTGACTTCGACTGGAAAGGATGTCGCACTTATAATTTCTTTAAGTATTTGGTCACCGCCCCCTCAGCACTTACAGATTATCGAGATGGAACCAAAAGTGGCGGCCAAGGCTTTTGATACAGCCGATGTGTATCAACATCAAGCACATAACCCATACTTCCAAAGAAAGGGCCTCTGGAACTGCTGAGCCAGGAGGAAGTTCGGGATCATGTGTAATCATCATTTTCTTTAAGGCACATTGTAGACATGATCCTCACCCATCTCCCTGTCTTTATAACAAACTCTCATCATGTGTGAGTGACAAGCAATTTTGTGTTTCATGAAATTTAAGGTCAAAAGCCACAAAAATATCGAAGACCTCACGATACCAGGCGGCGATAGCTCATAAGCCTCCCATTGGGAATGGGAGATGCTCCGCATCGGGGTGCTCTGCACCCCCATTCCGGGAGTCTTAGTTAAGTCAGATGTTGGATGGATTGGAGTCCGGCACCATCTCACGGCTCACGTTCATTGAGCGCCGCGGTGCGGCTCACATGTCTTAGCCCCCCCTGACTAAACACTGCTTGGATCCCGTGCTTCGAGACAGGCATCATGTGTTGTAGACTCCTCTCAGAAAACTATGTAAGACCCAAGTGAATGTCGAATTTCAAGTTCAACCCTCCAAAGTCAATCAACCCTTATGGCTAAGCTTTGGGGGCTCTGCGTTCCTATTCACTACTTCTTCCTAAATCCTTGTCAACGTGTCCAAGCTAGAAAGACACACGGGCAAAAAGAAGTACCTCTTTGGAATATATAACAATTGTCAAGGAAAGAGCAACCAGTTAAAAGCTCCAGGAAAAAAAAGGATATTTTGGAATGAGGTCAAGCTTTTATTGTTTTGCTGGCTGAGAATTGAAACCAAGGGAAATGGAAAGATGATGTGAGATGTCAAAGCATATGATTGATGATACTGGGTGTCTTCTGAAGATGAAAAACGAGGCAAGCTTTTATCACACTCTAGTGGATAATTTGTTTGATTGATCGCGTTGGTTTGTAGGAGGGAAGGGTTGAGGATTTGCGAAGATGGATGGACGACTGATGGGTATGAAAGCCATAACACGATTTGAAGCTCTGTATTCGGAAGTGTCTAACGATAATCTGGGCAAAGATGAGTGATGATGGAGTGATTCTAGTGCAACAAGAAAGATCTATGTTTCTAATCATATCAAAAGGGAGAGAAATAGAGATGACTATTTATGATCCAGGTTTGCAATGTTCCTATGATATCAATCATACAAGTCATGGACCCGAGCGAGATAATTGGTTTTATGCAAAAAGATTGGGATTGGTTAGTCACATCAATCGACTAGCAAACAATCCAGAAACTGAAGCAAGTCAATGGGGAGCGCTCATTAAAAAGGGAAACCCTACTCAACTGCATCATTTGTTGGATTCCACCAGGAGTGAGCAGCCTCTAAGCCAAGCATATAGACTGCCAAGGCGTTTAAACTGGTACCAGCATCTAGTGCACTGAAATCAGCAAGAAAAAAAAAGAGGGACAGTCAAAATGTACTATTCTCATCAATCTCTACATCGGTATTGCCTTTTTTTCTCTTGGCGATCGGGCTCACCTAGAAAGCACATAGTTATATTTCTCAAACCATTTGGGACGATACTTCAATGCCCAGTATTGCGAAAGGAAGGCTGACAAAAAGCCCACACCTATGCTGAGTTTCCAATTCACGTCGTGAAAAACAACACCATGACGATTGCAACACAGCAATTCAGCTTGGTGCTGCATTCGAAAGTCGGGGGGCAGGGGTGATGTAAAAATGAGTGGGGAAGCTTACACATTGGTAGGGATTTGAGGAGGAGTGATGGCCCCATGAAGAAACACTGCGCAAATGTGAAAACGATCTCCGATTTAGACTTCGAAACAGTTTCCCATCATGTCTTCATCGCGTTCAGGATTTATAAAAAAAGATAGATCAATGAACTCAACATGGAATGCTCAGTGTCCGCCAAACACTTTTGGGATTATTCCGAGACATAAACCAAGGTATGATAGGCAGTAAAGCGCCGATTGGAAATCCCCAAAACAAGACCCTATATTTACCTGATTTTTTTATGACGATGGAGTGAAGGTGAATTAACTGATGAATCTACTCTGGTGCACTTGAGCAATCACGTACCAGAAAAGAATTTGAGGGGTCCAATCAAACCCCCTGAATTTTAGATGATGGTTATCCATAAATCAGCCTTAAACAATCGAGACCCACGATCATATGCACACATCATCTCATATTTGTGTACTGACATATCACCGAGGCGGAGTAAAAGATCTCTGGCTTGCGGCCGGTCCATTGACCACTTGGATCAACAACGGTACCATCCAACAGGTCTCTTTTGTCCGCGATCACCGAACGGATGAAGATATAGTTAATCACTGCCCCGATTGAAGTCCCGATTATTCTGGATGGAGATGTGAACAAAATGTCAATGTCGATGATGATCCAATGAACACCTTGAAAGATGAAGTCTTGGATTTACTGAAATATGAACATGTCCTTAGGTGGTACTTCTGCAAGGTACATCCGACGGAGAGAGAGGTGAGTTCAGTAAGTGCCCTTCGTGGAGATACAGGAAAGAAATCGACGCAACTAGCATAAATTCCTAATTTCAAATCGGCTGCCAGATCGAGACATTGACTCATAGTCATGAAGCCGTACCTTTACATATATATCGAAAATCAGCAAACCAACTGCCAGCTTTGTATTTGAGTGAAGTAAACAGTTCCATACACTTTAAAAGTAATGTTTGCTAACGGCTTTCCACTTTGAGAGGGCAGAGTGGAGTGTAATGAAAAATATGAAAACCACCACGATGTAAGCACTTCGGACTTTTATGATGATCCCACCGTTCCACTCACGGCAACAGGATTCCGGCCACAAACTCCGCTGGGAAGACACATAACAGATCAGTGGAAAAATTGTGAAATGGGCGCAAGAAGATATAAATAAACAAAATAAAGCTTACTGATCACATTCAATCCAATCTGTGTATTGGTAGTTGCTTTGACTAAAAAAAATGACATCACGGATTTAAGTGACTTTCTAAGAGAACATATTTAGATCGGTGCTTACTGATGCCCTACAGTTGGTTTTTAACACAGCAAGATCAATGGTTGAAAACGGTCAGATAAGTTGATGAAAAATGGACTATTGCAAGATTTGGCAGATTATACATCAACGCTCACCATTGGGATAATAAAGAAAGTCGCCTGAGTTACGGTAACCAAGATTGTGAGTTAACTATCTGCCAAAGAGACAAGTGAAGCGCTACTAGCAAGATATACCTACCATTCCTAGTGCCAACAATAACGCCCAAACAGGACACTTAAAAATGAAGTCGACAAATCAGCTGGTGAGTGACAATGATGTGTATATACATAAGATTTACGCAACCTGGAGAGGATAGAACAAGACCACAAAGATCGAAGCGAGAAACATTGTGCCGCCGATCCAAGCATACCAACTCATCGGCACGTTTTCGTAATTCCTCTCCATAATCTCAACATGAACATCCTGAGGACAAAAAAAAAGATCAGGTGAGCTTTCCAACGCAATCAATGTGAAGTCGAAGGATCGAATTGGGTGATTGACCAACAGTGGATATTTTGTTCCGGGCTGAAAGGGCCGACTTGATGTCTTCAGAGTGAAATAGGAACACCGTCATCACAGCTGACGTCAACACCGCAAAGCTAACGCCGTACGATGCTGCGAAATAGGGAGTCAATTGGATCGGCCCAAGCTCTAAAGAAAACGTTTTGTAATTTATTCAGCAAAGTCATTAGTCATCGTCGAATTTTTACAAGCCTAGAAACTTGGCTAACCTTGAAACCTTATTGTACGCAAAAAAGATACCCGAAAATCCAGGATAGTCATCATGAGAGCAGTAGACAGCGATGAGTTCCATGCGTTTCATGTTGTGGGAGAAGGGAAAGTAGATGCTTGTGCGTTATGGTTAAGCTCGCTCGAAGCTAAAACGTGCAGTGCTCACTTTTGCTCGTCTAATGTAAAATCAGGTTTCACAACAGCAGACACGTTATACTTGTTATAGCTTTGGTCAAATAGCCGGGCAGAGACGGCATTATCCCCAAAGCTTCGATTCTAGTACGAGGGTTGGCAAGAATGGTCAGAATTTCAGAATTCTTGCACGATGTTTGTTGACCCACATTCCAAAAGTCACAGTACCACATCAGCGGCACTAAAATCCACATCGACCATGCCATACCCGCGAAGTAGTTGAAGGAGGCGAAGAACGGCGTGTAAAGGGAGCCTGCAGAGCGCTCCAAGTCAGTTCTTCGGCGTACATGCGAATCCGAAGAGAACCTCAGTTGGGCCTAACCAACTGATCCAATCACGGTCCAATCTAGCGAAAGAGTCAATAGGCCCTTTTAGAAGACAATCAAATCATGTGGGGTTCCGTGACACGTGTAATTCATGAGCAAATATAAAAACTTCAAGATGTTGTTCGAGATTTGGATGTGCTGCTTACAGCTCCTGTATCTAAAAGTACAATTAATCATCAGTACAAGAAGGTTTTGATTTCCAGTGCTATCAATAGATCTGAATACGCCTACGCTTAACTCACATGCAGAACCTAATACCCTCATGAATGTGGAACGGTTGTTGATGATACATATGATCGAGATGCTGGTAAGAGTAGGGGCAAAAACAGATGGCAAAAACTTATGTGAAAGAAGAGCGAGTCATGACCACAAGATCCCACCCACACCAGTCAATGAGCTTCCCTTACCTCCAAACTTCGCAAGCTTGACTGGGACAGAAGATGAAAGAGGTAGGTTTTGGAATGCCTTACCTGATATACGAAGATCAACAGAAAGACAGTTGTAAAAAACCTCATTCGAGCCTTGGTAAACTCTCTGCTTTCCTGGGTATCATCACCAACAGCATGGAGGGTGTTATAAAGCGTGACGACTACCAACGAACTTGGCCAAATCATCGCGGTAGGTCGAATTAAAATGGAGTATGTCAAGCCTGCCAACCCAAACCCTAGTAGCTGAGTAGATAAAATCAACAGTAAAGCCCCGAAATGCCCCATATCTTGCTAAGTCCACATGGATGTATGTTAGTTCCATCCGCTCCCAAAACCCACCAAGCTGTCAGAGGAACACTCTTGGCTTACATGATAATAGAGGTCCTGAACGGCTACTATGTCACCAGCATAGGCAGCGGAGGAGGCACATCCCGCCAGGACCCCGATCAACATGTGTTCTTTAACGCTGAATTCACCAGGGTTTAAGGAAACCTCGAAGAACCATCGATTTGTTTTCCGCGTGGACATAAAACCAAGTGGATTGGGTAGCGGAATATTCCACGCAGGTAACGAGGCCGCCATTAACTTTCCAGCTGAATATAGATCCGAAGGCAGAGTTAGTATTGCGAATTGGACTTTAAGCGTCACTGGATCAAGTTAACCAACCTACCTGCGTAGCTCACAAGTGTGATAAAGAATCCGCCGAACCCAATCCCGTTGGATTTGAAGAAGAAAATCTGATTGATGCCTGCGCCCATTGCACCCAATACACCACCGATCAGCCAAACCCTAATGGTGTTGGTTAACATTGATGGGTCATCGGTCTCGGGTACCACTTTGGCAACTATACTTTCGGCGCTGCCTTCGGGATGCTTGGGTCTTCTGTCTTGCTGATCCTCAGGAAACGGATTTGATTGAACTGGCGATGAGATCGAGGGTCTTGACGTTCGACTTTTAGGGTCGGTGATCCCTTTGGAAGCATCGTGCGAGGAGGCCCGGTCCAGGATGTCATCATGTAGGATTGGTCGGAGTAAGAGATCCCCTTCTTGTTCAGCTTCCACGTCATCGTACGATTCTGGTGGGTCGTGTGCATCAACTTTGACGTATCCCGCTGAGTTCTTGGACATCACTTTTCACTTTCCACTAGTATTTTTCTTGATGTTGTTCTTGTGTTCATTCGCATTCCATTCACTCGATCAACCCGACGACGTATAAAGCGAGATAGAAATCGATGAAGGCCTGGTCCATACGCTCGTTTATATGAGTCGGTCCGCTTAGTCAAAGTATTGCGTGGCAGCCGGAGTGGTAGTCCCGGAGTTGGTGCACCGTACAGCCGAGTCCAGCAGGCCGCATGGGAAAATCCATGCGCGCATGTAACTGGTGGTGTTCCGTTGACTGCGCAGCCTCTGCTGAACACTTTTCGAGTCCAACGAACACAAGGAGGGAATAATTCCCCCCATCAGGCAATGAAATACTTACCCTCTGTGTTTCTAATTTCAACTTAATGGATTATGGTTCACGTTGCAAAACCGAAAGTATATAACATTTGCTCTTACTTATATGACTCGTTCTGATTTCAAAAGATGGGGTTTACCATCTCGAAAAAACAAATATTCTTGAAGGAAGGAAGAGAAATCTACATGGGAGGAAAAAATCACATAAGATTATTATCTAAAATGGAGTAAATTTGCAGTTCGCTTGGATACCGATCTAATCGAATTGAGGTCATGTCGAGAAAGCACAACGTTCTTGGGGGTCACGAGTCCAAAAATAGATCCCAAAGATCATGAGATAAAGGAATTGACCTGAAAGCCAACTAGTGAGACCGTAACGAAAATTTTTATAACTTGGACCGGCACGGTGCAGTTCCAAAAAGAAAGTACTGATGGTACTCAGACATCCACAAAAGCCATCTCTTAATCCTTGCAAGCCAGCGCAGTATTCTCGGTCATTTCGGGCAGCAGAGGTGTATTGTAAAGCGGAGAATAGGGCCAGCAGAGCTGTAGCAATCACATTGGCCAGGTAAGTCCCCGTTGGAAAGCCTTTGTCAATCGAGAGTCGTCGGGTATTGAATTTGGCGAGGTAGTATCGCATTACTGTCCCTGTCGGAGCGATGATCATACTGTATGTTACGGGTCCCCGCCACCCATTTGGCCCCCAAATGAAAAGGAAAACTGATCCTAACCAGGTCAAGGGACCAGTCAAGATGATGAGAATCGTGGGTATTTTCCGGTGGGCGAAGGTATCGCGTCTTGATGAGCATGTGGAGGTATTGAGATTAGTTGCACGTGTCCTTGAGGCGATGATATTTTCAACCACATTCCCGAGAAATAGTCCAGTTTGCAGGGAGAAGAGACATAGTGCAATGGTCACGTATGTTAGATTAAGCCCATCTAAGAACTAAATTACATCAAGATTGAAGAAACATGTAGGAGTCAGTAAATTAACAAGCCCATTGAAAAGACGGTTAGAGAACAAACCAACAAACATCACTGAACCTGCCACGCGAAAACTTAGAAGTGTTGCTGAAGGCCTGAAAAACTTGTAGCATCCAGCTGCTAAACGTTGTTACTGAGCCACAGAAACCTGTGGTGATCCCGAAGTATAGCAATGAATGACTGGAAAGAATGGTAATAAAATTATCAGAAAGTGAGTCGTTGTCAATATAATTGTCACACTTGAAGAAGAAATCGAGTCTTCACATTTTTCCTAATCTAGTTTGAAGCGATACCGAAGTTCCCATTATCAGACAGCCTACAACTTGAACCAATAACAAACTGAAGACGTTTTGACCGCTGAAATTCCCAATCGCGGTGATTCCGAGTCTGGTCAGGAGACCCCAAATTGCCGAGAAGATGAGTATAGAGTGAGTTTGTGCTTGGATAGACCATGAATGTTGAGAGGTATGATTGGCTTGAGAAGGTTTGAGGTGGTCGGAAGCGCTATCGCGTTGAGGAGGATCGAACGCGACTGGAATGTCCTTTGCTTGATCCGACGGTTCGGTTGATGGACCAGCCACAGTTTCGGGTGTCGCGAGCCGGTCAGCGGTCCAGTTGATAGCCCCACCGTCTCCTGGTGCTGCAGACGGACGCATGTAAAGACCGATCCGAGAGATTTAAGAATGCGTGGAAACAATTGGCGGCCGACTGACTGACACACTTCGGTAGATCAAGAACCTCGGGTAGCGCAGGCAACGAGCAGCAGACCAGATTTAGGTTCGTTCGGCCACCAAGCTTACCACCTGCCTGCGAACACCACGACGAAAATCTGTTGTGAGCTTCTCGAACGGAGCGGTAGTTACTGACATCCCCTGTCTGTTGAGTCGTTGCCGGCCGAGGTTTGCCCCGGCAGGCTTGGGAATGGATGCCTCGGGGCCCATTCTGGTGCTGCGGCGAAGCCCTGGGCTCAAAATTGCCACACACGGCCCTTACTTGTTTTTTTTTTTGGATGTCCAGATGGAAGCATTCACATAACAAAACAAAAGATGAATAGAATCTTTGTGGTCCTGAAATGGGGCTTTGGAAAATCAGTCTTTTATGTTCCGTGTCAGCTGGCAATGATTCATCCCAACGGACACACCCAGATTGTTTGCCCTATGATCTAAAGAGTTTCAAAGCTTCAGGTTGATAATTTTTCAGCTAGGGTATAATTTAGTGTATATAGACCCAATTAAAATGAAATCTAGCTAGCTGTGAAATATAAAAAAAAATCTGAATTAATGGTAGTGCAGTTTTGAAGAGTTAAGCAAATCCATCAAAGGTGGGGGTTTGAAGGGTGACAGTTCTCGGTGACATGTGGTGAGGTCCTGCCCCTGTTCCCCGGTCGGACCCGGTGGAGCTTGAGCTTGAGGAAAACAGCCTGAGCCAGACGGACGAGAGAGAAAAATCGCAGGATGAAGAAGATATCAAGACGATGGTAATGTATTAATCACACACTTCATAGACGTTGGAGATGAGAGTAGGCTAACGATTTGACGCGATCGATACCAGTTAGCCAGAGATGATGGCTGTTCAGAGCACCCCACCCAGTTCTTCGATGTCGACAGCCAAGCCGGGGACGACAGAGGGAGCGGGATCGTCGCAGCCGACGCCAAGCACGACGATGCCGACGACCACGAGCATGGCTGGGCCGCCGGAGGTTGAATCGACGATCCAGCGGCTCTCCGAACACCGGAACGTCCGCGGAGTGATCATCCTCAATCGCGACGGCGTTGTCATCCGCTCCTCCGGCCCGGTCTTCCAGGGCAGTGACGGCGTCATCGTGCTTCGTAGGTACGCTTCGGAGGCCAGGAAAATCGTCGACGCCGTCGGGAGCTCTGTCGATCGCATGGAACTCGACGTTTGTCCCCCCCCCTTCCCCTCTTCCTTTCACTTTTTTCTTTTCTCTCTCTCTCTCTCTCTCTCTCTCTCTCTCTCTGAATCCATTGCACCTTATCTGACTTTTTTGTACTCTTTCTCCAGGATCAATTGAGGTTTCTCAGAATCAGGACTCAACAGCACGAATTGCTCATCACCCCTGGTTTGTGCCGCCTTATTTATCATCAGAAAGGAAGGAATGTTGATCCTGAGAATTGCTCTAATCCTTTTAAATGGCCGCATAGATTCCAAATTTACCCTGGTCGTCATTCAGGATCCGACAAAATGAATTCCTCCATTATCTCTTCATTGATAGCTTGATTCTTTATATTCCCTAAAAAGTGAGTTGATCTGCGCTCTCTTTTTCTCATCATTGTCCTTTTGTTTTTGATAGAAAAGGAATGTGAATGCTAAGGAATGGGGGGTCGTACCTTTTATTTGTAGTTGCAAGAGACAGCCAAGATAAACGCTGGAAAATTCACACACACGCAGAGGGTTGAGATGGAATGGGCAGTGATCTCAGCGACGGTCGTTTTAAGGAGGGAATTTGTCGACTGGTATTGGCTTCCATGTGATTGAGCGTCTCTTCCCCTCTTTGTGGAATAAAGCGGTTCCTGTGCATATAGATGACATGCATGTATTCTATCAAACCTAAAAATTAAATTCAATTAAGTGCATTTCTTTTGGATTTCTATGTGTGCCACTCTCGTGTTAGTCTAACGCAACTACTGGTGGAAGTCAAGGAGAGCCCAATTTTGAGAATGTTTAGTGCTGAATCCACAGTTTACTCAGGGCCGCTTAATGCTTCTCAGATTTGTGTAATCTCGACCATTGCTTTCCTGCGAGGAGGAGTGATACGTCGGTTGTTGTGTGGTCGGAGAGAGGAAGAATTGGAAGGCTTCAACTCGGAGAAACTGTAAGACTATTTATTCTGTGGAAGTTTTTCCCATCTTCAAAAATACTTCAGCAGCAATCTTACAGCCGAGTCAAGCAAGCCCTCCCTTTGCACAAGCAGGCCGCTTGAAAACAGGAAACGGCCGACACATACGCGGTGAAGGAACATGTAAGTGGCCGCGGTTTCTTGGCTCCGCACGTATGTTATGTAGGCTGCTTTTGTCAGACTGAGCCTGTTTACATGACTAGCAATTACACACTGGAAGTGCTGAGCCGACAAGCCCTGCTGCCACTGCTGCTGAAGGCTCAGCAGCCACCAAAGGTTTATAAAAGGCCGATGGTTCCCCCCTCTGCCAGTCTCTCCCCCAACTCCAGGACCTGCCAGGCGCATCCACCTTTCCCATCTTCTCCTCACCTTTTTCTTACTCCACCCAACAACAACAACCCTAAACTACTTGCTTGAATAATCATTAATCATGGAGCATATACCTCATACCAACACGTTAGATTCTCCGGCAGAACTTTCTGCTGGCTCGTTCACCCCCCCAGGAACTCCACCCCCTCTTCCGGGTGTCTCATTCACCCCCCCAGGAAGTCCTCCATCTCTTGCCGATGGCTCCTCCACCCCCCAAGGAACTCCTCCACGTCCTACCGCTGGCTTCTTCACTGCCCCGGGAATTCCACCTCGTGTTCCTGATGTGTCCTTCACTCCCCCAGGAACTCCTCCTCCTCCTCCTCCTCCTCCTCCTCCTTCCAACCCCGTCCCCATTCCCACCCCGGAAGTGATTGAAATCTCTGATGATCATGACGAGCCGATGGAGCAAGATCCAGTTGAGCAATCGTGGCGGCGACTCAGCCACCTCATCAAAAACCGTGAGGAGCGAATTCAAGCGGCTCTTCAGACTCTGGCTCCTGAAGATGGAGAAAGGATAGTCGGCTTTTTCCGCAAGATGATGAAATATTTCCTCGAACTCTCCGAAAACACGCAGCGAGACAGACTCGATGCTAGAGAGCACTCTTACCTCCTCCGTGATATTCCTCAAATTCAGCTTATCTTGCAAGCAACCGAGGAATCCAATGCGCAACTCTTGGCCGATCTGATCAACCACTGGATCTCTCTTATCCAAAACCTTTCCAACGCTCGCAGATCGCAGAGAATTCAAGACCTGTTGGCCAGCATGAAGAATCCGCCCGCCCGCTCGGCTCGGCGGCGTGCCCCCTTGGAATGCCCGATCTGTACCGATAACCTCTCCGACAACAGACGCAGCAATGTTCGAGCACCTTGCCACCTTACCCATGTCTTCCATCGAATCTGCCTTGAAGTAAGCACACCCTTTATATACTTTTTTCCTCTTCTTTTTTTTAAACACTCATTGCTGATTCCAATGATCTATTCTAGGAATGGTTGCAAGGACAGCTCAACTGTCCAATGTGCAGAGCCCCATTTGTACTTCCTTGTGGACGCCAACAGCAAAGCTCAGAAAGCTTGGGCAGCCACTACCATGTTTATCAGTTCTTCATTCAGATGTGTATGGACCTCTAAGTCCCCCCCCCCCCTATGTCCCTATGCTTGTCTCTCCCCCTATGCAATTTCAAATCTCATTTCATCTCATGTTTGAAAGTCTCCTTTGACTTTCCTGAGCTCCCCTGTCGCGGCTCTGAGTGCAGAGTCTCCTTCAGGTACAAGTCCTGTCAAAACCTATAAGCTGAGAAAAATTATGGCTTGTCCTTAGTTTACAACTAAGTTTATTTTTCAATCAAAAGCTCGGATGTTGTGATCAGACGGTGAGATTAAAGATGATTAGACAAAGCCATCCTGCTGCGCTAATGATATCTATACTGCGAGCTACCTTATGGAGAAATCTGATATCAGTAGATAAATCTTACATGATCTTAAGTTACCTGAGCGGATCCGTTGGAACGCAGCTCAAATCCTCTTTAGCCAAGTTCAATTCTAAAAAAAAAAACATGTTTTCCTGTAGGAAACCCCTAATCTGCGCAAATAGTTACATATCGTTGTTTGTTAATAAATTCTGCTACAAAGAATCTGATGAGTTGATCAAGTTTTGATTGTCAGCCATCTTTTCTTTGACTAGATCCACTTATATGTGGGTTAATTAATTTCATGGCATCTTTCAACCTCATTTCAGAAACTTGCTAAGCTGGGTAGATTTTCAATTTGAGGCTTCTGCAAAAAATGAGCACATTCTTTTGATTTATTTGAGAAATTTATGATAAACATCTTTAAAATTTTATAAAATTAGATCATGAAACCCCCTAACCAATTTTCAAAAAGTAAATTTTGAACCATATTCAAGATATTTATGAACCATGCAGTGTAAACCTGGTAACATGGTGATGAAATCAACAGTGCTGCTTGAAATTTTTGTCAAACCTTCAAATTCAGCTCAGAAACACCTTGAAAATGGACTCAAAGACCTATCATGAATCCCCGCATGTTTGATGATTCAATGATGTTTGTGTTTTTTTTTTCTTGGAAAGCAATGCTTTGAAGTTTTATAAAATCGACAAATTCTGGGATATCTGGGCAGTTCTCAGGCTTGGAAGTCACTCATCAAAGTACTTCTCATTTATCAGCAAAAATGAAAAAGGCCAACCCTGGAAAGCATATCTTATGATATTTTCAACTGTTTGGACCACTTTCCCAACATGAGATTGAAAAAGAAAAGAAAAATCAAAGCTGGAATTATGTATCGTGCTTTTTGTGGGCTTCTTGTCAATAACCCCCCCCCCCCCTTTGACGCTGATACATGATGCCCAACCCGACAGACCTAGCTGAAAGGGTTTTACATTTTAAAGAGACGAAAATAGCGCAATCACCCGCTGTTTACATAGAATGGAACAATTGATGACACATGTTCACAACGGCGGGTTATGGCGATCTAGTGCAACCTGGAATGCCCTTACCGGCGGCGGCTGCATGTGGTATTACAGAGAATGATGTGTGGGTGATCGTCCCTGCTGCCATGATCGCAGGGTCACTATGTCATAGACCATTAGACACTTTTTGGAAACAAGTCTCACGAGGGCATCAGGATTGAACCATGGCAGATCGTGATTTGAAGGTGTTGGCTTCCGAAAGTTGAAGAAACTGAAGATGGGCGTTTGAGCGCATGGTCTCTTGTGGACCGGGGTTCATATCGGGTGTTTGAGGGGTCGACGAGTTTTGTATGTACACCCCTCAGCTTCCTCAGCCTCCCTTGTAGTGGCAAGGTCGATTTGAACAAGCCTTCGCCTTCTAGAACGAATCACCTCATGAGACGGTCAGACCCCATCAGATTCCTTGACGCGTGGGCCCGATGCAACTCATATGTATCCCAATAGTGCAAAGAACAACGATTGATCTGAACTTGAACCATGTCCGAGTCTCTTATGACCTCTCAGCAACTCTTGGCGACGTAAAGTGTAGGAAGCCATCCGATAGGAATCATTTCTACGTGGGCCCTGAAGCCAGCAAATTATCAGTGCCAGTGGGATCCCTAACATGCAGTCTGGACTCGCACCGTGTACGAGGCTACCATCTCTCCGACTTTTTGCGACGACTTGAAACGAGGGTAGAGATGAACTCAAGCCAAACGGGCCTTCTCTCAAGCTACCAGCTGAATCGTTTACATACACGTGGGCCTAGGCGCGCAAAGATAGAAAGTGAAGAGTGTCCATGCATCTGTACGAAGCTACAATCATTCCGATCTCTTGCGACGACTTGAAACTATGACGGAGATGGCCTCAAGTCTAGCGACCTTGACACAAGCGACCCGTGAATGGCATAAAAGGACCTGGTTGAGGCAGCATTCCAATACCAATCCTCATCGCATACTGCCCCTTTCCCCTTGTTCCACCAGTAAGTGAGCTTTTGTTAAGACCAAATAACTGCATCCTGCTTTCTACTCTTCAACCTGTGAGGGTCGCTGATGGTTTGAATATCAAAATACATTGGTCAGGCGTCGAGACCACCTAATCATCCTCATCTGCAGCGTCCCAGTTCGCTCGTCCTTGACATTCCAGAATAATTGATGTGCGTATCTAGTGTCTACTCTTCAAACGTGAGTACATGATCCTGAATATGATGGCTCATACCATAAAGTAATTTGTCTTTTTTTAGAAAAACCAAACAAGCCACTGAAGATGAGGTTCCACGTCGTGTATATGTTCGCATCGGTCCTAGCCACCGTGTTAGCTCAACCGGGAGTACCGGCAGCAAAAACATTGACGACTCACGGTCTGGAGCCACCCGCTAAATTCGTTGGGGTCAAGATCTGGTCGCCGCAGACTCCGAGCGGTAGTCCTACAGCATTTCGGGTATACAACAGTGAAAAATTATTAAGCATGATGGTTTTTGACGATAGAAAGGTTCGGCTCATAAACAACAGCGACTATACGTTTATATACTCCGTACATGATTGGGATACAAACTATTGGCTCGAGAACGAACGATTGGAACCAAATACAGTTCAGGATTTCCTTAATGTTAGTACGGGAAAATTCTATATAATCAAAAGAGTTTAGGAGCGGTTTCGCCGCGCGGTACTCCTGCTTCTCGAGACATATCTTGTTCCAATGCATTTCGCGGCTGCAATTGAGAGCTATAGACAAGTAGTTACTACAAGCTTATTAAGAAAACACTTCTGTTTTTACTACATTCATCACTTTGTGATTCCTTCCTACTTCTGCATTCAGATGATTGGCTTTGAATAGTAGTTACTCATTGCAACCAGTAAACAAATCCATGTTAAAGGCAGACAAGAAATTTTGGAAGGAGGTGCAGCTGATGCTACAAATGACACACAGTTTTTGGAAGCTCTTGAGTCTTTTTGACCATTGAAGGTAAGGAATGTGCAATGTACAACAGCTTTGTGTTCAGGCTGGTCTGGTCAACACCCTGATAGTGTGATAGTTATAAGTCCTAGTAAATTCATGGAAAAGAATTTATTCCTATTTCTGGTGGAGTGGATAATCACCATTTAGTCCAATTTGATGTCACTAACAGGAGCTGATTGGATGGGGCACGGTGAGGACTGAGAAAAAGCAATACGTATATTGGGATTGAAACTACTTATGCAAAGGCTGTTTTGAAACAGGAAGATTTCCAAAACAAAGCTATAATCTTGCAATGAAGTCAAGGTCAACAATCTAAACAGATTGTTTCATCATAGTTGGTGCCAGTGAGGAACTGGTCCCATCTTAAGGCATGAATCATCCGTCCTCATGATAAAAATATGGCAAGTTTAGAATGCTTTGCACAAAGGATGCATGTAATTGTCCAAAGTAACATGCAAGTTACAACACAGAGGCTAACAAGTCTGATAAAAGAGCAAAGAGAAACTACAGAAAAAAAGGAAATAGGAAGTTCAGTGCCTTTCCTGGCAAGCATCCTATCAGATGTTTGCATACTAGTCTTTTGATCATCCCAATGGATGTTTGCTTACATCATTGGAAGATTCTGAATGGTTGGCTCTAGGCCAATGTAATACTTTTCCAGATTGGGAAATCACAGGCTTGTGGATCACTTTCAAATGCATAAAGGGAGGGTGTTTCAAATACTTTTGTTTCTCATCTCTTGACCCCCCTTTATATACTTTCCACCATTGCCTGGGAAACAAGTGATCCAGGCTCTATGTGTGTTATACTTTGGTCACTGCCAGTTGGTTCTGTTGATATTGAACCATTAAATTGAATTTAAGGTAAACTGCTGTGAAATCAGCCAAGGATTTGGAGATTCAATGTCCAAATTTTGTTGCAACTCCAGCACACAATTTTTCCCTTGTCAATGATTGCTAATCCTCAATCTTTTATGTCTTGAATCTCTTCTGATAGTATTATTCTCAAGTGGTTTGATTTCTGCCACACTTGTCTTACTTCCACATCAACTGTTTATCCTTTCAATCCATTCATAAGACAACCAAACTCTTTTTTCAGATACCTACCAGTTGTTTATAGCCTGTTTGTTTGGATCACATAAGCTCAACCATTTTTAAAAAAAATGAATACATTCTCAACAACTTTTTCCTTTTTTTTATCTCATTGTCTACAGATTACTACAAGTGTCTGAACTATGTAAAATCACAGGCAAAACAATACAGATTTGGGAGGGCATATTGAACCCTACACACTGGTGGTGATTATTTCTAGTCTCACTGAGGCCATTCTGAAAACTTTCTGCTTTTGGAGGAATTATTGGAAAAAATAGGAATGATTAGAGGAGCAGGCTCATTTTATATTTGCATGAGCCTAATCTAGACCTTAGGAAACCTCTACAGAGATTGAGAAGTGTTGGGTATGTGTTTCATGCTCTTGATTACTGGGCTTTCCGGTAATCCAGAAATATGTGTATACTCATTTTGTTTGCAAAGAGCATCCAAGGATGTTGGTGTAGAAGAGAAGAAGAAATACTTAACATGTTTTGGGGATGAGGCAAGGATTCAGATCCTGAGTATTGTATCAGAATAATGATTCCAATCTCCACTCTAAACACTGAATCACTGTAACCAAACCTGGCTAGGTTGAGGGTATCCAATTTGATCTGGGATGCACTCAACATAGTTAGCTGGTATTGTGTGATATTAAACAAAGGTGGCTGCCTACATTGAAATTAGATTTCATAGGTTCAGAACTTCAGCTCAGCCTATTTTAACCAGGTTTGGTGCCTTTTCTGGCAGTGTTAATACTTGCAGCATCCTCAATTGTTTTCAAGATCAAAATTTTCCCCATTTCCCTTGTGAGGGGATATTGGGAAAAAGGTGTAGCTATCTGGTTTCCAGGGTATGGATCACAGCCCTACTTGTAATGTGGCAAATCAGCTGTGTTTCAGTCTGATTTTTCTTTTGATAAGGCTCCATCTTTAAAATCTGAAATACTCACAATATTCTGTTTCAGACAGACAGTCATTTGATTGATGAAAGGGAAAGAAGTATACAGCCCAATATAGATTGCTTGATACTTGGAGAGGATTCACTGACCATGGAGTCTGGGGTCAACTGAGTAATGTTTTATATTCACTTTTTCCAAGCAGCAGTTGAAATTTTTCAAACCTATTGGATGACTTACCTCTGAGACCTGGGAGGCAAGCAGAATTGGCTGAGATCCTCAAAGGCCATATAATTTCCTGAAAGCAAAATCACAATTTTTGATTCTGCATAAATCAACTTCTTCATGGGATGCTATTCGCTTTTTTTTCTCTGCCATGAAACAGCTTTGTTATCATGTTTCTTTTCCCCAACCCCGACCCTTGTCTCAACAGGATTTTTTATTTTCAACAATAGTGAGGATTGCCCAAAACATTGGCTCTTTTTGACATGTGCTACATTCAAACCACTAGATACATATGTTGCCATCAATTGGAGTTGTTAAAATGATTGACATAGTCCGTAGCTCCCCGGGGTTCCATCTGGCACCATGACTTGTTGGGTTCAGTCTGGGCTGGGGTCTCTGGTTGTATCGGGTGTTTCAGCTGACTGACGTCTGTGTCGGGCCCTCCTCTCAGCTTTCTCAACCTCTGATTGGGTCAACGCGAACTGGACAAGCCTCCAGAAACGTGTTGAAGGAAAAGTCACATTAGATCCCGTCAGAATCATCCAGAGATGGTCCGAGCCAACTAGGGGGAAATGATGATTGATCTGAACTTGGGCCATGTGTGAGTCGATGGTCGCAGTGAATCGCAGTGACTCTTGGCGACGTGAACTTAACAAAGCAATAACATCACTATCAACCTGGACTTGAAGCGTGTACGAGGCTGCAATCTACCCGGCTTTTTGCGACGACTGGAACTTGAGATGCAGGAGGTCTCAAGCCGAGTGAACCTTCAAGCAAGCGACCCGTCAAAGCTACAAAAGGGCCTGATTGAAGCTGCAGTTTATACCCATCCCCATCACCTTCTGTCACTTTACTTCCGGTCTATCAACTGGTAAGTTAGTCTGGTAAGTTAGTTCTTGAGGCCGAATAGCTATGTCTGTATTTCCACTCTTTATCCTATTGGGATGCTGATAATCCAATTCCTCAATCCAAAATTCTGTCGCCAGTATCAAGATAAACACAACCAGATCATCCTAATCAGAATCCGCAGTTTACCAGCCCGCTGATACTTGGCAGTTCAGATTGTCCAGTGTGTGTATCTCTTATCAACTCTTCAAGCTGGACTAAATGGTCACAGATGTAATGGCTCATATGATCTGTTGTTGTAATTTGTGTAGCCAAACAAAACAAGTCATTGAAGATGAGGTTCCTTGTTGTTTGTATATTCGCTTCCGCCCTTACCAGTGTTTCATCTCAACCGCAAGTGGCACAAACGAAACAATTGACGCACATGAATGTGGCGCCACCGACTGGTTTTGCTGGGGTCAAGTATTGGTCTCTTGACAGTACTCTAAGGAACACTCTTTTATACGGTGGACCTGGACCGACACCAGTTGTGCCACGAAAAACGAAAACCAAATACAGGGCATCCGATGGTTTCAGACACTGTACCTCAGTACGGACTGCTGTACCTTCCGGTACTACAGTCCGGATCAATTCTGCATTCTTCCTGTCGGCTCGCGGGGTCTCTCTCGACCCCCGAGCCTCAGGGCCACATCGCCCTCACCCACGACGGGCCTGGCCCGGTTCATGCGAAGGCTTCAACCTGCAAGTTGAGCCCGAGCAACAGAAAACGTACCCTTGTCTCCGTATGTAAGCTTGGGGCTCGCTGTGAGATTCTAGTCGGTGAAGTACTAATGCTCGCCGCCTCCGGCCGACGTCGGAGTGTTGAAAATGAGCATGAAAAACGTTACGTTACCTTGTTCGCGATGGAAAGACTTCACATTGACTTTTTGGAGGGTTGCGGATCGCTTCATGATCCGGGAGTTTGATGTAAGATCGCCATCCTCTTCCTCCTCAACGAGTGAGAGTCCCTCATCCTCTTGAGCCCATTGAATGAATGTCGCTTGCGGTTTTCGCCAATCTATCACGCCGCGGGCTTATTGACCTGAAAGCGCTGTGTGAAATCCCGCGGCTTGGTCATCCGATGGCGCAGTGCAATCTCCTATGACGAGATCTGGGCCGAGGGGATAGGTTTGTTCTTGCGGAGGGGTATTCACTGTCACCAAGTCAGTTCCCAAGTTGCTCCGACGAAAGGTGAGGGCAGGAGTCTTCGTGCGAGAGATAAGCGTCTGCAACCAGCTACTGTGCCTGGACTCCCTGCATGGCCTGGCCACGCCGCCTTGCCTCCCGAATGCATCCCAGAAATGGATCACCTCAACCCAAGCACTCCGAGTGGGTAAAGCCCCAAGCTGGACTGGGTAACATTCACATTGAGCAGGATAGAGCCTTGGTGACCCAGTCCAGCCACTCAAGGGCACACTTTTGGGCCAGTGAGAGGGTTAGTTCCCAAATTGAAAGGTGGTCTGGGCCCAGCCATTCTGGGTCATCTTTGGCATGAATGAGGGGAAGGAAGCCCCAATGTACAGTGGGTGGACCGTTATTTTTGGCTGCTTGTTTTGGGTTCTACAGCTTCAAAGCACAAACTCCAAGTCACAAGACTGGGTGAATTGGTGCAGAATAGGTCCCAAAGAATGAATATGAAAAAATAAAACCAAAAAATCAAGTTTCAAAATTTGTGAAAAATAAAAAATAAAAATGGTTTTTTCCAAAACCTTTGTTATTGATTTTGGGGGAGTGGGAGTGCTGAGAGAAAGAAAGAGTGGAACATGGGAAGAATGATTATAAATGAAAAAAATTGGAACCAAAAAAGGTTTGGCCAGGTTGGTTGTCCAGATTGGAGCCAAAACAGTAAATTCTAGTGCTTGACTGCAATGTGGGCTGGTGAATGCCCCACTCAACAGCTGTTTGAAGCCATCTGGAAACCAATTTTTGCAAAATTTTCATTTATGATCATTTTTCTAACATCCCAATCTTCCTTTCTCTCAGCACTCTCACTCCCCCAAAATGAAATTCAAAGCTTTTGAGAAAAATAAATTTTATTTTTTATTTTTCACAAATTTTGAAACTTTGTTTTTTGTTTTTATTTTTTCATATTCATTCTTTGGGACCTATTCTGTACCACTTCACCAATTCTTGTGACTTCAAGTTTTTGCTTTGAAGCTCTGGAATCCAAAACAAGCAGCCAAAAATAACGGTCCACCCACTGTACATGCATCAGCCAGACTGGCCACAGCTACATTGGCCTGGCCCCAGCGGCCACCAGCCTGGTTGAGATTCCAACTGAGCAAGGTTGTCATGAATTGGCCCTAGGCCAGTCACAATATGATTCATTGGGTGACAAATTGGCCATTGCAGAGCCAACAGTTATCCCAATTCTTATAAAAGGGGGCCCTCCATGGGGCATATCCCCTCCTCCAATCTTTATCACCTCCCCCATTGCCCACTCATCACTCTTCTAAAAATACATCCCCCAGCACCTCATCTAATCCTCCCCCCAATCTAGCTTGCAATGCCTCTTTGTGACCAATGTAAAAAATGGACACAAGGATGTGAATTGTCAAACTAAAGGTTATATTTCAGATCAGTAAAAATGAAATACAATAAGAAAAGAAACAACAAAGAAAGCAGAAGAGGCAAAAAGAAATGTACCTAAAGGCAGGAGCAACAACAACAGGGGACGCGACAAAGAAGAATAAGTAAGGAAAAATGGAGAGGAACTGAGTGATGAGATGATGTCAGTTGATAAGCAATCGCGTCGACGAATGATGATTGAGTCGTTGACCTACGACGATGAGAAGAACAATCGATAGTGCTAGTGATCGGCGGAGAGTCGAAAAGAAGGGAAAGCACACGAGTTGATAGAAGAAGCGCACGAGTCGATGGAAATAAGACAGGAGTCGGAGCGAGGTCAAAAGGAAAGATGTGTTGATGATGAGATAATAATAATATGGTCGAGTCAGAACACAGCGAGATAAATAATGAAGTGTGATGATTGTCGAGAACTTGTGATGAATCCTGATTTTTAAGTAAAGGAAAATGATGATGATTCGAAAAAAGGATTCAGGGATTCATGATCCAGAGCGAGTTCGATTTGAGAGATGAGATCTTTTTAAGTAAGAAAAACGCAATGATGTCATCGCGAAAAGAACTGGTGATTATGTAATATTAATCTTTAGAAAACAACCGCTAGAGTTCTAGAGGGATAGAGCTCAGATCTCAACACCCCCCCTTCCCTCTAGACGAAAGAGTCCCAGTTGCTCTAAAGATCTGACCAAAGCGGGACGAGGAACCGACTTAGTGAGGAAATCGGCAAGCATCTTGTTAGTTGGAGTGTACTTCAGAATGATTTTCGCATCCTTGATGACGTCTCTGATGAAGTGCAGTTGTATTTCGACATGTTTCATGCGTTTTGCGTTTGTGTTGGCTTCGAAGTTGGCCACAGCGATGCACCCTTGATTGTCCTCATGCACGATGGTGGGGCCATCAGCCGAAGCAATATGTACTTCATCGAGAAATTGTCGCAGCCAAAGCAATTCACATGAGAAGTCTGTGAGAGCGCGATATTCTGCCTCACAGGAGGAAAGAGAAACGACTGGCTGTTTCTTCGTCTGCCAGGAGATGAGGTGATCATTGAACAAAGAAAGATATCCGGTGACCGATCGTCGGGTTACCAGACAATTTCCCCAGTCCGCGTCAGTAAAGCCTCGCAGGGGCTCGGGACAACCGCGTTTATAAACCAAAGCGTTATCAGCTGTCCCCGCTGTAAGACTCAAAAGTGGTTGTGAAACCCTTTTGCTGAATGGAGAAGGGGATGATGGAGTTGCAAGCTCTGCCCTTCTATGCTATCAGAACAACAAGACCACCAAGCTTAGCTTGGCAGTTATATTTATCGTGATAGAGGATAGTTCAAGATGAAGCTTCCGAGTGATGTGTATAAGGTCTGAAGTTATAAATGAGTGATGATTATATTGATGAAGCTGTTGTTCAAAGCTTTAAAACCAAGGCTTGGAGCTCTGGGAGCGCTATGCTTCAACCAGTAATGGTATGTGAGGCAGGTTATGGGCACTTGGCACTTGTTATGATGATGAAAGTGTTATGATTGTATTTCAATATAATGTATTGTTATGGCTGTCACTTGTATATAATCTGTAAGGGTGGTTGAGATGATCTGGTCCACTGGTGGGATGATGGAGGGAACAACTGGCAGGCAGAGGCCTCCTTATATAGACAAATGTGAGGGATTTTAGCCCCAGGGTACAGGCTTTTGAGGCATTTTAGCTGCCCTGAAGATCCAATGAGGGATTTTAGCTAGTCTAGTACATGCAGGTGAGGGAATTTGGCTGGTGAGAGCACTGCCTTGAGGGAATTTGGCTAGCCTACAAGGTCCTGCTACAAAGGAATGCATGTGCACTTCCAAAGGAATTCAATATGCACTATGTGCCAATAAAGGAATTCAATACAACACAAAGGAATTCAATATTCAATATGCATCCAGTATTCAAAACAAGCCATACTGAGAATAAAGAATCCAAAAGATATCCCGTGACAGGTTGAAATCTGTGTAACTTCTAAACTATGAGAGATATGGGGTCAGTTGTAGTGGGTGACTAGGGGTTATTTTACCTGAGAAATCCATTTCTGATGTCATTTTTACCATATCTATAATATATAAAGAGATAATATAATTTTTTATATTTTTCTGCGTAGAAACACAGTATTATTTACCACACCGCCAAATATCAAAGCACATGGGTAAATGACTCCCAATGTGTAATGCCAGGTTCTTCCAAAAATTGAGAGAGAGAGCTGACAGCGAATGCGATGTCTGGTCGAGTGGCAGTGGATAAGTAACTCAAAGCACCCACCGCACTCCTATAATTCACGCCGAGCGAACGAAAGCGATCCTTCTCCTCTACTGACGCTTTAGTAAGGTGTATGTTGGGAATGAGAGGGGTAGCGACCGTCCTACAGGAAGTCATACCGTATAGTTCGAGGAGCGAGTTGACATAATGAAGTTGTGACAGTACGATGGCATCGGATTCGTGAAGTATCTTTATACCAAGCATCAAATCCGCACGACCCATGTCCTTCATATCAAACTCAGCTTTTATCTGAGTTTTGAAAGAGTTGACATCCTTGCTGAAAACCGCCAAGTCGTCGACATGTATGAATACCCAAACCGGTTCACCCGTCATCCGATAAAATACGCACGGATCCGAGATAGCGATCGTAAAGCCGACCGATACCAGCCACTTCGATAAACGGTTATACCAAGCCAATGGGGCCTGTTTAAGTCCGTAAATAGCTTTGTTTAAGCGGAGACAATGCTTCTTTTTATCGAGGTTGATGCCTTGAGGAATGGATAAAAATACTTCTTCATCAAGATCCGCGTTGAGAAAAGCGGTTTTTACATCTAATTGATGAAATTCCAACCCATTAGCGGCCGCATGCGAAATAAGTGCACGAAGGGAGTTGAGGCGACCAGTCGGCGCAAAAGTCTTAGAAAAGTCAATCCCATGAACCTGGGAGAAACCCTGAGCACACAAACGTGCTTTGAAGATCACCGACTTTTCATCCTTCTTCTTCCGGAACACCCAGGTGGTGCCTACTGTCTTTATATTCGGAGACAGATCAACAACAGACCAAACGTTCAAGCGCTCCATTGCATTCAGCTCCGTTTGGATTGCAGAAACCCACCCAGATGATTCCCTCCCGTTGATCGCTTGGTGATAATGATTAGGGATATTGTCTTCCAGAGAAGTGAAGAAAACTCGAGGCCTGCGAACCCTTCGACCCTGAACGATATTTGATGAGGAGATGTTGCCATTAATAAGGGAAGAGACCAGAGGATCCGGTGAGTTGGAGGAGGGATCAAAAACTGGATCTATCTCATCAGAGTTTGACGATCTCAACTCCAAAGAAGGATTTGAGGGGTCGAGAGTATGATCGTCAACCGGATCGTGGGTAGAAACCGAAGAAACATCGGAGTCTGCTTCAAAAGAGTCTTGAGCATATTCGCCTTCCCTCAACTCCTCAGTCATGGAGAAGGGCATCGAATCGTTAGAGATTTTCGGGAAGATGTTCTTGTCAAATTTTACATGGCGAGTCTTGATTAACTTTCGGTCTTTAAGGCGAAGAATCCGATAAACTGAACCCTCGTTCTCAAAGCCAACCAAGATCCCCACACCACCGGTGTTGCCAAGCTTCCACAAACGATGACTCTTGGGAACGGCAATGTATGCCTTGCAACCAAACGACCTCAGGCGATGACAAGGAGCGTCGGAGTTGGTCCACATTTGATACGGCGTAGCAGGGCGATGTTAAGCTCAAAAGTATTCCT